GAGCATTTTTCTGGCGGCGTTTAGATTGGTGATGTCGGTCTTCGCGCCTAGGCCCGTGGCGTGGTCTTCTATTGTCTTGCTGGGTGATAGGAGGGGTTTGCTGGCGGTAGTTTTGCGATTGGTTCTTCCTGTTTGAGTCATGATTGATGGGCTTGATGAGTCGTTGGTCGGCATGTTGAGAGTTTTCGGGGTCCGTTGTTCTTGTGCCGGTGGTTCTTGATGGTTTGATGCGGGGTTTCTTGATGATTTGATGGTTTTCTTGTTGATTGGTGGTGTTGTTGTTGATTGCTTGAGGTTTCTTGGTGCGCAAAGGCGCCGTTGGGCGTCTCTTGCGCTGTTGAGCGCGGTGTTGGTTGGTGGTGTTCCGGGGTCCTAGTTGGGGGTGCCACCTGGTACGGGTCCAAGAAGCGATTCGAGTGTATTGGTCCTCAGCAGAAGGAGAGGATTTTCAACTTTCCATCATCTTTGCGAGTCACTATGTCGCAGTTTGACATCCGAAAACATGAAATGATATTGGTTCCTACTACAGAAACGTGGTGGCGTCTACGACTATAGCAAGTTGAAGTACCGAGCAGTTTGGGCGAAGGCGCGCAGCGCCTCCCGGTCCCGAGCTGCGTGTCCTGCAAGAAGAAGGTGAGCTGCGATTCCCAAATAACTGTAGGAGTCCGACGACGCATCGAGCGAACCGAAGATACCCATAACACTAGGAGGAGGGTGAGTACTCACGAGAAGGGCTTATTACCGGACGCGGGGCATCGTGTATCGCAGGAATTCGTCTTGTATAGCGGGCGTCGCTTGCAAGTATGGTGCGAGGATCTGAGCATGATCCCTAAGGTAAAGTTGAAAGGCATCACTGGCCCATCGGCCCATGGTCTTGACCACGTCGAATGGTACGTTCCGAAGGAGATATTCTAGTGTTGCCCCGATTCTGATGGCATGACCCTGCAGCGGATTTAACCCAGCGCTCTTGGCCACCTGAGCCAGGCGGGCGATGAATTTTGTCTTCGTCAAAGGACGGTGAGTGCCACCAAATCTATATGAAAATAAGGCAATATTGAGGGGGGGGGTCATTTATATGAAAATGATTGATTAGTGCCGCCTCTGGGTCCGTTGGACCGTTCTGTTTTGCCCAGAACACATCTTCGCCGGTTTGAGACGCTTTGGTCCGGGGTAAGCGAAATATGGTGGTGACGAGGCCGTTATGGTCTGCCTCTTTGCGAATGTCGGAACGTTTGACGTGAATTGACGCATCGAAAGCTGACAGGTTCTTCACTGTGAATTCCCCACTTCTTGCAATGGCATAAAAGGCCGTCGTGAGGCAACTGGCCACTGCCGCATCTAAGGGGTCACTGGGGTCAAGTTTTTGCAGGATGCTCGTGATGAAGGCTACTGTATAGGGAAGCCGCTTCTTCCGTTTCGATGACAATGGAGTTAGGTTTTTAGTGGCCTTCAACATGGCGTCTATCTTGTCGTCATCCAATGACCACAATTTCCCATGTAGGATATGCCAAGCGCGAATGCCGTGGATATAGCTAGATATGGTTCTTCCTGAGTACGTGCCTGCTAAGTTTGATATGAATGCTGAAATGAGTTCAGACGATGCCGGTGCGCGCAGAGTGTCCTCAATGGACTTGGAATCGCAAAAAACATGGAAGGCAAGGATGCAACTCCCATAAGCTTCCCTCGTGCTGCTTGCCCAGGCATGAATCATGACTTCCTGGATACGTTGGACATCCACGCTGGGAAGGATTAACGGTGCGGATTGATTCTCAGTTGGGAGCCACAGGTGGAGTCTGTCCTTCACGGCGCAGTGGTGGGCGTAGAATGGGGGGTGAGGTTACTAGGGTAAGCTGCTATAACTGGATTCTTTTAGCATGAGAAGCTTTTCGATTGTAGCGTCAGTTGACTTACGCTTCTGACGCTTTGAAGATCTCTTCTCCTTGACGACGGAGTTCGTCATTGAGACCACTGCGCGAGTCTCGCGAGCGGGGTCCAAAATCGAGGAGTGACTGCGTTTCGGCGCTCTTGCGATGTGGATGACATCTAAGATGGACTTTGGGACTGTCGAAGTCTGCGATGAAGCTTTGAAGGGCTTGGGGTATGTGGATCGGGGGGAGCAGCAAGCTCTGAGGAGGATAGATCCCTCTAGACGGGCTGTCTGCTGGATTGTGTGCGCTGGGTACATAGCGGGTGAGGAAAGTACACTGTGAAGGTGCGACGAGCTCATGTATCCGTTTGAAGACGGTGTTGGTTGCCTTGTTCCGGCTTCGCCCTTTCCACCAGCCTTCGACGACACCCCGATTGTCCCCGAATATTTTGATGCAACTGCCCTCTGGGCATTGATCGAGGAGAGTGATAATGAGGAATTCCATCCCAATGGCCTCTGCCCAGCCGATGTCTCGGTCCTCGTCTTTCCAGCCCGGGAGGAGGTGCCATGCTCTCCACTTCCTGTTGATCCAAATCGCGACCCCAGTACCTGAACTAGCGTCTGAGTAAGCCGAGGGGTCAATGACTTCGATGGGCCCTGGAATGGGGCGAGAGATGATGGGTTGCTGGAGGCTGGCTTTCCACCAGCGGAGATCATCACCTGTGTGTTTGGGAGGGGTACGAGGCATGAACGGACGGTCGTGAAAGACGGATAACATGGTTTCCAAAGAGGTGAGGTAAGCACGTCCTGCAGGGAGGACCAGCGAGACGTGCAAAAGCTTCCCATAAAGTTCTTGGACTTCCTGCAGGGTGTGCGAAGCTCGGGCTTCCCACGTCCGAATTGCTGCCAAATATTTTTCTTTCTTACTCTGCGGGATTGAGATTGTCCGTGCAGCAATGTCCCATAGAAAACCGATGAATGGGGCAGACGAAGAGAAGAAGATGTCTTTGGCCAATTCCCAGGGTATTCCCAGTATTTTGGATAGTCGGTTGATATCGTCGAAGCAATAGGAGTAGAGTGCGTCCTCTGGTGAACGTGGGGAGTTGGTTGATAAATCGAGGACAGGGAATGACATGTCCTCGTCGAACTCCTCGACACTGTCGTCTGGCATGACTGATCCACGGTACCATTTTCGTCCCCCTTCCACGAGTAAGCCGCCGTTTCTAGCGATAATGATGGAACAGGCCCTACGAAGGTCGTTATAGCTCTTGAGGTGCTCACGGAGGATGCGGATGAACAAGTGGTCATCCACCCACTTAGACATGGGTCCGATACCCTGGGATCTAAAAATATCGGCCCCTGCGTCGGCAACCTCGCCATAAGTCCCTGCAGAAGCCGAAAAGCCAAAACAAAAGCTCGAATCAATGGCAAACTCTTCGTCTCCTGTTCTAACGACCAGACCTGGCCACTGAGATGGGTGAAGAGGGATTGTGCGGTATGCTTCCGCCACGTCACGGACGGCTGCTTGCGAGCCCGGGGGAAGAGACCAGATGAGAAGGCAGATTGTTGAAGCGGTACCCCACGTGCATGGATAGAGATTAGAATCAATAGAAGAATTAATAGATGATATTGTAGCCGATGGACGCAAAGGGAATGATAGATTTTGCACGATCCTGAATTTTCCTGGTTTTCCTGGCTTGGGAACCATGGATAGAGGAGCTGTCTGAAAAGGACCAATGAGTGTCTCCGTTTCTGATTTAGATAGGGGGCCAATGTAATGACCGGTAGAGTATTCACGATCCAAAACAGCCGTAAAGGCTTCACGATGTGTGCGTAAGGATGGACTATTAGATGGGGCATAGGTGCGAGAGATGGTGGGAACACTGCCCATGAAACCGATACGTAGACCATTGGGAATATGTGCATATTTATGTATAAGATGCGAAGACTTGAGAAGATCAAACCAGGCTTCGGGTTGATAGGGAGTAAGTGCCTTAGATGCTCTCGCTTTGAGGACACTCTTGAGCTCCGTGATCCTTCGCTCCGCATCCTGAACACTTGTGAACATGGGAACGAGCGGTGCTGGAGCAGCCCTTTGGTCTTTGCCAGTCGTAACAGAGCTCGAGGCCCTCGGGGTTGACCAAGTGGCCCTCTGCACCACGCCGACAGCGGGTTTTGGTTCGTTTGTCCCAAAGGAACTCGGAGGCACATTTGTGGATGGGATGACGAAATCGGCCGAGGCAGAGGGCGCAGGCTGATGGCCCGGATTGGCCTGCGCCCGGTTGAAAAGACTGTTGGCCTTTGTGTGGTTTCTTGGTGGCCTGCTCGACAGCGCGATATGGGTGATATCGATTGCTCCCTGGAGAAGAAGTTGGCTCCACCCGTTTGCCCCGATTCTCGCTAGCCTCTCGCCCCCGATGACGGACGGGGAGAGCAGAAGTTGGAAGCGCGCTTTGGAGCTGTGTGGGAGTAAACAGAGATACGGGAGAAGGGCAAGTTCGATTTGAATAGGTGGTGGCGACAAGGAAGCACGAGCCAGACGGTTGGTGTAAGCGTGGTGTGTGTATAAAGGAAAGCACAATCATCAGAGTGAGCAGTGGGTAGCAGGATTGCAACATGTTTTATATAGCGGCAGCATGGTTTTTGCGTAAGCAAGTGATAGCGAGCGAGCACGATTGTAAGCCAGTCCCAAGGTGGGGAGCAGTGAAAGCCAAAGGAAGCCAGATGACAGCAGGATTCAGAGCGTCAAGATAAGCAATAGTTATGAATAAACAGAACATCTGTTAGTTTCTGAGTGTTACACCGAACGAGTCGTGGAACGTACCAGTTTCAGACCTTCGTCTCGCTCCGCCTCCCAGACGTCGTCCGATATGGAGCTGTACAGAGCACTATTGAATATGCCGATGTTAAAGCCTTGGTTCTGAGAGAGCCGATCATGCCACTCGCGCCGTACAAAACCTGCATAACGAAGGAGGGTCTTCTCTCCCCGTGGACGCATTCGATGTTCGTGGTTAGTGATGAGCGTGAAGAATAGGGCCAGTGCTTGCTGGTGCTTTTCAGGCCATCCATTCTTCTCTATATGAATAAGAAAGCTAGTCTTCGCCAAGTCAAATTGACGCCATGACAGGTCGTGGTCCTGCACCGCTTTCTGGGAAGCCTTGAAGGACGCAATTGTCTTGAGGGCTACCATGCCATCGACTCTCGCAAAGCCGAAGGCATCGTCCGAATCTGAGGTGGATCTGGATGTCATGGCAGCCTCGCGACAACCGTCGGGGCTGAAATACCACAGTTCAACATACTCCATGCTCTTCACCTTCTGAATGGCATACTGGGACGGTCTAGGGATAATGATGTCTGCCACCGTGATCTCGGCGTCGAAGTCGTTGATCTTCGGTTTTTTCTTTTCGGCTTCGCGACGCTCCTCCTGTTCCTCAGCATCCTTCTCGGCCTTCTCGTGTTCTGCCTGCTCCCGTAGCTCACGGGCTTCTTCTTCTACCTGCTGCCGCCATAAGTTGATGCGCTTCTGGTGTTCAAGTCCCCAGTCTTCCACCATCTGGGCAAGGGCTTCTTCCCTGCCTAAACCCCCATTCGTCAAAGCGGTCAACCATCCTCGATACGCAGCGGATTCAAAATTCGGTTGTGCCTCCAACGCTGGGTCTGATGCGATGCGTTCCATAGTGTTCGGGAGAATTCGGGGATTGATCAGAGAAGGATTACTGAATTCGAAATCGAAATCGAAGTAAGTGTGAAAGGACGAGGCCCGCGGGGACTGCGAATGAAAAGGAAAAGAAAACGAGGAAAGACCGACGTCGTTGATAACGACTGAGACGAGATGGATGCGTCGTCGCAGTACGAAGGCGAAAGGGTTCGTACTGCTCCCGACGCTCGCGCAAAGACCTAACTCTATTTTTTCGCTCGTTCCTCGTTACATAATAGAGTAACAATTATTTTACCAGTTCTCTAGTGATTAATTGGCAGAGATACAGTCTATGATACCCTCTGCGGTATGTCCAATTGCTTGCAAACTGTACATGCATTTCTGATGTTGTAAATGTGCCAGGCCTCTGGCTCATCACCAATGGAGACACATGTTCAGCTCAGTTCTGGTGAATTTTGAAGCCACGTTTAAATGAACTTGCTTATTATTGATCATTTAGCTGCTGTCATTATTTTCGAACACTCCTTCTACATTTTTGACAAGCGGCGTCGTCTTCAGGACCGGCAAAAATCTGTTTCCTCTGTTCATGTCGCTCTCGAGCAGTACATGGCCTCTCCGCATGCAACTGCCGTCCGGGATGCTGTGAACACTGCCGTTCACGCCTATGAAGAAGCTGTGAGCGCTGCCGTCCTTGCATATCAAGAGGCTATGAGCACTGCCATGCATACATATCAAGGAAGCTCGTCTACTTGGATGGCGAAGTTACCGTTTAAACGCTTCCAGAGGAAGGCTTTTGAACGCTCTCAGGCGGAAGTGAAACAATCTGTGTGCTCTCAGGCGATGGCGAAGTTGTTACAGAGAATCCTTGAAATCACTTTACAGTACCGCCTGCGTATGTTTGAACTCTTGCGATTATGGCGATGTTGCTGATCTCTTTTTCTTCAGCAAAACCTTGATGGTTGCAACCCAACGTCGATGATGTTCCAATTAGGAGTGGTAGAGCTGAGGTGTCTTGGCGGTGAATGAGGATTTCTTGAATGATTTGTCGAGGTAGTTTGAGGCGGTGGAACTGTATGAAATGGTTGTATTATCAGCAATGTCATTTTTTCTGGTGCGGCGTATACGGCGTGTCGATCGCCCTCGGCTGGGACGGCGGCAATATCTACTAGGATTGGTGTACCTCCCCAGTATCCGGAGTCCCAACACAAGCGCATAAGGTCGTACGTTCCATTCTGCTCCACAGCGTTTTTCAACTTGCATCAATTTTACAAGAAATACGTTTATTGTCATTTCAGAGTTACACTCTATAAGCGCGTGGAACATCCCAGACAACGTCAGCGACTCTAGCTAGTGACCGGATAGGATCTCTGAAAGACTACAACTTGGTGGATAATGGCCATGGACTTCAAGCAGCGGACGCACCTTGAAAATGTCCAGCTGTCGTTCTTTGCAGGGACAGCATGCAGGTTATCATGGCTCTGGCTTATGAAGTCATGGGTGGATGTACTAATCTCTCGTGTGTTGAGTATTTGTGCTCTGCGTTTCAAGGCCCACGGTTAGAATCTTGTCATTCTAGTTTTCGCTAAACAGCTTATCGATCACACACCATACTCTGGAATCTGGATGCATCTTTTCGAGGGACTGAGACGACGTCATCGAATAACAAAAGACTTACATGATGTCTGCATCAGGTCCACGGAGAAAATTGCAGCGCTGTGTGTTATTGCTGTGGCATTTTCGTGCATGTCTCATAAACGTACAAGCGTCTAAAGAGTAGCATAAGGAAACACTTGCCTACTTGATCAGTCCAACGTCTGAATCCCACATGTGAGCTTGCTACGTCCGACGATAATGACGCCCATCCCTCAGTGTCCGGAGTCCAGCATGCAGTTTAAGACATGGATAAAATTGTTGAGCCTTGAGCGGGCTTGAGTCATGCTGACACAGGGAATCACAGAACTATTGACAGTGAGTACGTCGATTCATTGCGCTAGTGCCATACTGACATTCGAAATATCTCTCGCCGAAATCCTTGGAAGGGAGGCATTTATAAGGACCACCTTCATACGCTGGACGCGGAGGGATGGTTGAGGCTACTCAGACGAACACGAGAGCAGAGTATAAAAAAGGTGCGTGACGAGCAAACATAGCTGTTGGCAACATCAAACTGATACCCCCAGCTGAAATTGCCAATACCGTGACTCACCAAATCTTCTGCGTCTGCTATAACGTCGGTGCATCATGCCAGGTGGCGCGCGCGACAACTGAACCAGCAGGTATGTATGTCGTTCCCCCCTCCGCCTGGCGCATCCGTATTCCCAGCCACGACTCACGAGCGATGACAATCTGATGAGGAAGGCACAAACGAAGATGCCTATTGTCTGGCTGATGACGACGGGTATTGGCTGAGCAGCACGAGCTAGATAAGCACATGTTTGCTAGCTGTCGCTATGGAGTTGGGTTCGTTCTACGCGGGTAGAGGCCACTAGTGCTAGGTTCCTGCGATTGGGTGCTGGGAGGTTGTACTCTCTTGACGTGTGTGTGGATTGTTGGTGCTGGAGCTTGGGGGTAGGCCTGTTTGTTATCGGAACTGGATTACCATTGCTTCGCGTAGTAAGAGGGGGCTGAGGTTGGGTGTGTGGGTGTGTGCGGAATTAGATACAAGTTGCTTGCACTGCAGCTGGTGTTTGGGTACGTAGGGATGTTGATTTTTGTACTCGTATGATTGGTTATGAAACGGCTTGGATGATGCTTTGTCGTTCGATGACCATACTTAGAGTTTAGAGGCAGGGAAGTACGTGAGAAAATGGCATGTGACGAGAATAAAATAGTCATTGGCAGTCAGTGACAGAGTACTGAACAACGATTACATGAATGCTTGTATATGGAGGTGAGTGTCAGCGACGGGGAGGATCGGCCAGCAGCAGAGTGGAAGTGAAGAAACGAAGATTGGGCGCTGTGCGGCACGGATGATTTGCATATGTCCAGGTGAGCGGCAAGCACTCTTTTGTCCTTTTTCTTCCCCTCCAATGTCATCCTAATATCTTGTATTCAACTCGTCTCAGCTCCTGCCGGCCCTTGTCTAGTGCTTGCTTGAAACGTGACTGTTGCAGTTAGTTCCTTCCTTCCTTCTTTCCGCACATCCGCACATCCGCACACCCACAAGTATACCTATTCCCATCACCGAGATGGACCCTTCGGTGAGTAGTTTGTTTTGCATTCATGTATGTCTGTTCAATTGTCGTATATATCTCCATTTCACCGCTTTGTGGTGTCCGCCCTTTTCTCACTGAGGGTCGCTGGTCTGCAGACTTGCGGACATCAGAATAATACACTGCTGGATATGAGCGACACCAGCCCCCGGGTCTTATGCCAGATAAAATCCGCCACTACTCAAGAAACTTGTAGCGGCATGGCAAAAATGCTAGTCAGGTATCGTTCAATGTTGCTTTTTGCAGCTCTTTGCTCATTCTGACTCTTTTTCCAAGTCAAAGTCACGCTCTTCATCACTCGTTTTATCGTCCACTGCATCCGGATGTCTCATCTTGTATCTGAATCCGACCTGTCATGGTCTCGCGCACTGGTACTGGGTTCTTCACGATACTCTAGCTCTCTACCATCCTTCCCTGTATAGGGTCAGCTCAATTGGACTCGTATAGAATGGCCCGGCTCTTCTGTGCGCGTCTTTATATTGTTTGCACAATGAAACGCGCTGGATTCTACATTTTCTTGGTGTGCTTCATGAGTAGTCTGACTCAATGATAAAAGCCAAGCACAGCGTGCGGTGAGGGTTGGCATCACATACCGCTCTGACACTCGCACTTTTGTGTGCCACTTTTGCTGATGTGACTGACCATGGCATCTCTCACTTCTTTATATACTGGCTCTCCCTCTGCCAGTGATCTAGTGGCCTCAGCGCTTGGTGTAACTGTGTTAGCATCTATCGTGCCGAACTGCCTTGACAGCGGAAACGTGCGTGCAGCATGACCTAAATTTGGTGTCCAGGTGGACGCAGCAATGAGGGAAAGCGAGACGCAGAGTTCGGAGCTGCGTGAAACAACAGAAATATGTCGAAGAGCTGCGAGGGGGATACTGGGCTTTTGGATAGGAGTAGCGCATATCAATGTGTTCAAGGGTCTGGCATGCTGGGGATAGCGCACGAACGAGCTCTTCAGCCTCTGCCCAAGACAAATCACAAACATTCATCTTGAACTTTTTAAGCGAGGGGAATTCTGAGTGTGCACGTATTCCGTGATGTGTGCAACCGTATTTATAGAAGAGTTTTGAGGTTGAGAAAAGGTCCGAATTGATATTATTGTTGAAGTCCAAGGAGGATGGGGCTATCTTCCGAGTCCATCCATCAATCTTGCATGTGAGAAGGGTTGGGAGGTTGGAGAGATGTCTCCGTGCAGCCAAGTCTAGGGGTGCACAATTGAGACAGCACTTGCATAAACGGATGCAGTCTATGAGCCGTCCCTGGTGTCCGACTGCCGTGTATTCAACAAGGGTCTTGACAGACAGTCTCCAAAGCACAACGGGTCGCGATAGCTCGCAAATCCTGATATTTGACCCATAGCACTGTAGATAGCAGATTCAAGTAATTTCAGTGTGTTTGTGAATCAGTAAACGCAATATGGATTAAGATGCTTAAGTGACATGAAGTTCGAGGTAAATAACTACTGGAAATCAAGTACTTCAAAGCCCTGTAGAGCTGTAAACTCTACGGAGCCCTCCTGACCTGCTTGCGGCTTCGTAATAGTGCGCCTCATTTCGAACGTCATCAATGTAACCCTGTTTGCCTCCATGTTCATATCCGTTGCAACGAACTTCTCCTTGGTGATCGTCTCGAGATATGGGAGACCAGATCCAAGAGGCTCCAAGAACAGATCCGAGTTTGTTGTTGTCTCGCCTTCGATAAGTCGTTGATTGAGCCTAGATCCGTACCCAGCCTTGAAGTCCGCCACTCGATGAGGGTTGAAGTCGCGAATGCATAGTGATCGCGACTCACGTTCCGAATCCCGGTCTCCGACCAAAGATACAGACCGGAAGCCAGAGATGGAGTGTTTGCAAGGATCGGGGAAGTGATCCTCGAAGGACCGGGTGTGATTTGGACCCCAGCTGGACCAAGGAAGGCTAGGGGAGTCTTCAGTTGCTTTTCCATATCGACTCGTATAGTTTAACTCGAGTTCCAAGAGAGTATTGCGCTCAATGAAGAATGTGAAAAAAGGCATGCCGTAGACAGGCCCCCCTAAAATGTTCATGCTGAAAGTGATGATTTGGTTGTGTGTCTGGGCAGGGAAAGGAATGGGGTTGAAATTGAAATATTTGTATTCAGAGGAGTACCGCAAGGGAGGGAGGGAGAATTTTGCGGTGAGCTGGAGGGAATTGGATGAATGGACGAGGGAATACAACGATAGTTCCCTAGCGTTGGCGACGAGAAGTTTATCGTTCGTCAGGAAGCTGAAGTCCATTGTTTCGCAAGCTGGATCAAGAGCTTCGATGCACTACAAGTCCAAGTAATTCATAAGTCACAATAACGACGTCAGGAGATTCACTGACCTGAAAGGCGTCCTTTGTCTTCCAGTTCCAGATTTGCAAAATGTCGGCCGCCTCTCCATCATGCGCTCTGTCGACATTTGTGAATAAAACACCATAAAAGTCCCCGAAGATCGATGATTTTCGAGCGTAGGGATCGGAGAATTCGAAATCAACCTCGTTGTCGAGTGCTTTGATGACAGCAGATGCAGCTTCCGGATGGACGTTATTCTCTGAGAGAGATCTGAAACTGACATCAAACGCGTGATTTGCCCTTGATGTCCGTTAATATAGCGTGTCTGAGAGGCAACTTGAAAGAACCACTCACCCTCGGGGTGCACTGGTAAGTAGAATCAAAAGATCCTGCGCAGGCGAGAAATTGAAATGGGAGACTTCGCTGTCGACTTGGCAGCTCCACTGACACAAGGTTGGGGCACTGGAGTGGCCGTCTGACGGTTGGGGCTGGAGAAACGTTATTTGCTGGAGTTGTTCTCTTGGGAATCCCAGAACGCCGGACGACCATCGGTACACAAATGGGCACGGAATAGGGTCCAGGATGTTTGATGAGTATTGAGCATTCTGCCATGCAGATTCACTTTTTCGAAGCGATTGACGAAGCGCTGGGACGTCAGTGCCGTCTGAGGCAGGCAAAGTGTCCGGAATTGCGTTAAAATATTTGAGGTCGATTGAATAAAGCAACTCCGAGGAAGAGTCGATAGCTTCTCGAACGTAATTGCATATCTGGAGAGACTGAGTTAATAATTCATATACATGAAATTTTGTGCTTACTTGACGAGCCCGTACGAGTTCGTACACGTCTAGATGACCGAGAATCTCTGACAAGGTTTCGACAGGGAGGTCTAATAGTGTTAGGGAGACTTGATGAAATTGGCTCATGGTTGATTATTTGGTACTGCCAGTGACTCGGAGGTGAGACCCATTTGCAAGAATTTTAGAACAGATGCAACGAACCTTTCAAGTTAATGGGTTGCAATTTTCGACAGAAGCAATGACGAGGTGAAGGATGTGCAGTTAAGAAATTGAGTAGATAGCGACATGGCTGATGATCGGCAGAATAGGGTTGGCGGTGCGGGAATCCTTCGAGCGCTTTTGTACAACTTGTCTCAACCGTGTTCCAGGACACTCGGTAATTATCATCTTTAACTCACAGAAAATGTGTTAGCCAGTTCGTTCTTAAGCTTCCCCGCAAGCCGACGCATTTTGTCAGGACGTCGACCCTAGACGAAGGATAGAGTCAGTGTTTCAAGTATAAAATGATCCTCATTAGCCACGTACCCATACTGAACTTTCACTAGCTATTGGTTCGCCGGCGCAGGTTTCTGTGATTGAATCCCCGGCCGCTGTGGCAGCGTCGAGTTTCCTCTTTGGTGGATTGCCTTCGCTCATAGTTGATGACGATTAGAATCAGTTTGAAGCGAAGTGAGATAAGGAGTTGGAGACTCAGAAGGGTCCCACGTTATATTAAACAACGGCAGTTCACTGTGTGTTACATTGTTGACTGCAAGCGCTAAGCATTCGGCGCTTCAGTAATTACAAGGAGTGACATACTTCACAAGTTGGTCTAATGTTTTGTGCGCTGGATCTGATGGCTGCAGATCGCAAACAGTAAATAATTGAGCTGTAACCGTTTGAGTGCAGGCTACGTGGCCTGACTCATCTATCAACAAAATAAATCTGCAGGAACCACAAAAAGGGATACATACTAGTACTTACATGCTGCTCGCAAAAACCCCTCCACACTCCGTGGGAGTCGGCTCAGTCGGGGATCAGACATAAAACATACTCAGCAACAAGTGTACGCGCCGTCCCCCCATGCTTTCTTCGCCTGTTCAAATACGCGTATCTTCTCCTCGTATGTAGTAAAAAAGGGTGTAGGTAAACCACAACAGAATCCAATTACCCTTCATCAAAAATTATGACAAGAGTGGGATTTGAACCCACGCCCTCTTACGAGGATGAGAAACCTGAACTTAACAGGCAAGCCTTTCGCTTGAGTCACACGCCATAGACCGCTCGGCCATCTTGCCATATTTACTTGCTCCCGAGCTTGTCAACAATATTAGACCCCGCTTGACTCGAAGGTGCACGCGAGTCTCGAGACATGCCGATTTCTTACCATTAACAGGCCACAAAGCGCAGTTGTCGTTGATTTTTTCTTCGGTAGTGTCTGATCATCGAAGATAAGCGCACAGTTTATTTCAACGGCGAATGAATAGTGACCTCCTGTGGTAGCTTGCAATCTGAACCTCGCACACGATACACTTTAAAGCCCACCAAAGTCTAGCTGAGTACATATTCAACTTAATACCACACCTTTAAGTTATTTAAGTCTGTAGATCTGTATGTTGTGACAAGATCGACTCGTAACACATATGTCATTTAACGCTGTTGGCTACCTTCGTCTTCTGAGAGTCTTTTCTCAACCGGATATTAGCTGCACGATGCTCTGGAGGGACAGACACCCATCACATAAGATCTGGCGCTGCTGTCATGAACGTTGTGAGAGAGATATCCACTCCGTCCATGCTACAAGCGGCACGGTCCGATCTCCAGAAGTCCCTGTGCATTCGCGTGACCAAGAGAGATAAAGCAACGACCTGAGTTCTGTTGCCGAATAAGTAACCACCACTTCCTCCAAATGAGAACACACAAACTCTGCAATCATGTGCACCACCGAAAACTACGTTTCGTGTTAATGGGGCGGCGTCGAGTGTCCATGATGACTTACCGGAAGGAAGGTCGTAGCGAGGACGACACCAAGAGAAAAAGCTGCACTATTTAGCAAGTAAATATTCGAGAATGATTCGAGCACGCACCAAAGCTGCAGCCAAAGTACAATAGATTGTGATGCACGAGACCACGCATAAGTCGGTTTTCGATCCTCCAGCCACCATGACTCTCGACCGCGCGATACAGCACACACACCAAGATTTCTGAAAGTGTACACATGCGAGGCATACGGTTAGTTCAAGTTCATATTTGAGTAGCTCCTAATACCGACCTAACTCGGCAACACCTAGCAAGCAGTACACCACAATCACGAAAGACTTTGCCTTCGTATCCACATATCTGATACCCCCAGGGATCGAACATTCTCCTTTATGAAAAAATTAGAGGTTAAGAGCTGAGTAGGCAGACTCCACACACCCGCTGACGAGTTAAATTGCTGAAAGCAGACGATAATTGGCACTAGATAGGCCTACGAAGGATGAGTAAAACATCGTGCTTTAAAGTTGGCTGCAGCCGCCGGGTATTGGTCTCACAATGATGTTGATGATCTTGACCACCGCGAACCTTCTCTCCTGCTGCCATACTGCAAGTGATCTGAGTAGGAAGATACCTGACCACCAGGAATTCATTCGGATGTTAGAACACAAGATCGGCAATAGCCAGTTCGATTGGTAAACCCACACTCGGTGGAAAATATCGACAGCATCCCTACACCTAATGAGGTGTTAGACGCAGAGTCAGTATGCGTCAGAGTAAACCATCATTAGACCCACATATATTTGTTATATATAAGAAGCGACAAAGCTGTCATCGGGGTATGAGTTAAATTCACACGTCTGGAATATCTGACCATACAGTGGATGATCCACTAGGAAGGAAAGTCACTTGAAGAACATTATGAACGCATTGCACCCTGAGGACAATATGAAGGCGCAAATCCGATACTCACCAAGCATATTCAGTAACAGAAAGACAGATGGCAAGTAACTGCAGGCGAGATAAAGCACTGTACCGAGCCCGTACCGAGACTTGACAATAAATGCGACCTGCACCAATTACAGTTCAGAGTACTATAGGGGGTTCAAGCAAATTTCCACTTGCCGAGTCAGTCATGCATAGTATGTAATCGTATACCTGAATGTTAAAATGAAACAATGAATTACTGTAAGGTCACGACAACTTGTATCGCTCACCCAAAGTGAAGTTAATGCAACTGTCAGGAGAAGTAACATAGATCAATGTAAGCAACTGATTTAATGGGCACCAGCCGCACCATAATAGTACTGGGACGAGACGTTGGTGATCCAGGATTGACTCGACGACAGAGGTTGTACTCACGTTTGACCACAAGAGCACGCCAGCTTGAGACTCTTGCAAGGCACTCATACTGGCTGATGGCGATAAATCACTTCGTTACGGGTCGTTTATAAGATATGCAGTTCAGGTAATGCAACATCCCGTGAACGTTGACACCGAGAGCTGGTGATCCTGTCGTAATGCAAACTGTGGCGTCGAGCATGGTCTTATCGGTGCGGTCGCGACAGCTGCAGCTCCGGTTGCATCAGAACATGCCAAGCCACAAATGAGTAGCAACACACCACACAGAAAGGGCATTTTTCCATGGGCATCACCACAACGATCATCATCCACGTTCTCTTTTCTGATGAACAGATCGAGAATCAATCAGCGGGATAACGTTCGACCCTGGGTACATCAAGGAGGACATGCATTGGTCACTACAGTTTAACGGGATGTAGTGAATAACAACTGAGCAGCACGATGGGAGAGACGTACGAAAAATCAAATGAATAGCAAGCAGGCATAGGAAATACCAATAACGTATCTCATCATACAATGCTGTCGAAAACAGCAGCTCGTACACGCATTGAGCAATGTCAGGAGTAATGCAGCAGCCTAGATGCTTCATCTTCACAGCACTGCTGAGATGTTAGCATAACACGAGCGAAGATAACGCACCTGTACAAATGCAACTCTCTCGACTCCAAACAACATATCCACAGCCTCTGCTATTAGTCCGTCCGGTTCTTCTGTGAAGTAAAGGTCTTTTTAGTGGTACTTGCAGCGAGCGGGGTGATACCCTGAGTGAATGACTGACTCGGTAAGAAGAAAAGTCAGACGACTATTCACTGCCCAAAATGTGCGATCCCGCGATATCTCCTGTGGACATCGCCCAAAGCCCGTCTCGCGCGTGAGGTGAACAAGCCTTCAATAGCTCATATACACCTTCTAACAAGAATATTGAGGTCAAGGTAGACAAGCCAGTCAACTCACCGAGAATCTTAGTCCCTGCAAGACGACATATTACAGATTTAGTTAGTTGAAGATGCGGTTCCATCTGAATGCCACTGCCCAATGAGCATCCCATTTCTAATAACCAACACCCGCCACGACCTCAAAAGCGACAGCAAACAAAAACCCATGGGAACCTAGAAAGGAGTGGTACTGACGCGTCTTGAGATGACAATCGGCCGCGACTGCACAATTACTCGTTTATAAGGAAGTAAAATCCCTTCATATTCGGACTACAAGTCACTACTGTGATAAGTCGTTGGATGATGCAGAAGACAAATATTGTTGAAGCAAGACTTGCAGAAGCAGTAAGAGAGAAGGTTGGTATGCGTCCGAATATATGAGCGAGCAGAAACATAAGGAACCAGCGTGTGCCTAACTCCATGGCTCGTTTGAAGGACTCTGAGAGGTCTAAGTAGCTAGCAGCACATTGTGAAATGATGCTCACTCGTCACGCGTTCGTGTGAGTGATCGCGGCAGTTGCCGCAATTGGTGTATGTCCGTAAGATTCTAGAAGAACTTGTTCCGAGTCCATCGCCTTGATTCTCGGATGTTCGTTAAAATTCAACTGTGTCCCAGTCACCCAACCCAAGTCGTGACTCGTCAACATCCGAGTCATGATAACCGCATGCCTGATAGAGCTGCGCATGTTCTCCAGGACCCAGCCAGAAGTGAGCTGCCTAGCTTCACGACACGAACGTAATGCTACCTACCTCCGTGTGAGTCTGCATACCAACATTCAGCCAGACTAATCAAGCTCAATTGCAAGCTTGAATGGGCTCCCATTTAATATTTGCACCGTATGACAGTCAATCGTGCAGATTGGCTAGTTCGTCCACTTAGCTCCAAGTGGTGCTCCGCACTTACACTTCTTTGAATAATTATTTCTGACGATAAACACCGGTGCCGGAGGAGAATCACTCGGGCCCGCATTCGACGGTCATTCATGTTCCTACCGCGAGTCAGTCAAGCTCCTAGTCATAGTAGCCCTGCCACAGACACGGCTATAAATCTCCCAACAGATTACCTAGATCCCACATCGAATCCAACACAACAATGAACACATCTACCATCGCTATACCCTCTCCATCAAGTCTCTGGACAACCGTACGTTCGGTTGGCGTACTCAATGTCGCTGTTTCATTCGCTGCATTATGGGCATTTGTCAAAGTCCTAAGGGTGCTTCGCTCGCGGTTAAAGACGACTCAACTGCGGGGTCCTCCTCGTACCAGCTTCATATATGGTGTTTCGCACGACCTCGACTCATCCCATGATAGTGGTGCGATGTATGAACATTGGGCTACAGAATATGGGGTAGTGTATATGATTCCGGGCGTCCTCGGACAAACTATAACCGTGCTGTGTGACCCAAAAGCTATAGCACATTTGTATGCCCGAGAGACGTGGACCTATATGCAGACGCCCGCTTCGTTGGCATCTATGGAGGCATCAGTATGTCAACGTCCTCTTCTTACCTCATCTATCTAATATCTCTTATCAGCTCGGCAGAGGGGTAATGTGGTCTCATGGTGAACAACACAAGAGGTTCGTTCAGTTCTTGTCCTCGCGCCAGACACTAATCGACTACCTGCGAATCAGGCAGCGGAAGGCCCTTGCACCAGCTTTCAGTAATGGAGCCATCCGGAAACTTACATCCGTGTTTTATGACTCAGCATACAAGGTAAGGGTTTGCAATGTAGGAACTGTATATCTGAGCTTGAAACGTTACAGGCCAAATGCGCATGGGATACCGCTATAGAATTGAACAAAGATGGGAACGCCGTCATTGAAGTTCAACACTGGTGTGTAGTTTTTTCTGGCTTGACGAAGTACCATTCCTAATCGAAACAACTCAAGGATGAACCATATATCGTACGCGATGATTTTTTTTTGCCATTTAAGCCTCGAACTGAATAACGCAATATCAGTCTGGATACGATTGGCATTGCTGGTTTCTCCCATGATTTTGGCTCGCTCGGTGGAAACCGTGCCAGCGTGACCGAGGTGTTTGATACTTTTGGAAGCAACTCACGGCCCTCAGCAGTGAACCAAGCCTTTGACCTGCTCGCGACAACATTTGCTATCTTTACCAAGTTCCCCACAAAGCGGATGAAGCTGTTCAAGAAACTTGGTGTAACCATGGGAGACATATCGAACGACTTGTTGATTCGCAGTCGTCAGGAAAAGGATGCAAATATGATCGAGAGAGACAATGAAAAGTCCATCATTGGATTATTGCGTACGCTCTCCACATGATTCATGGTATTCCCTTGATTGACGCGATGATTAGTAAAATCTGAAAGCCAGGATACCGAGCTCCATATGTCCAAGGAGGAAGTAGTGGCTCAGGTCCGTGGAGATTATGACAGCCATGACGTGCAAACTGACATCCTGCAGATGAAGGTCTTACTTGTCGCGGGTTATGAGACGACAGCTAGTGAGTTGATTCTTTTGCGGTGCTATCACATTGGCTGATTCTTCCTTGACAGTCAGCCTAACGGTAAGTCCTACTGTCCGATAACGTCTGCACGCCATTCATGTGGTGATCAGTGGGCGCTGATCGAGCTATCGCAACACCCCGACGATCAAACCAGACTCAGAGAGGAACTGCTTGCGTTTGGTGCTGATCCGACATACGACCAATTAAAGGCCAAACTCCCATACTTGGATGCGGTTGTTCATGAAGTTCTACGACTCCATCCTCCGGTACCCGATTTCATTCGTCTCGTGAGTGCGCCTGTCTAGGTGCGATAGACACGCTGACAGTAAATATACAGGCAGGCGCAGATGACGTTATTCCCTTGAGCGAACCTGTGTGCAACGCATCCGGGGAAATGACGGATAACATATCTGTAGCGAAGGGGACATTGATCACGATATCAGCCGCGGCTATCAATCGCTCTTTGGCCATCTGGGGACCTGACGCAAAAGAATTCAAGCCTGAACGTTGGCTGGCTGAAGATGGTATTAGCGGGAAGGCCAAGGAAGTCCAAGGCCATAAGCATTTGCTGACATTTGTCGACGGCCCGAGGACGTGTCTTGGAAAAGATTTTGCAATTGCGGAGTTCAAGGTGATCGCTACGAATCAGCTTGTTAGATTTTCGACGTTACTCACTGCGACACAGACGGTTTTATTGGTTCTGGTGAAGAACTTCGTGTTTGAGATGCGGGATGGACCGGATACTCGGATCGAGGTTGTGAGAGGGATTTTGCCTCGTCCGCGGGTTGTTGGAGAAGATTCTACTGGAGTACCTTTGAAAGTTCGTCGGTATGAATGATCGGTTACGCTGCACTAGCAGCTTCACATATTCCTCACTTATTCGCGGCCGGGACTCTTAAATGACATGTGTATAGCTCTGTCAGCCTGCAGAAGCACAGATTTGATCCACCCCGACGTTGACCAGAGGCTGCGTTATCTGTCCGTCTTCGAACAGCGCCTGTTCGAGAAGTCGCAAGGTCAAGAACGAACTACTAACAAGGCAAAACGCATCAAGAACCTCCTCGACACATGGATTGTTCTTCACGAACAACACGGACCACATTTTGCACCTCGGATTATAATTTTGATTGTTAAATTACCCCCGTTAGTGTCTTCCGCTGTGCCATAAATAATGCATGTCAATATCTCGCATTTCAACTTGTACCTCGAGTGATAGCGTGATTTAAATGTACACTAGACATCGAAGGAAGCCTTACTTATCGGGTCAGTGCATGTCAGGCACGCGCTATACTAACGCCCTAAGCTCACAAGGTAAATCTCCCTAGATATTTTCGGGCACCAGCCGAAGAGGGCCAGACTGTCGGTGTGATCAAGCCACGACAGTGGAGAGGCTATGTGTATTCGGCGACGTCTATCTGAATAAATAGCTACATTGTAGCATACACAAGGCTCTACAACTTAGGGGAAATGTGGAAGCGTACAGTGAATGATTACGGAGAAATATAATGTCAGGAGCAACGGAAGAGAAACTGGGAACTGCAGACGTCAGTGAGCGTGACGGCGTGAAAGAAGAAAGCAAACATACACGATGCATTACTCATCGCTGACCTCGCCGGAATTCTCGGCATCACTTGATGGCGGTGGGGTCTGCTTCTTCTTGCGGCTAGCTTTGGCTTTAGGTGCGCCAGCTGCGGCTTTTGGCTTCCTGGGTTTGACCTCCTTGCCACGATTAGGGTTCTCGGGTGCTTCCCGCCACATTGCTGCAATCTTTGAGACGTGTTAGACATGGGAGGGACGCATATATGCGCATATACGCACCTCGGACATGGCTTCTTTGATGGGTGCGCCGGGATGTGCATCCTTCCACTCTTTCATGTGGGCTTGTACGAAGAGGTTGTATGCGCTTGGGGCACGCTTTGGTTTGTCTTCCTTGTCTGTGATGAAGTCAGTAGGACGAAGAACACACATAAAGGGACAACGAACCAGCCTTGGAGGTTTTGGCGTTTGCGCGTTTTGTTGCAGCCTTTGTCGTTGATTCTATGGGACGATGAGGAGATGTCAGGACTTGAGGACGTGTTGAACTGACCTGTTGCTGATTTTGCCATGATGGTTATGATGAGGGTGAATTGGGTGATTTGATTTGAAAGGTTATCGATCTTTAAACGTAGTCGCGTCGGGGTTTAAACGCGACGTGTTATTTGTCACGTGGAGTGGTCAGTGCACTAGGGAATTTGGCTGACAACGGGGATAGCCGAAACCTATTTGAAGAGGATGCATTTGGCTCGAAATGATCGCATCAACCTTCTTTGTTCTGTTTCTGTTTCATTTCTTCACTATTCCTCCCGACGTAGCGCCATCACCGCTCGACATCCCAATTCGTTCTCCACCGCAGATCATACCTTCTAGAGACCATGTCTCCTTCCGCTCTTTCATCTGCACTTCTGGCTGTTGCAGCGGTGTCTCGCATCACGTTCGTCAACGCTCAGCCCGACCCTGCTGACCCCACCCCCCTCGTTGACAAGCACTATGCTTACCCGTCTGGTATCGTAAGTGCGCTTTGCGGCGGGTGTAAAGGAACGTACTCATCGCGTGTTAGCCATACCAAGTCGACTATAACACCGCTGCTATCCGCGGTCCCCAAGTCGGTTACAACATTTGCAACTCCACAACCGAGAATCAGAACTCCATGTGTCAAACTTCCTTCGTGAACCACATCGACGGTCAGCTTCGGCGCGAGTTATCGCACCCGTGGAGATTTTCTAACCGTTAAGTTACGCAGACTTCTGCCTCTGGGCTCCCCCACAGCCTAACTCCACCATTGGTGACACCGAGGGCCAGGAAGTCGCCTGGTGTACAAAGCCTGGACACGGTACTCGTGTCATGCCCGCGGGTGCTCTCCAAGGCGTACAGCTCATCAAGACGCCCAACTACATCCAGATTGCCGGTTTCATTGACCAGACCCAGGTCAACATTGCTGCTGGTGACTACGGAGGCGAGTTGGACCCCCACGGTGCTGATCTGGTGAGCGAAAAATTTACCATGGGATATCTCCCATGGGTGGAGCCCTAACGTGATTCATAGCGCGGTAACCCTCTTGGCGGTCTCATGTACTCCAACGCGTTCCCCAGCAACGGCGGTAACAATGCCTCTTACCAACAAGTCATTGACTGGACTAAGTGCGTCCCTTCCATGCGTCTCCTCTGCTTGTCTGATATCTATTTCAGCTTCATGGGCGGCGACGCCTTCTGCATGAAAATCTGTGACCCCGCCGGTCAAAACCAACAGGCTCTCTGCCAAAACATCTATGATCGTCTCGGTTGCGAATACAACGCACCCAACAACGCACAGAAGGGTGTCTTTGAGGTCTGTGAAGGTGACGACATGTCCCCTGTCGGTGTCTACACCACCAACGGTGCTACCTCGACTTACTACCAACCCCCCGAATCTCTTGGTCCCATCACCACCGTGCCATACACTCCCACGCCTGCTCCAAGCTCGAACTGCGTGACGTACGCGAGCACGGCACTATACACTAGTCAGCCAGCACCAACCGGCGCAGCCACGAGTGCCGGTGCAAGCGGAGCAAAGACAACAGCTAGCGGCACCGGGTCCGCTGTGTCACCAGCTAAAACTGGTGGTGCAGCCACCATGGGCGTATCCCTTGGCGCTGGACTTGTGGGTGTGGTATTCGCAATGGCGTTCTTGTCATAAGCCGGTGTGGATATCATTGGGTTGACGGGACGTTGCATTCACATTCGCAGGATACACATACCACAGTTTTATCATTTCATCTTGTCGCACTTCATATCGCACACTGCATGGATTTAGGATGATGGACAATTTGTTAGACACGCGGATACAAACACACGGACGTTGGTCGTTTATTCGTTCATTGCATCGAGATTATCATAATACCTTTTAATGCCTTTGGCGAGTGGGACTGTAGGCCTGACGCTGTATGGTGAGTAAACTTGACAAAGATTGGATAATTAATTCGATCGATGTTATCTCAAGGAACACTGAAAGAAATATCGCGCCTTTCGGTTAAGGACGGAATACTTGGTTCCGCGGAAGCAATTCGCGTATGTACGCGGAACAGCTGTCTCAATTCTATTGGACTGACCTGTGGGGAGACTAGTGGCTCACATGTGCGAGTTCCATCGCAGCTCCACCAGCGCTCCCTTTCACCATTGTCATGGCGCTTGACGATCACGGCCTCAATGTGCGCCACTTCAACTTGTCCCTGATCGGACTGGCCATGCCAGTGTAGGCGGCCCAGACTGGGCTAAGCTTCGACTCTACTATGATGGTACGCACCCAACAAATTGGGTTTTGTATCCCCCCCCCCAGCACATGGATGGCCGCAGGCTCATTCTCAATACCTGTCACTGGTTATCCTACAACTATTGGTAATGTGCTCTTGGTGAAAGTTACAGTGGTTTTTGAAGATGGATTGATTGCCTCTTGGATCTCAGGCGCTGGTCACGGTGAGATCTGAGACAGGAGACTGCTGCTGTACGGCCAGTGCACGCGACAATTTTTAGTGGCTCGCAAGCTATCTACTGGCGACGTGCGGTGCTTCTGAATCAGCTCCACATTGATCCTTGACCAGGTATCGTCATTTCTCTTTCTGTTATTCGATATCGTGAGTTGATTGACAGTGCGCTGATCAACCGAACTCTACAGAACACAAGTCGTGTTATTCGAACTGGATTTCTGACAATGAATCTGATGCGATAAACGGTTTACAAATATGTCATGGTAATATTCTACATTTCCTGAAAAATCTTGGTTTCGATGTCTACAGTCCGGATGTCCAATAGAATTTTTTGTCCAAAACGACCTCGACGCAAGGCAGGGACGTTGTCAAGCTCTCCCCAGGCCAGTCAATGGACGGATATTTGTCGTAGGCGGCTCTTTCACCACCCATCCTTGACCCTGCCTGTTCGTCACAGCCAGCGGGCTAGAGTCCGCTATACATAGTGCATACTTCTTGTCTGGCGTGTCGACTTGGAATGCCTATAAAATTCGATTCCTACTAACGTGAATTTTGCATTCATGTAATAGGTACTCAAAAATACGAGCATTTGCCAGCAAGGACGGCACCGACAAAGCCAGCGTTTCTCGAATGAATCCTTTGTTTCGATCAAGCAAGCTGTCATGGTGTGCGGAGTCCGGACAAAACCATTGTTCGTGCTTTCTCTACATGCGGCAACTGAGCACTGGTCATCAGATCAATCAGGTTCAAACTTTACATGCTCTTGGCCACGCCCTCCTTCAAGTTGCAACGTTCGAAGACACTATGGTGAATACATGCTCGAAAGTCGAGACCCAGTACATTGATCAGCAAACCAGCCTCGATCTATCTTCATAAGTAACTAGCTGATACCCGAAGTTCTAGACGTCGATAATTTCAATCGTGCTAGTACCTTCCACGGTCTGTTCTTCTTCCGGATCGAATAAATAAATTCTATCTTCGTCTATCCATATGTCAGGTGCGCCCCGGAAGGTTCTGTCCAATACGACATCGACATAAGGCAGGAATGTTGTCAAGGTGTCCCCTGGCCTGAAGTCGTCACATATGAAATCTTGATCAGTGACGTCTATCGTAGATGGCTCTTTCACCACTCGTCCTAGACCCCGCCTGTTCATCACAGCTAGCGGACTGAAATCCATCGCATGTAATTTAAACTCCCCGAGGACACAAAATGACTGCAAAACTCGATTGCCACAAACGTAAACTCCGCAGAAATGTGGTTGATCGAAAATACGGGTATTTGATGGGCCCCAGTCCTCCCATGGTATTGGCGTTGCTGCTGCTATTCCGTCAAGGTCGAAGAAAACCTTTGTGGAAATGATGAAGACACGAGAAGCGGGACGGGGCGCGAAAATGCATAGTATGCGATGTGCAGGGTCAGAAGTGTACATAGATTGTTGGGCTTGGATCTGATGAATATCATCCATCGGAAGGATAAACTGTGTTTCATCCAATGGGATGGGCATCAGAAAACACGCCAGCAATTGTGGCGTCTGGGACATATCCTCGATGGAATAGATCCTCAAATCGTCGATCCAAGCGAGCAACCTATTATTTCCGAGGAAACAAAAATCGAATATGGTGCTGTATTCGGGATCCATTAAGCCGCTGAGGGCGCTCTAACTTGGAAATCAACTGACAAGTCTTCAACTGTCTGATCAAAGCTCACATTGGATGTCGTTGAGTGTTGCCAGTCCCAAATCTGTAACTGCCACATGTCGTCTGACGAAGTCCCTTGTTCAACGGACAAACTGCGCTGCAAAGCAATATGCCTTCCAAAACCTTTGAGAACGAGGCCCACTGTGTGTATTTCCGAGTCATCGTGTCCGGGCAGCCCGGACAGATACATTGTTTGTCCAGCAGCGCGGGGGTGAACACCATCGACACTCAATGCTTTAAGGTCAATATAAGTTGTCTTGTGATCAACAATATACACGACGGCGATCAGATCTTGTGCTGGGTCCATGAACACATCCATGTTGGTTGAGTGGGGGACTGAACACAACGTTCCTGGAGACCAGTAGCGCTGGAATGTTTGTTGTGGGGGCTCCAGAAGAAGCGGAATGATCCTGGCAGTATCGTCGTCTTGGTCCCACAAATAGACATGCCCATTAGCGACGGATACGCTCGTAGTGCACTTTTTAAACGGTATAGGGAATGATTCGAAAGAGTTGACGTCAGCCTTGAACCATGCGTGAGTTTTATTCCTCAAGAGTTGTAGACGCTCGGAAATAGGTGTGTGGTTGTCCGTGTTGGATACAGGGAGCAAATGTTGGCCACCGAGTTCAACGATGTACTGAAGCTCGGAGGAGGATAGATATGTCTGGCGAAGGGCCTTACATATCTGCAAGAAAATCGTCAGTATAAGACAACAATAACATGAGTCAAAGACCGCCACTCACAGATGTGCAATGAAGGATATCTCGGTAAGGAAGAAAGCTCAGTATAAAAACCCGGAGTTCTTCAGCAAGAGACAGGAACCCTGTATTGGGCTTCATTTCGTGGTCCACCGTGACTCTCTTGATTGAAGATGAGATGGATAAGTAGCCTGGACTTATCGGATATATCATATGTGTGGGAAGTCATGATGGAAAGATTTCAGGTCGGAGTCGGACCACCGCTACACATGCACGCCGCACGAGCACTAAGTTACCTAGCTTGGTAAACCTGGGTGCAACTAGTATAAGTCGAATCCCGATCGCCTGTTTGCCGCATCGAAAACGCACCAGCTCTTTCTGAATCTCAGTCACGTAGGCGATGTGCCTATACATGAAACTGTATTTTCGACAATAAACGAAAGAAAAACGAATGTGGTAAGCAACGGATGAGCGCTTGAGCTCAGACCTTTCTGCACTTGTATGTATTCTTTTAATTCGTCCACTGGCAGTTCACTGATTCAGATGCTTCAAGCTCTTACAACCCTCAACCAACCGTCGTCTTTCCTGCATCATTCTGGAATCGAGACACCATTTTGTTACCTGCATAACCCATGTCATATCACACTTTCTAGGTTCCACTCTTTTTTGCCCTTCGCAATTCTCCCAGCAGCGATATTCCCATCTCCCGCCTTCTCGGTGTCTGAATTCTCTGGTGCAAAGACCCTCAGCCGTATACGCGTCCTTCCGTGTAACTATCCCCGTTCTTGTGCAACTCACATGAGTGGTTCTCGGCAGCAGTTTTCTGGACTATATTCTGCTACAGCCTCGGAATCCTGTCTACCGACGAGCACCTCTATACCTCCCTTGACCAGCCGCGATGGACGTTGTGTTCCATTTGATCATGTAATGGGGCACGTAATGGCCGTATGTACATCCACAGAGCTGGACTGCCTTCAAGAGTCACCCTTTATGGTAGACACATGCTCGAGACCCACTAGCATCCGTGCCTCCTACTTCGTAAACCCACTGTCCTCGAAATGTGACCAATAACCAGAGCGCTAATATTTAACAGTGCTATTACAAACTGATACCCTAATGTTCTGCTCTAGACGTCAATCACGTCAAGCCTGGTACTCTGTACTACGAGACCAAGTGTGGAACCTGCCATAACGTGTCCCACATCTATCTTGAACAAATAAATTCTATCCTTGTCGATCCATACTTTGTGTAACTGTGAATCGACAGAACCGAACCTTCCGTTCAATATGACGTCGACATAAGGTAGGCTCGTTGTCAAGTTGTCCCCGGACCTGCCAGTGATATCGCTGGTGACTATGGTAGATGGCTCATTCACCACTCGCCCTAGACCCCGCCTGTTTGTCACAGCTAGCGGGCTAAAGTCCATCACATGTAATACATACTCCGCGTGTCGCATGCCGAATGGGAATGTCATCAAAACTCGAGTCCCGCTAACTTGAACTTTGCATTGATGTCGAGGCTCGAAAACACGGGTATTTGAAGGGCCCCAACGGTTCCACGGTATTGGTGTTTCTGCTGCCGTTTTGTCTAGGTCGAAGAAAATACTTGTGGTGACGATGAAGACTTGAGTATGAGGATAGCACGCGACAAGGCATAGTATTCGATGTGTAGGGTCTGAGGTGTACATCGTTTGTTGGCCTTCCATCTGATCAATATCATCCATCGGAAGGAGGCATTGTAATTTCAATGAGAGGGGCATCAGGAAACAAGCCAGCAATTGTGGCGCCTGATACATATCCTCGATTGAATAGAGCTTCAAGTTAACGTTGACAACCAGGAATCTATCGTTTCCGAGGAAAGAAAAATCGATATTGCGTGGATTTGTATCGCTGAGGATGCTCTAAATTGAGGATCAACTATCAAGTCTTTCAACCGTCTGATCAAAGCTTACATTGGATGTCGTTGAGTGCTGCCAGTCCCAAATCTGCAACTGCCATATCTCGTCAGATGAAGTCCCTGGCACAACGCACAAGCGGCGCCCCAAAGCGATATGTCTCCCAAAACCTTTGAGTGTCGCACTTTTTGTTTCAGTGCGGTTTTCGTATCCAGGCAGCTCCGACAGAAACAGTGTCCGTCCGGCAGCTTTGGGATGAACACCATCATCTTTGAGGGCTCTAAGGTCGATATAGAGTTTTTCATCCGACTGGAGTGGTCCATCAAGGACAGCATACACAATGGCGAACAAGTTTTGTGCTGGATCCATGAATACATCGATGTTGGTTGAGTTGGGAATTGAACACAGCGTTCCTGGAGGCCATTCGCGCTTGAATGTTTGTTGTGAGGGCTTTGGTAGTATCGGAATGATCGTGGCTGAGTCTTCGTAATCTTCATCTGCATCCCAAAAGTACAGATGCCCATTAACGATGAACATTTCGTCAACGTACAGTTCGATTGGTAAAGTAATCGTTTCGAAAGATTGGGTGTCAATTCTGAACCACGCGTGAGCTTTGTCCCTCAAGAGTTGCAGGCGCTTGGAGATAGGGCTATGATCGTGCATGTTAGGGACAGGGAGCAAGCGTTGGCCACTGAGTTCAATGGTGTACTGAAGCTCGGAGGACGACATGTACGTCTGGCGAAAGGCCTTACATACCTGTGAGAGAATCGTCAGTATCTATTATCTAGAGCATTAATAATAAGCATGTTGTGACCCACGGATGTACAACGAAGAATATCTCGGCAAGGAAGAAAACTCAGAATGTAAAACCAGAGTTCTTCAGCAATAGACAGAAATCCTGCTTTGAGCGTCATTTTGTGGTCCACTGTTTTCACAAGGTGAGATAGACAACTAGCCTGGACTATTGGATGTAAGTGAGAAGTTATTTGCAAAGTTTTGAACACCCACCGTAACACCCACCGACCATGCAACTTGAGCAAGAGTGGAAACTTGCCTGGCAAGGTTATTCGGTTTCGAACGTTCAATGGAACAAGAGTTGCATGGGCAATGACAATGCACGCATGCTACACCGTACGGTGACGGAACAATCATGGAGGCTCGTGCTAATTTACATAAATATATGATGCGGCTCCATGTTTGTTGAGACCCACATTCGTAAGCTCCATGGAAAACTCCCAAGTCCGAGTAAGTACTCCGGCTCGTGTTGGTTTCCCAATTGACTAGTTTCAAGTAATTGTTCATCGCGCCCGAGACCACAAACTTTTCGACGAAATGCAACCCAATGTCAGGTTCCTCTCTCTTGTTGAAGAACTCCAGTTCTACATCCTGTGCTTCCTTCCTTACCGAGATATTCTTCGCTGCACATCTGTGAGTCGCAGAAGTTCCAGTTTCCATGCTGATGTTCTAGATGAACTTCTATTCTGACAACCCTCTTACAGGTGTGTAAGGCCCTTCGCCAGACATATCTGTCCTCCTCCGAGCTTCAGTACATAGTTGAACTCGGCGGCCAATGTTTGCTCCCTGTACCCAACACCGACAACCACACACCTATTTCCGAGCGTCTACGACTCTTGAGGAATAAAGCTCACGCTTGGTTCAAAGTTGACATTCACTCTTCCAAAACAACCTCTGTACCACCGCACCATGCTTGTGAAACATCTCTCACTGATGGGCATTTCTACATGTGGAACCGCTGGCGTCGCATGGCGTCGATCATTCCAATACTACCAAAGCCCTCGCAACGAACCATCCAGCGTGACTGGTTTCGAGAAACATTGTGTTCAGTTCCCAACTCAACTAACCTCCGTGTGTTCATGGACCCAGCACAAGATCTGAAAGCTGTCTTCTATGTTGTTGATCGCAAGACAACCTATATTGACCTTAGAGCGCTGGATGTTGATGGTGTTCACCCCCATGCTGCTGGACCGACACTGTTTGTGTCGGAGCTGCCTGGATGCGACAAACCCGTAAATTGGAATCTCAAGGGTTTTGGGAGTTATATTGCTCTACTGCTTGTTTACGATGAGATGTGGCAGCTGCAGATTTGGGACTGGAAACGCTCAACGACATCCAACGTGAGCCTTGGTCGGAAATAGTTGAAGGACTCGACAGCTGACTTTCAATTTAGAGTGTCCTTGGCGACGAATGGTCGTGCGGGATCGATTTTTGTTTCCTCGGAAACAATAGATGGCTCGTTGTCAGCGACAATCTGAAGCTTTATTCAACCGAGGATATGTCCCAGACACCAAAATTGCTGGCGTGTTTCATGCTGCCCGTCCAATTTAAACTGCCAGGCCACACGGCATGTCTCCTTCCAGTGGACGATAGTGCGCGTAGTTCGCGACTGCAGATGCAAGTCCAACAAACGATGTACACCTCAGATCCCAAACACCGACTACTCTGCATTACCACGTACACGAATTCATCTATTGTCTACATCATTTCCACGAGGATTTTCTTCGATCTCGATGATATGGCAGTAGCGATGCCAATACCATGGAAATGCTGGGGCCCTTCAAATACTCGTATTTTCTGGTACCCACTGTCACCATACCATGACGAATTCAAAATTCACCTCAGCGGGAATCGAGTTTTACTGTTATTCCCAGTCCGCACGCCACTCTCGGACAATACGATATCTAAATTGCGTATTATGGACTTCAGCCCGCTAGCTGTGACGAACAGGCGGGGTCTAGGACGAGTGGTGAGAGAGCCATCTACATTAGACCTCACTGATCTAGAACCTCTATGCGACGAGTCTGAGGGGTGCTTGACGACTTTCCTGCCTTACATTGAGGTCGTATTGGACCGAAAGTTCCGTGATTTGGAGGATATATGGATAGATGAGGACAGGATTTACTTGCTTTCGGACGAACTTGAGGTCATTGATGTTTAAAGCAGTCTATGATCAATCGCCGAGTTTGTTTAGACTCTCCTATATTATCTAGGACCTCGGACTCACCAGTGGGACCATCTAGCATTCCATGGAAAATTGGGTGGGTTGGAAAACTCAGAAAGACGGAAATGATCATGTTCTGCTGCGTCCGAGCGTGGCAGCAACATAGCGCATCTGCTGTTCCGGTTCCGGGCTCCCCAAGGCAGACCAGACTTGTTTGATGCGCATGCGGTGATGAAACATCTCATGCACTTGCAATGCTAACGATGGCTCCAGAGACCCAGGTACCTATTACCTATGCAGTGGTCTCGACCATCCGATACAATGAGTGAGAAGTCATTAAAACGATTTGAATCACTGGTCGCCGGTCATTCGGAGCACAAAAGGATCACGAACCACTGCTAGGTGGACTGGTTCCTTGTGCAGTGGGCGTCTTTCATAGCAAATGTCATAACGACTCAGTTGTTGACACCCGCTCAGCCTGTAGGTGTCATCCTTGGGTTCACTCTGATCATCGCGCGCTGTGGTCAACACCACTCTACGTGGCTTCTGCGTTCGTAAATCGAGCTCACAATGAATCATGGCTTGGATCCATGAACACTGCTCGCTCCGAACATGTGAACGACCCGAGGGTGTCTGAGTCTGTGCCTTCCTTTCGCACTAGCGAAGAGAGGGTACTTACCTACAGGATGCTGCGGGATTCATTATTACTGCCTGCGCAGGTATGAGGGAACGATCTCGCTGCCTGATCTCTGCGGTGGAGCTTTGCCGAGGACGAGGGGACAGATTGAACCGGGAGGAAATGGTCGGGGAGGAAGTGGGCGGTGTGGAAGACGACAATGGCGCCGATGCCAGTGTGAGCCCGGGGGCCAAATCTCGCGGAGAGGTTCCAGGAGAGGACACGCCAAGACAAAATCGAAAGCGACAGGTGTGCAGGCGCTTGACTTTATAATCCTCAGCAATTTTAATGGGATTCCAAATTGCAAGTGTGACACTAGACTTGCCTTTCTGGGTCCGATTGCCGATTGCTACCATTGCAGCCCGTGTATATTCTTGCAAAGATAACGCGAGAGATGCTGGAGCGTGCCATCGATTTGACCGCCCATTACTGAGACAAAGAGTGCCTGCAAGTCATTCCAACTGCTTCGTCGCATGAGACTCATCTGCACAGGATGTTTCCGATGAAACGATGGTCACGATTCAGAAACAGTCTCGACTACTAGTGTTACGCAGCAATTTTGTGATCGAGCGGCTCAGGACGCTGTTTTAATCGTCTACCACAAGGGTCAGAGTTGGCGTTCAACATTCAGAACGTTCAGGTCTCGTTGATCCTCATTAACCATTGTGGCAAGCCTTGGCGCAAGTAACAATGGACTTAAGCAAGCACTGCAGATATGAATTAGTCGTAGGATTGCACTGAAGTCCATGTGTCAGCTATTCTACCAAACGATTGACTAGCTCAGTAGGTAACTGCGTGGCGATAGACTCTGCTCTACACACTAGACGTCAATGACCTCGAGCCAGCTAGACTGTGGTATAATATTGTCGCGTTCCCATTTGGCGTTGAGCAAATAAACTCTATCCCTATCAATCCATATTTCTTCTAACTGAAAAAGGTCAGAACCGAACTTTCCGTCCAACACGACCTCGACATAAGGCAAAGATGTTGTCACGCTTTCCCCGGACTCCTCGATGTCTATCGTAGATGACTCTTTCACCACTCGTCCTAGACCCCGCCTGTTCGTCACAGCCAGCGGGCTGAAGTCCATCAGATGTAATATGAACTCCCTATGAACCGAGTCTGGCTCGTTGACTGGGAATGCCTGCAAAACTCGATTCCCGCGAACGCCAACTTTGAATTCGTCCATGTGCTCGAAAATACGAGTATTTGAAGGGCCCCAGCATTTCCATGGTATTGGTGTTGCTGCCGCCGTTCCGCCAAGGTCGAAAAAGATCTTCGTGGAAATGATGAACAGTCGGTGAGGAGAGGTCATGCTATTAGTAATGCAAAGTAGCCGACGCTTAGGGTCTGAGGTATACATCGCTCCCATATCCGGTTCTGAGCTGTGCTGAATATCATCCATCGGAAGGAGGCAGGCTATGTTTACCAATCGAACGGGCATCAGGAAACACACCAGCAATTGCGGCGTTTGGGACATATCCTCGATGGAATAGAGCTTCAACAAATAATCAGTAACAAGGAGCAACCTATTGTTTCCGAGGAAACAACAATCAACTTCGGAGCGAATGTCCAGATACATGTCGCTGAGGACACACTACATTGAGAATCAACTGTTGAACCCCTTAACTGTTTCTAACCAAGACTCACATTGGATGCAGTCGAGTGTTGCCAATCCCAAATTTGCAGCTGCCACATATTGTTGGATGAAGTCCCTGGTGCAGCGACTACGCAGCGCAGCAAAGCAATATGCCTTTCAAAACCCTTGAGTTTCGCAATCAAATTCCATCCAGGCAGCCGCGGCAAAACCAGTGTCCGTCCAGCAGCTCGGGGGTGAATACAATCACTATTCAGAGCTCCAAGGTAAATATAGAAGATTGTGTCCCATGGGAGAGGACCGCCAGAAACAGCATATACAATGGCGAACAGGTTTTGTGCTGGATCCATGTAAACATTACATATGATTGAACCGGGAACCGAACACAACGTTCCTGGAGACCAGTGGCGCTCGAATTTTTGTTGAGAAGGCTTTGGTAGTATCGGAACGATTGCGGCCCAGTTTTCATCTTCGTCCCACAAGCGGATATGCCCATCGGTGAGGAACATGTCCACAGGGTGCATTCCATCGGCCTCTGGTAAAGAGACTGTTTCAAAAGAATGTGTGTTAAACTTGAACCATGCGTGGGCTTTGTCCCTCAAGAATTGTAGGTGCTTGGAAATGGGACCGTGACCATTTGTGCCGGGGACAGGAAGCAATTGTTGGCCACTCAGTTCAACAATGTACTGAAGTTCGGAGGAGGACATGTACGTCCGGTGAAGGGCCTTACATACCTGCAGGACGATTGTCAGTATAAAAGTCCATCTAGGACAACAATAGCATGAACACGATCATTAATTGTGACCCACAGATGTACAACGAAGAATATCCTGGCAAGAAAGGAAGCTCAGAATGTATGAGTAGAGTTCTTCTGGCAGAGACAGTAACCCTGCTTTGGGCTTCATTTGGTCATGAACTCTTAGACAAGGTGAAATGGGCAACTGGTCTCAACCAGAAATGAGTAGGAAGTCGTTGAAAATGTTTGAGCGCACGCTGCGCATTTATTGAACAGCGTGAATAAAGAATTGAAAGAATCAGGCGGACCTTGAAACCAAGGTCGACCAACGACAGCCACACATACTCCGAGTCAATACGTACTTAACCCAGCAGAGCCCAACTGCGCGACTCGGACATACCAGACGAGCAACTTCATATTGTTCATATCCCGACAATCTTGTTATAGCAGTGGAGGGCGAAAATGAAGATTTTGACAAGCCTATCGTGGGGTTCGGGCGAACTTTCAACTTGTTGTCAAATAGTCATGTGACATGTCGCCGCTGTCACGATCGCGAGTGCGCTTGTCAAGAAGGCGGTCTGGATTACTATGTATAAGGTGCTGCCCGTTGCCACATCAGTAATTGATGGTTTACCTGCGCGTAGCTAGCTAGCTACCGCTTCCTCCAGCGAGCGAACCGCTGTCAAAGTATCCTTGAACTGTTTATAGCTGGAGGCTAACAACCCCCTTGCGCATGAGGTGCGTTTATTAGTTTGTCCTTGAGTTCATTTCTCAAACTCGGCTTGGACGGATTCTTGATTATTATTTTTCGTTCTTGAACCTATTCGTTGGAGGGACGTTTTTTCGCAAAGGATCTGTGCTTGTCATCGGATCAGCTGCATTCGAGTCCATCAGTGTTTTGATACAGCTGGACCCATAGTATGGTGTGGAGTCAGTAGTACTGGCACCTTTGCGAGCTACAAAGTACAATTTCTATCATTTCAAGTCCACCAATCACATTTTCATGATCGCCCTTTGCTGTGTACTATACTAAGCTTAGCGTCTGGCCTCTGGAGTCAATGTTTCCTAAAGCTTTGCGTTCATTGGTAGCCCAAGCCCCCTCTACCCTACCTTCGAGTAAGCACCGCTCGTCATCATGGGGGCTAATCACAATCAATGTCACATCTCGGTTCATAGATTCTGGCGCCACTGCGTGTGCGCTCCACTGAGAAACCCTTGAACTTTGAATGATGTCACACAGCGCTCAGCGCTCCTTATATTATCCGCCGAGCGCTCACGGGTTTCTATGCAGTGGATGTAACAGAATTCTTCTTCGAATTCGTGTCTCCCGTAGTGACGCCTTTCTGTCAAAAGTTCAGCTTCTACCTAGTTCTACCTCCGTCCGTCAAGCTTTCAAGACTCGACGTGAATTCGGAGCGCTGAGCGGTTCATTTTTAAACCCACAGATCAGGTACCGGTTCACAGCCTCCATCGCGAAGCATCACAATCATAATTATGTGGTACCTCATTTCGTTATAACTGATGGCCTGTCAGGTTATAAGGGGTTAAAACACGTACACTCGTGAGCACTTTGTAAGCCTTTTCTATAAGCGATGGGTTCTAATGCTCTTGGCTGTGCACGAATTGTCTCCGTGCCAGGCAATATAACCTTATCGTTTCGTCCAATGAGAAGAACAGATCAGCCAAAATGAGCCTAGCAGCTGATGCATGACTCGGAACGTCAATTGATATCCATCATGGCATGTGTAAGCATTATATAAAAGTAATGCTGGGTCTTCGCTGTGGGAAGCAACACCCTGCTTGTGTTTCTAGGCTCACCGTAAGTCCAGTTAACAGTTCGAAAGTTCTGTGGTTTACTGACGCTCTCAACAGGATCAGCCAGGATGTCCTGGCAACTCCCAATCACGCACAAAGAGACCGTCACCTGCTACGATGACTTGGGCAATCCAAAAACTCACGGTCTAGAGCAGAGATATGTCAGCCCTACCACTGGGGTCTGTAGAAAGCTCGTCGTGCAAGCCGTCGCTCCCTCTGGCAAATTCGAAGTCCCCATCAGTAGCCACACTAACCAAGCGAGCAAACTCGCCATATGGTTGCTAGCTAATTCCCCCATAAGAGGATGGGTCATTTTAAAATGGATAGGGATATGGTTATGGTTTACATTGAAGCTTTTCTGGTCAGTCGTCTGGCTGCTCGCGCAGCTCTTCGCTCCCATCGACTTGGCGGATGACTCTGGGGAGGATACGGATTTGTATAACACTGGATACTACAAACCGTATGGTCGCGGGTTCCAGGGTCAGCTATGGGCAGCTCGTTCGCCTATGGAGCATTCTTCACGCATTATCGAGGAGGGCGAGATGGACATTCCTACACACACTCTTTATCCTCGAATTCTTGTTATCCGCGACCGGAGCACAAATGAGTGGGTTCCATGCGCAGATCGAGATACCATCATCCGTACCAAATTCATCGCCATCTCTTACCGTGCCCTTGATGCCTTCACTCGAGGCCCAAATATGGATCAAGAAAAGGCACAATTTACAGAGGAGGTTCGTGCAGCGGTGATCGGGCAGAAATACGATGCGTATTGGTGCGACTTGGAGTGCGTAGGGGAGACGCCGGCAGAGAAAAATTTGGATTTGTACTGCATGGCAGACGTCTACCGCGGAGCAGAGCTGACTTTGATCATGCTCGGAAAATCTGCAGTTGGGGAGAACGAGTGCTGGAGAGGCTGGGGCGAACGCGTGTGGACTATGCCAGAAGCCCTCCTGAGCTCTCGCCTTTGCTACAAGTTCCGGGATCGGGAAGAGGTCACGCCAATGTCGTTGTTTGAGCTAGCCAACCTGGCCTATACAAACTACGACATCGAACAGGCAATCATCAATGCATACAGCGGGAAGGATCCGCTTGAGAGGCTGGAGCGCTTGACGAAGTTGAAATCAGCCATATGGCGCCGCGGTACAGCAGCTCTAGCACCAGGTGTCGCTCCACCCCCACCAAAGCTGGATATGATAGGCGAGAAGTCTGTCACCAGCGGGGCGTACAAGGCTGAGCGTGTGTATGCGCTGATGGGCTTTTTCGAGCACCGCATTCACCCGAACCGCTCTGAGGACGATTTGCACGCTCTTGTCAGACTGTCGATGGCCAACGATAACGACCGCATCGCTGAGCGCATGGTGTCCATGCTTCCCCCGACTATCACCAAGACAGCGTGTTGGTATGCTGACGATGATTTCTACCGCGCCAACCTTTGGGATATTCTACCGGAGATCCAAGTAGCTGGTATAACGGAGAACGGAGCTCTCGTTGTCGATGGGTGTCGAGCGGCAGCCATTAGATGGAAAGACTTCCCAGAGGTTGCCTTTGAAAAAACAGATTCACTGAGGAGGACCATTATGGGTTTCGTTCCGTATCTCGCATGGCCTGCTCTTATCATCGGGATAGGTGTATTTAGTATGAGCCGGGCGGGAGGCATCGCGCTCATCGTAATCGGTCTCGTGATCCTCGTCCTTTCCCCCCGGCTGTTCCTTTACAGTCAATCAGGGCGTGTCGTCACCGCGCAACCATGGCTCATCGGGGTCAAAGGGGTCGTCAGCATCACAGAGGTAGAGAGGCACTTGTATGGGGGTGCCAGAGGACACTTCCCAAGGATGTATTTCACCCCGAGCGGATCACAGTTCTCAATTCCAGAACGAAACACAGAACGGGGAGGTTCGTTCAGACAATACGACTATGCCAAACTAGCGGAGAGTGGACCAGATGCGGGACACGTGTTTACGCTCATCGACACGTGCTCGTCGACGATGTACTACTTCCGTGCGGAGCAACCGCCGACGGTGTGTATATTCGCAGGACGGGAGGGAGGGCTTGGGAGGTTTGTGCTGTGTTCGGAGAAGTGCAATATCAATGAGCTGCACAAGGAGACGGTGTTGAGGATGCCGACGGAGATCAGTCAGAAGATGGAGCTGAGTGGTTGGATCGCGCTTGGATGAGAGATTGTTCTGCTAGGACCTTTCATATACCCTTGAATATGTACTTTACTGATACCGTTTATTTACTGTTACAGCAACATATTATTGAAGACTCACTATGCAGAATTGTTGTTTGCGGCGACTCTTGTTCGTACTTCTGATAAGGTCCACAGAATAATGAACACTTCGACTCATCACGCGCGTCCGAATTTGAGGGTGCCAGCTGACTGTTCCGGGTTGCAACGTTGAGTACTTGCAATGCAAGTTGAAGTCAGCACTCCAACTGCTGATCCAATTGGAAATTATCCGATAACGGTTGACTGCCTTGTTCGTCCCACGTCTCTGGGATCTTTGCAACAGCAAATACTGAGCAACTAAACAAGTACCACAACGAAATTTGGGATCAAGAAAGAAAGAAAATTCTCCTGCTTTGCAGAGCATGAACACCAAGCGATTCCCGCGCTACACCATTCCGCTGCCAGTCGACATGTGTACGCGCTCCTGGAAAACGATTGAGGTCATGCAGGTTGCTGCATCGGAATTGGCCACGAGCTTAGCGTGATATTCTCGAACGCCAAGGATTAGGCGTGGCCCCAGCACAAACATCTGGACGATCTGGAAGATTTGAACAAACCCAACATACATTTCCTGGGAATATTGCTCCTATGGTAATGATGAACTGTGGTCGCATGCAGAGATCAGTGACAGATCAACATACCCCTGACATCGTTGGCGACGAATCATAAATGAGGGTGCAAGAAACAGCAACAAAGCTAACGTATCCGATCCTTCAGCGAGAAAAGGGAACCATATTCACAATATGAGCTCACCTCGCAACGTAAAGGACGTGGGATATTATCAATACCATGAAACAGTCCCTGATAATCCCTCCTGCCGAATGTTGTCGTAGTTCACGGAAGTGTTTTACAGCAATCCAGACTCCGAGACACAGTGCGAGGACCTCCCACACAGTGCTGATCGTCCAAGTAATGTAATTCGGAAGTGCGGTAACTACTGTATAGTCAGTCACGCACGTATGGGTGCCGGAGAGAATGAGTTCCTCCGCTATCCATAAATGAGCCCCCATGAACATTTGTTCGTCCACAATTAAGCGTACCCCATGAAATATTCCTCGTTGATATTACGGCGGCCACTCCGTCGACAATGTCGACAGCCACGAAGGTGACAACGAGAAATATCAGGATCTTTCTGGATCGTCGATACATGACATGTAACTGAGTTATCATGATGACTTGCAACATGTTTCAGTCAGGTCAATATCACAAGTGTTGCAACTGGACATCTCACCCCACAGTATTTGAGGTACCACAACATTCGTCCATTTCGATACGATATACAGAATCCGGCCTGATGAATCCAGTCAGCCTCGGATGGATCACACACTCCAAATAGAATTACATCTGCGATAGTCAGTACAGTGAACCAAAGAGCTGGTCAGGGAACCACGCTCACCCCTACAGGATGTCGCGGTTAATTAGAGGGGAATAACAGGTATTGGTATGAAAGACTCACTGCATCTGTCACGAAGATCGTCGGAACATTGGCTGTATTCCGCTGGTCAAAAGAAGCAATGACAGTGAATTTGAAGAGATGTACACAGGATGTTCACGCTGATTGTGAGAGATGGTTTATTAGCACGACTACAGTGTTGAGCCTTCCAAACATACACAATATACAATATCCCAAGATAGCGTACCTAGGATATTTTCAAGAATCAGCATGAGTTTCCAATCACAACTATAATGCAAGCTACACACACTCAGATATAGAACGGTCATAAGGGACCAACGTTGTTTCTGTCGCAAATCAATGGTATTCGTCTGACGTGGAACTATGCTCACCCAGACCAGTTCGACCTAAACCCATTTCTTAGCGAGAGGGCTGTTCCGGACATAGCACTAACGTACCTCTTGTCCAAATGAAAGTGCTGGAAAGACTTTATGATATCAGCAGTTCTTTAATCTTATCATGCTCACCCCAATCGTACGTCACTCCAACAGAGGCGGCAACTGCGAAATCGCAGTCAATGTTAGATCGAGACGTCAACTCGTCAACACCCGACCGCTCTCCACGAACCTACAAAATAGCTGTAAATACACAAAGAATTGACGAGTGGCCACCCATCGGGATCATTTGAGACTCGGGTCATACTGTTTAGTAGAGGATGGATGTGAGGGGCGAGTTTGATAAACGCATGATAATGACATTCGTGCTAGATATACCACCATCCAGCACTTGGATCGTCGAAATAAGATCAAGGGATGATATCCTTTTGCATGTAAAAAAGGTATAGTCGGATTAAGTTACTCGTGAGACATCTCCACTAACACCGCAAAAGATTGACGCTTTACATAAGAGCTGTGTGTATGGAAAGCCTAACGGCCGCGCTCTGTTACACGCCGTGACACGTCCCATAAATAGTAGTCACAGGTCGTGGACTCCGTACACCTCTAATTAATGCTACATATGATTCACGACTTCATGCCCTGGCAACGATACCTCACTGGTAGACCGGCATTCGAACCTATTCGAACCCAGGATGCCCGAAGCTCTGCATAAGTGGTCCCCACCAACCGGATCCGACTGGTGCCAGGGCTGTTGTTGTAGGAGGCGAAGATCCTGACATCAACAGTCAACCAGACGCACTCATAGTAAATATGTATAGTAAAGGTTCGCTCTTTTCCTCATACCACATCGAACCGCAGTTGAAGTGCTCCAGCCGATATCCTTCTAAGCCACAATTGTTTCTACCTACAACAAATACAAGGAATTTAATAAAATCACCTCCGACCTCTCATGCCGGCTTACAAAAGCTTTCACTTTTGAGATTCGTGAGCCTGAGATTGACCTTGAGTCGTTTCTGGCGAGACAGCGGTTATCGGACGTGTCGGAGACAACTGTAGTGACACTGCCTCAAGTCGGAGAAGCTCAAAGCTAACCCTCTGTTTGCACGCGATAGAAAACAAGGTAGAGTGTTCTCGTCAACGCACATTATCTCGCTGACGTTTTGTTTCACGCATCGGCCAGATGACAACTACTCTGAGGCCCCAGCGCTTCCCACTGATTCACCAAAGGCACCCAAAGTGGAGATGGAAGATTTTCTTGATGTGTTGCTTGCCTAACATCAAGGCTTTTTTACTGCGACCTGATTATCACACCATGTGAAGACGACAGGTACCAGAGTGGTTCTAACATCATTTTAAAATACGCGGGCGAGCAGACTCACTAGGGGATCAGCAGGTGTGAGAAGTCCGAGAGATAGCAGCCCTTGCACGATGCGAGGGCAAGCAAAGGTGTGAGTCTTGAGGGGCCGCTTGGAGCAGATTTCAAGAGGCCGACCTGAGGAATGGCAGAGGCTGGGGACCTGGGATGGACAGAATTCTCTGCAGTTTTAAGTGCTCACACATACCTTCTGCTCTCTATTTCTGTTCCAGACCCTCGCGTTCGTTTCTTGAACAACGAACACCGTAAATTCAAAGTTTTGATAAGCAATATTTGTGGCAGAAAACCGAACCGGCCGAACTACTTGATGACTCAGAGGTGTACGAAGTCCTCTTACCTCTTGTGGACGCGTGACGCTGACTAAAGGAGCGCGGCTGTTAGGCTTTCCATATGTGTGTGATTTTGTCCCCTTGTTTCGAGTCATACATGATTCTCGGGATGTTTTTCCTCCACGTGCCATCAGTCCATCAATGCAATCACACATTTCATCTGACTGATCATGATGTGAAAATCGAACAGCCCCGCCGTCTCCACCCTCCCCGTCTCTCAACAAGCTTAACTTATTAGGGCCCGAAGGCGCCACCATCAGAAAAGCCAGAAATTTGAACAAGATTAGGTAGATGCAACAGCCACAGACAGATGACCATTTCATCCATGCCATGTGTACAGCTGCCAACATCCATTGAAAACAGATACAAAACGTGCCACACTAAATCCATTATACAGTTGATGCCAATGGGAGTCGAGCTCTTCATCCGTTGACTCGCGCGTTTCTGAGGAGCGAATCTAAGAATGAGGCTATGTACGGAGAGGTAATTTGGTACAGTTCGGCGAGGCAGGTGGTGGTAATAATTATCCCGAAGCTCCTAGACGGACACCGTTTTAGTCCGGGCTTCCCGGATACGATGAAGACCGTATTGACATGGCAATGCTCGTGGACTTCAAAGGCTTTGGCAGGTATATCGGTTATCTGCGTTACTTTCTTGATGATGAAGTAATGACTTCGTCCAAGGCAGCTGCAAATTTTGGACTGGCAATACTCAACAACATCCAGGGTGAGCTTTGGTCAGAAATAAGTAGTTGAAGACTGATAGTTGAACGTTGATCGATGGTGGGCGCCTTTGCGTTGACCGTTGCGAACATCGAGCAGGAATTTAAACTTTGCTGGCTTGCCGTCGGCCTGTCTCCGACTTTTCTGGCGCCAATGACTTCCCACTCATAATATCCGATACGGTTGACCGCCTTGTCGAGAGAGTGGATCACGAAACGAAGCCTGAAGTAGGGCTACTGTCTCTTGCTGAAGAACTCCGACCACACGCCATATTCTCTATTGTACGTCCGGGTCATGGGTCACAACCTTGTCGTCGCCCTGGATAATTCGTGGATGGAATCTTGTAATGGCAAGCTTTCTTGCAGAGTAGCACGACATTAGGCCCTTCGTCAGACGTACACATCCTCCTCCGCACTCAAGTACATCGCCGAACTCACTGGCCAACGGTTACTCCCCGTCCCCACCACAGACAATGATCATGTCCCTATTGGGAGCGACAACATGGGGCTGCACGGATATGACGATGACCGCACTGACATAACAGTTTCTCAAAGGCTTTGGGAGGTATATTGGTTTTCTGCGCTGCTTTATAGTTACAGTTGATGGTAGAGCAAGGAAAGGGATTTGCCAGCTGCAGATTTGGGACTAGAGTCTGACAACACTTAACGACATCTAGCGTGGGTCTTGGTCAGAAATATGTGGTCGTCAACTTGACAGTTGATTTGAGAGCGTCATTGGCGGTACGACACGATGCACATTTCGTGACCCAATCGATTTTATGATCATGCTTGGTTAGGTGTGCGATTGATGAATCTGAATCACGATTGGGGTTGGAAGGAAGTGCTTGGAGCACAAAGTACAAGTCGTACAACGGCGAGAAATCGCACCACTGGGTCTAGCGCTTTGACTCTGACTTTACTCTCCTTGCGAGCGCTTCCCGATGCCATCATTCAATTTCCCAACTCCCCAAAGGTCGATGAAAATCCCTCCCATGCTGGTGCTCTTCATCCTCCAGGCATTATGAGGTCCTGCCCAGTGGAATTCTTGAATGGAACACCACTGTAACGTGTCTCTGCATGGCGAGCCAATGGCACTTGTATTTGGAATGGAGGTAAGATGAGTCTCACGCTACTTCAGAACACATTACGACAAAAACCTTTGCCAAGACCCATGTCTAACACCAAATACTAAGTAACTAAATAAGTACCCCGACGAAATCAAGAAAGAAAATAAAATCTCCTGCTCTGCAAAATGTTAACATCATGCATCTCCCGTGCTACACTCCACTCCACTGCCAGTCGATATATGTACGCGTTCCTGGAAAACGATTGTGGTCATGCGAGTTGCTGCATCGGAATCGGCCACGAGCTTAGCGTGGTATTCTCGAATGCCAAGGATCAGGCGTGGTCCCAGTACAAACGTCTGCACGATCTGGAAAATTTGAACAAACCCGAAATAAATCTGAGTTTGGAGTGAAAATGAGTCCTGTGGAAATGATGAACTATGGTCTCATGCAGAGATCAGAGAAAGATCAGCATACCCCTATTATCGTTGGCGACCAATCAGAAATGATTCCGAAGCAAGAAACAACAACAAAGCTAGCATGTCCGATCCTTCAGCGAGAAAAGGGAACCATATTCATAATATGAGCTCACCTCGCAACGTAAAGCATGTGGGATGTTATTAACACCATGAAACAGTCCCTGATAATCCCTTCTGCCGAATGTTGTCGCAGTGCACGGAAGTGTTTTACAGCTATCCAGCCTCCGAGACACAGCAAGAGGGCCGCCCACGCAGCGCCGAGTATCCAAGTAATGGAATATAGAAGTGGGGTGGCTTCCGCAATGCTAATCGTGCACACATGGGTGCCGGAGAGAATGAATTCCTCTGATATTCATCAATGAGCCCCATGCACATTTTTTCATCCAAAATTACGTGTACCCCCTGAAGTATTCCTCGCTAACATTACAGCGGTCACTGCGTTGAAAATGTTGTTAGCCAGGAAGGTGACAACAAGAAATACCAGGATATTTCTGGATCGTCGATACATGGCATGTAACTGAGTTATCATGATGACTTGCAACATGTTCCAGTCAGGTCAATATCACAGGTCTTGCAACTGAACAGCTCACCAGACAGTATCGGAACTACCACAACACTCATCCAACTCCATACAAAGTACAGAATCCGGCCTGACGAATCCAATCAGCCTCGGATGGATCACACACTCCAAATAGAATTACATCTGTGATAATCAGTACAGTGAACCAAGAAGCTGGTCAGGGAACCATGCTCACCCCTACAGGGTGCCGTGGTTAATTAGAGGGGAATAACAGGTATCGGTATGGAAGACTCACTGCATCTGTCACGAAGATCGTCGGAACATTGGCTGTATTCCGCTGGTCAAAAGAAGCAATGACAGTGAATTTGAAGAGATGTACACAGAATGTTCACGCTGATTGCGAGAGATGGGTCATTAGCACGACTACAGTGTTGAGCCTTCCAAACATACACAATATATAATATCCCGAGATAGCGTACCTAGGATATTTTCAAGAGTCAGCACGAGTTTCCAATCACATCTATAATGCAAGCTACATACACTCAGATATAGAACGGTCATAAGGGACCAACGTTGTTTCTGTAGCAAATCAATGTTTGTTCATCTAACGTGTAACTCTGCTCACCCAGATCAGTTCGACCTATAAATCCATTTTCTTAGCGAAATGGCCGTTCCGGACATAGCATCAACATACCTCTTGTCCAAATGAAAGTGCTGGAAACACTTGTAGGATATCAGCAGTTCTTTAATCTTATCATGCTCACCCCAATCGTACGTCACTCCAACAGAGGCGGCAACTGCGAAATCGCAGTCAATGTTAGATCGAGACGTCAAATCGTCAACAACCGACTGCTCTCCACGAACCTGCAAAATAGCTGTAAACACGCCAAGCTTTGATGACTGGCCAAAAAGAAGGATCATTTAAGACTAGGGTCATACTGTTTAGTAGAGGATGGATGTGAGAGAGGGGCGAATTTGGTAGACATATGATGAAGACATTCGTGCTAGATATACCACCATCCAGTACTTGGATCGCCGAGATAGATCGTATAGTCAATCCAGGGATCCAAAGTAGTTCTAAAGTTGCTCGTGAGACAGTTCTACTAACACCGCAAAAGATTGACGCTTTACAGAGCTGTGTGTGATTTTGTTCCCTTGTTTCTCATACCATTCTCGGGATGTTTTTCCTCCACGTACCATCAGTCTACCAATGCAATCCATCAGTCCGACACATGCTGATCGTGATGCGATCATCGAACAGCCCCGTCGTCTCCGCTCTCCCTGGGGCTATCGGATCACAAGGATGCCGAAAATGATGAAGCGTGGAATCTTTGATTCGCATCGTGGTCATGGGCTCATCAAGTTTCACCAGATACATGCTAGTCGAGATTTTGTGATTGATATCTGATGAAGATACAACGTCATCCCGAGATTAAGACAACACTGAGAGAGGACATGGAAGAAAAGAAGATTAGGACGCACCGTTACGACCGCGTGAAGCTTGTTGTTCCTAAAATTCAGCAGCGTCTGTATTTAAAGACTCTCGGCAGGGGCCGAAGGTGGCCTGTGACATCTGTTTCAGAAAAGTCAGAGATCTGAACAAGATGAAGTGAGTACCACAGCCACAGACAGATAACCGTCTCACCCGTGCCATATGTACAGCTGTCAACATCTAATGAAAACATGCCACACTGAATCCATCATACAGTTGACGCTAATGGAGTCGAACTCTTCATTCGTTGACTCGCGCATTTCTGGGATATCCTGGGTAGGGATGTGGATTAGCAATTTGGAACGCCGTCGATATCTCATATGAGTCGAAACTCCAGAACTCCCACTGACGATCAAGATAAGAGAACGTCGAGCATGCGGAAAGGCTTTGGATGAGACGAGGGTCGAATCTGAGAATGCAGATCTGGCTGTGTACTGCGAGGTAATTTGGTATAGATCGGTGAGGCAGACGGCGTGGTAGTGATTATCCCAAAGCTGCGTTTCCGCCCGGGCTGCTCGGATACAATGACGATCGCACTGAGATGGCAATGCTTGTGAAGTTGGAAGGCTTTGGCAGGCATGTCGGTTATCTGTACTATGTAGCAACTTTGGATAAAATAGTCAATTTTTCCAAGGCCTCTACAGATTTGGGACTTGCAATATATCCAGCGTGAGCCTTGGTCACAAATAAGCAGTTGAAGACTAGTTGAACGATGATGGGCGCCTTTGCGTTGGCCGTTGCGAAAATCGAGCGAGGTTTAAAATTTGCTGGCGTCGGCCGGTCTCTGGCCCACTTCCCACTCATATCTGATACAGTGGACCGCCTTGTCAAGAAAGTGGACTACGAAATGAAGCCCGAAGTAGGGTTACTGTCTCTTACTGAAGAACTTCGACCACGCTTCTTTTCTTGCTGAGATATTTTCTATTGTACGTCCGGGCTATAGATCACATCTTGTCATCGTCCTGGACAACTCCTTGATGGAATCTTATAATGACAAACTTTCCTGCAGGTATGTAACGCCTTGGGCCCTTCGTCAGACGGACACATCCTCCTCCGAGCTCCAGTAATGATCCCCACTTGCCAATACGCAGCATGGGATGAAAGGATGGCGCACAGTGTTGTGACAAATGGTGTCGGACCAGCCGTAGGATGAAGACCGCAACTGATATGTCACAGATGTTCAAGTTCGACGTCCCCCAATGTCAACTTATAATTAGATCCCGGCGACAACTTTAAAGTGTTCCTGTATACTTGGTGTAGTGATTTGATGGAACCGAGCGCTTAAACCATTGATGCCTGACGTCGAATATCGGAAGATCAGCTGAGAGTTACACTTGGAGGACGTTTGGATGTATCAGAAGATCGGTTAAGAATTACGCTTGGAGGATGTTTGGATGTATCGGTTAAGACTTACTCTTGGAGGACGTTTGGATGTATCGGTTGAGAGTTTCGCTTGGAGGATGGATCAGGATTGCTATGCAGTCGTTTTGCGCCGGGTGTTAAAATAGATATCTGGGCTGTAGGAGCGCCAGCCAAGGCGAGACCTGTTCTGGATAGTGTCAGAAAATGGGACTACTCCAAGTCCGATGTGCGTGGTAGAGAGGAAGCGAAGTGTGAGCGCTTAGAGTGAAACCCACGGATGACGTCCATATGGCTGATTATTACGCTTAGCTGAAACCCTTTGAGGCTTCTGGCTTCTGCCGTTTATCAATCCCACTCTTTCCTCTTCATTTCTTACAACCAACAACTCGACAACCAAAACTCGACGTTGGCTGTAAACCGTGGCTGTTCAACAGCCCTGGCACCCAGGAGAGTAGCCCTTGTAGCTGTGCCACAGCAGGTCCATCCAACTCTATATCAACCCGAACTCCTCCTCCTCCTCCTTTTCTTTCAAAGTTGATTGCTCAATTAATACACTCCTTCAAAACTCACTAGCACTTCCAATCTGAATATGGCACCGGCTGTGCCCAAGAAAGCTCAAAAACTTGGACGCGCTCTCAAATCCGCAGCCCGCTTCCCGGGCCGTGGTAGCGGCAGAAACCACTACTCTCCCTCTCCAGGCGAACAACCAGTCGTCCTCCTCCGTGTTCAGGTCATTGGTTGTCGTGGCCTAGCCAGGGCTCGACACGGCGCACAGCCAAAGGAGGGCGACCTCAGTCCGTCAGTCTTCCACTATCTCATCATCATTTCACACGACCCTGACCTCTGTTATCATGTGATTACAGCTTGGTCGTCGTCTCCCTCCTCAACAATCGATACCACACTCCAGTTCTCAAACGCACTCATAACCCGAACTATGCAGCTAAAGACGCCACTTTTGATTTCCCCATTTATCTCTCCCTTGCTGATAGGCTAGGATCCGTCGAATTAGTCGTATGGGACAAGGATACTTTGAAGCTGAAGAAGGAATACGTCGGCGAAGCCGCACTCGCTCTCGAATCCTGGTTTCGTGACAGTAACGGCGACCTCCTCGTAGATGGCCTAGGTTTCACAGCTGAGACAAACCAGGCACGTCCCTTCCCCCGTGATATTCATGAAACCGGGTATTGATACAGGTCCACATAGTCCCGCTCTGTAAACCTCGTATCCACACGTGCAAATACACATGCATCTGGAATGGCAGTCGTCAAACTCGGTTTCGTCGCACCCCCTGGTGCACAGTCCCCAATGCCCTTTGAGCGAGTCTTTGCTGAACTCGTAAAGCGATCCCGTCCCAGTCTCGTTTCTGCCCCTCCGGTAAATCTCTTTCTCCCTCTTTCGATTAGCTCATTCATCTTCCATAGACAGAAGGCATCGGCACCCTGCGATCCCATCTGACAGGCCCAGCATATGAAGACGACGGTGGAATTAGTTCCGATGAGGAAGACCAAGACGACGACGACGTTGTAGACGAAGGCGAAGAAGACGACGAAGACCCCGTTCCCCACCTCTCCCGTCTCTACCTCTCCCCATCTCTCGTACAAGATCAGCCTCTTGAGAACCAAACACCGGAACCGGAGACGGCACGTCCCACAGTACTAGTACCGCGTCTTCATCTTCCCCGTTCCCCCACACTCTCTCACGACCACCATGAGGAACGGGAGCCTGAGACTGCGCGTCCATTACCTCCCATTCCGAGTACCACACCCACCACCACTACGCCTGCTATGCCCAGCACCACGTCCACATCGAAAAGCAGACTGCCAAAACTCTTCCCCCGCCGACCCAATCTCCTCACTTCCCCGTCCTACGAACCTAACCCTCCCACCGACCGCCTACATCGTCGCTCAGCCAGCGCAGGTGCCATCGTTCCCCTCCCCTCTCCCGTCTCCCCGGGTCCCTCCAGCCCACTCGTCTATCAGCCCCCCAAAAAGAGGTTCCGAAAATCATGGTCAAGCAAGAAAGTAGACTACAACTTCTCAGCTGCAAACTCGAACGATATAGTCGGGATCGTGATGCTCGAGATCCAAGGGGCGAGTGATTTGCCTAGGCTGCGGAACAGTGCGTTGCGTTTCGCTTTTTGTAGTGTTCATTCACTTGGAAGTTGGCGTTGACCCCTATTTGCAGTAACCCGCACCGGGTTTGATATGGACCCCTTCGTAGTCATTTCTTTCTCCAAAAAGATCTTCCGCACGCGCATCATCCGCCACTCCCTCAATCCTACCTGGGACGAGAAACTCCTCTTCCACGTCCGTCGCTATGAGACGTCTTTCAAGGTCCAACTGACAGTCCTCGACTGGGATAAACTATCGAGTAACGACCACGTCGGCGATGTATGGTTGGATGTCGGTGAGCTGGTAAGAGACGCGCCGCAACCTGATCCGAAGACGGGGTTATATGCAGATGTGTGTGGGGAGAATGATAATGACGCGGGTGGAAGTGGAGGTGGGGAAGGAAGGGAGATGAAGCAGTTTTGTTTGCCGCTGACAACGGCGAAGGAGATGCCTTGGGAAGCGAAGCATAATCCTACGATTTCGTTCCGGTGCGTTCGTCTCGTCTTGTTTCGTCTTCATCTTACTTATCCTCCATCATCCTCCATCATTCCCTCCCTATCTCCAACCCACCCACTCCCAACCACCCCAGCGCAAAATTCCAGCCCTACGCCGAGCTCCGCCAACGTTTCTGGGCACAATACTTAAAGCAATACGACACAGACGACACAGGCTCTATCTCACGCGTCGAGCTCACCTCCATGCTCGATTCCCTCGGCTCCACGCTCTCCGCCGCCACCATCGATTCCTTTTTCACCCGCTACCGCAAGCGCCCAGCGGAGGACGAGCTGACGATCGAGGAGTCGATTCAGTGCTTGGAGATGGAGTTGATACGGCCGGCGTGTGAGAAGAAGAGGATTGATGTGGTCGATGCTATTGATACGTTTATGGGCGGGAGGGATAGGGGGGATAGGGACAGCAGTGCGTCTGCGTCAGAGTCTATGACGCCTGGAGAAGAACTCGGGTTGAACCTTGCGTTTGGCCGGCCGTTTTTGGGCGGGCTAGATTTTTCGGGTCCGCCGTTGAGTGCGATATTGGGGGAGGAGTCGCCTACGGATTTGTTTGTGGCTGAGAGGCCGTTTTTGAGCGTGAGTGTTCCGGAGCCTTCGTCTTCGGCGTCGACGCCTTCTGGGGGGTCTAGCGGTGTGCCTTCCGGTGGAGGATCTAGGAACGGTAACAGCAACGTTAACGTTCGGCAGGACTCTTCATCCTCCGATCCCGACGACCCAACATCAACATCAGCTTCGACATCAGCCCTCGCGTCCTCCTCTGATACCTTCGAACGAGTAATTAACATCAAGAACTGCCCACTATGCCACCGCCCGCGCTTAAACTCAAAAGCCGAAATGGACATCATCACGCATGTCGCTATCTGCGCGAGTCAGGACTGGGCAAAGGTGGATAGGATCGTGGTGGGGAATTTTGTGACTGCGAGTCAGGCGCAGAGGAAGTGGTATACGAAGGTTATTTCGAAGGTGTCGAATGGGAATTATAGGATTGGAGCGGTGAGTCGAGTGGCTTTCGTGTGGTTTTTGTTTTTGTTTTTGTTGGAGCGTCGTAGCTGTCGTGTTCCCCCCCTTCTTTTCTTTCTTTTGGTGTTGGTTAGGTCGTGTTTATGCTCACGACGCATCTCATAGAACTCGGCGAACATCATCGTTCAGAACCGGATGACGGGGCAGTTGCAGGAGGAGAAGATGCAGGTGTATGTGCGGCTTGGGATTCGGTTGTTGTATAAGGGTGCTAGAGGGAGGATGGAGGGTGCACGAGGTTCGTATCATCCATATATATAACCATATCCGCCATTCTTACTAACTTGACTTGTAGCTCGCCGTCTTCTCAAGTCCCTATCCATCAAACAAGGCGCCAAATACGACTCTCCAGAATCCGCCCGCGATATCCCGAGTTTCATCGAGTTCCACGGGCTTAAAGTCGATGAGATCCTAGAGCCGATAAGTTCTTTCAGTATGTCCTTCCCTTTACCCCCTGTGCATACCCGTACTCCCTTGTCTGATCCTAGTTCATTCCACCAGAAACCTTCAACGATTTCTTCTACCGTAAACTCAAGCCCTCTGCGCGCCCCACCGAAAGCCCAACGGACCCCCGCCGTCTCGTCAGCGCCGCCGACTGCCGCCTGATGGTCTTCGAAACCGTCTCCGAAGCCACCAAACTGTGGATCAAAGGCCGCGAGTTCAGTATTGCGCGTTTACTGGGTGACGCGTACGGCGATGAGGCGGAAAGATACGTTGGTGGGCCCCTTGCGATTTTCCGGCTTGCGCCGCAAGATTATCATCGGTTTCATATTCCTGTGGATGGGAAGATTGGGGGTGTTAGGGATGTTAAGGGGGAGTATTATACTGTGAATGTGCGTGTTGTTATTATTACTGTTTCTTCTCTTTTTTTTGGCTTTTTTTGTTTGAGTGGGAGCTGATTCTTGTGTTTGTTGTTGTACAGCCCCAAGCGATCAGGAGCGCGTTGGACGTTTACGGAGAGAACGTGAGGAAGATCGTACCCATCGATAGTCCGCAGTTTGGACGGGTCATGGTGGTGTGCGTTGGTGCGATGATGGTGGGGAGTATTAAGATCACTGTTGAGGAGGGGCAGGATGTTAGGCGCAGTGAAGAGCTTGGGTATTTTGCTTTTGGTGCGTTTTTTGCGTTCTGTGGTTCGTCGTGCGTTTTCTGAATGCGTGAATGTCTTATCGACACAGGAGGCTCAACGATCGTTGTTTTATTCGAGCGAGGAGCGGTAGAGTGGGATGAAGATCTGGTGATTAATGGGAGAGCGTGTTTAGAGACGTTGGTTAGAGTTGGGATGGGGATTGGGACGTGTCGGCGGAAGTGCTAGTGATGACCCAGGGGATGACTTCAAGTTTTGGAATTTTGTTTTGGTGCGTCGCATGGACATGACGGACGACAATTGCAAGAATGTTTTCGATGATTATTTTGTGGAGATACCATACATATATTAGCTTACAGTTTGATATCGTATTTGGAGGAGCAAGTCGGACTCCCATATCTTGTGCTGTTGAGAGCGCGTTCAGGGGTTGGCGATGAGACCAGATAAATGGTGATCAAGATGGCACCATGCATATGCTGATTACACAATGATCGTTGTGGTTCCAGTCCAGGTCAAGCTTAAACTTATCGGTTGATCCAGGATACAAAGTGTGTCTAGAGATAGAGTAACAATGGGAAACGAGTATGAAATGTAATCAATTTGCAAACATTCTGCGGTTCATGGTTGTGGAGTAGTGGAGGAGCGAGACAGAACGAATGAAGTGGTGATGAAGCACCGCGATAAGGCAAATATGTGTTGTATGAAATCTGCAGAATGCACATGGATCGTCGGTCAATTAATAAAAGTACGAGTGGAACACGCGACTACAGCGAAGGCAACACAACCTACTACTGTTCCCGACAATGGAACCACGACGTGCCGTGTGCGACACAACTCAGGTCCAGCTGCAAGGGATTGTTGGCGATCACTAGCATGTTGGCCGGGACATACATCACCGGGTACAAATTGAGTGGAATCCAGAATACAAGTTGCCCGCCAGGACCTACAACCCATCCATCCGCGTTTGTGGCGACAGAGGCTTGGGTGGAAGAATCTTGGAGGAATGAGGAGGCGGAATGAAGAGCATGAGTTGGGTTAGGGGAGAAACATATTTCGGAGTGTTGGTTATGTTGTAAAAAATCAAGATCCCACACGCGGATGGTCTTGTCCTCTGAACCGGAAACAATGCGCCTGCCGTCAGGCGAGATTGCGACAGACAGAACACGTCCAGTGTGCGCTCGAAAAGGGGCACCCACTGCCTTGCCAGTCTCCATATCCCATACCCGGATCGTCTTGTCCCATGAACCGGACACAATGTGTTGTCCATTTCGCGAGATTGCGACACAGCGAACCCAGTCAGCGTGCCCTCGGAGAGGTGCACCCAATGTCTTGCCAGTTTCAATATCCCATACCCGGATCGTCTTGTCAGCTGATCCAGACACAATGTGACGTCCATCCAACGAGATTGCAACAAAGAGAACAAGGCTAGTGTGGCCTTTGAGACAGGCGCTCGAGGCCTTGCCAGTCCCCATATCCCACACCTGGATTGTGTTGTCGTATGAACCAGACACTATGCGAGTTCCGTTTGATGAAATTGCGACGGACCGAACACAGCCAGAGTGCCCATCGAGAGGGTTACCTGATGCCTTGCCAGTCTCACTATGCCACATCCGGATGGTCTTGTCGGTTGAGCCAGACACAATGTGATGACCATCCGGCGAGATTGCGACGGAGGAGACATCGCCAGTGTGGCCTTGAAGAGGGGCGGTCAAGGCCTTGCCAGTCCCCAAATCCCACACCCGAATTGTTGTGTCAGCTGAACCAGACACAATGGCCTTCCCGTCTGACGAGATTGTGACTGACTGAACAGAATTAGTGTGCCCTTGGAGTGGGGCACCCAATGCCTCGCCAGTCTCCATATCCCACACCCGAACTGTCTGGTCATCTGAACCAGACACAATGCATTTTCCGTCCGGCGAGATTGCAACAGATTTGACGGAGTCAGTGTGGCTTCGGAGGGCGGCAACCGATGCCTTGCCCGTGATAGTGTTGGCACCCCACACCCGAATCGTCTTGTCAGATGAACCAGAGACTATGCGTTTTCCATCCGGCAAGATGGCAACAGACTGAACACCACTGATGTGGCCTTGCAGAGGTGATCCTAATGCCGCGCCAGTCTTCAAATCCCACACTCGGATCATGTGGTCATATGAACCAGACACGATATGGTTTCCATCCGACGAGATGGTGACAGACGTAACAGGGGCAGTGTGACCTTGGAGAGGGGCACAAAATGCCTCCCCAGTCTCCATATCCCACACCCGGATCGTCTTGTCGTGCGAACCGGACACGATGTATTTCCCGTTCGGCGATATTGCAACAGACATGACACGGTCAGTATGCCCTTGGAGAGGAACCCCTAACGCCTTGCCAGTCTCCATATCCCACACACGGACGGTTGTGTCAAATGAGCCGGACACAACATGATTTCCATTCGGTGAGGTTGCGACAGTCGTAACAAAGCTAGTGTGCCCGTGAAGAGGGGATCCAAATGCAACACCAGTCTCTATATCCCACACCTGGATAGTCTTGTCCCAAGAACCAGATACAACGTGATATCCATTTGACGAGATTGCGACAGACGTAACCAAATGGGTGTGCCCTTTGAAGGGAGCACCCAATGCCTTGCCAGTCGCCGTATCCCATACCCGGACTGTGTTATCCCATGAACCGGACACAATGCGATGTCCATCCAGTGAGAAAGCGAGAGACGCAACATAGTGAGTGTGGCCTTGGAGAGGGGCACACAATGCCTCGCCAGTCTCCATATCCCACACCTGGATTGTTCGATTTTCTGAACCACATGCAATACGTTTTCCGTCTGGTGACATTGCAACCGAGGTAACCTCACTATTCACGTGGATTATCTTTTCCATCAGAGGCCAATTTACGACATGGCCAGCAACAATGCGGGGGGTGCGAGGAAACTTTGCGGCGAACTTGCGAAATATTCTTGATTGCGTTGGAGCGAAGGGCAGGGCGGACAAGTACAAATGTGGAGTGCTGCGAAGAATGGTGGCCGCGAAGGTTCGAACGAAGCGCAGCGTGTCCCTGGCAGCATCACCGATATGCGTGTACTCGACGTGTCCCTATGACCACCCCACTACCCGTAAGAATTGATTGGGCGAAGAGTGCACTTGAACTACGCACCGAAAACCAATTTGCGATGGACAAGAGTGATTCTACCGAGCCGCCGAGGGTTTTCATCAGAGCCAGTGCTTCCAACCACCAAAGGATGCGCTCTCCGTCGAAGAAAGCCTCAATCTCCTTAGCGAGCGATGATTCGAAGGACGCAGAGCCCACATGAGTCCCCAAGAATCGACACGAGTAAGATAATTCAGTCGTAATAGATTCCTTCACCCGTTTCTCCAAGTCAGGAATAGCTGAATTGGGCAAGTACGAATTCTCTAAAGAGCAAATGTTGAAGCGAAGCCCGCGCTCCATCACCCGAAGCGAGGCGAGGGCAAGATCGTTCTGTACCGCCGATGTATTAACGAAGAAGTCGTTGCTCCGCGATTTGTCTGTGAGGAAGTCGTAGAAGGATGCGTGGAGCGGACGAATGGGAGTTTGAGAATCTGTGGTCCCATTGAGAAGCGAGCCCAGCGACCCAATCACCTGGCGCACGTCATCACGGTCATACACACGCAGAAAATAGTGTCGCATCGCGTTTAACGCTAACATAGGAAGCGGTTCTGACGATGCGAGAATATGCCCCATAACAGAGCGAAACAGGGGGATCGTTTCATCGCGCTCATCCTCCGGCATACTGTCGGCCAAGATGCGTCTATACATGTCGTCCAATAAAGATACTCCTTTGGCAGATGTTCCAGCAACGATGGCTGCAAAACGGTTCATCGGATTGAGTCGTACTCTGTTCGTACCCTTGATAAATTCGCAGGTGAGACGAGCCCATTCAAAGAGGCCGTCAGATTTCTGAGCGAGTGTCTTGAAGTGCGCTTCATTGAACACGTTCCGTAGATCTTCCAGCCTGGTAGAGACGTACAGCTGGATGTCATGGTCTGTGGACGCAGATGGGATGTCATCCAAGGAGATATGGCGAACACGTGACGGGGTGTGAAGGGCGTTGCCGATGTCTTCAAGCGGACGAGAAGTGACAAGAATGCGGAAGTTTGCTGGAAGTTCGGCTAGTTGTGGGGTAGAAGTGTTCAATTTCCCAGCGAGCAAACGAAGAATCTGTTCCCGGGAATCTGCTTCACCACTCTCATCCAACGCCTCGATAACAATCAAGACAGGTGCAGCGATGGCTTTTGATACTATGCTTGTCGGTCCGACGATTAATTCCTGCCATTGTCTTGTGATATCCGACGTGCGCTTGAGTCCGTTGTTATCACGAACTGCTTGCGCCAAGGCTCGCCGCATGAGAGGGTTGCAGTCTGCTAATTCGCTTGCGATGGTTGTGAATATTTTATCCTGACGGCGATCCGCTTGTCGAGTACGATCGAAGCAGAAGAATGAGCAAAGACCACCGTGTTCGATATACCAGTTGGCTATTGTATGGGCAACGGCTGATTTCCCCTTGCCTGCTGTGCCAGACAACCATAAGACGCGTGGAGTATCCTCGGTGCTCCTGATCCAATTTTGAATATCCTTCAGAAGGTCTTGCCGAGTATTTGGCAAACAACATTTAGACGTATTCAATCCGGCACCTGTTGCGTACTCCATGCCGATGAGGTCTAGACTCTCAGCTATGCCATGAGGAGTGAAATGTGAGATAAGGCTCAGAGAGACCTAGAAAACGACTCCTACATATATGGTGCACGATCACAACGGTGTCACGGGCCGCTCGGTCTCGGAATTGCTGCATGAGGCTGTCGAGAACATCGCTGTAGCTCTTGATCATGGCATCTGTTTCGCCGAAAATATGCTTGCCAAGCCTTATCCCTGTGCAACGAGACAACATTGAGTGTCAGGAGACGAAGCAGTAGTATTGACTCACAGGCGCTCTTCGTCTCAGTGTAGTGGGTGATAAAATCAGCACACTCCAGGGTCTGCTGGGCTATCTTCACATATACCGCTAGCATGGACTGCATCTTGGTCAATTCCTCCTCTTCCGCGATGAAAGTATAGACGTCCGAGATCTTCGTGAGGAGACCACGAACAGCATCATCACGATTTGCTTGATCGAGAATCATCTTCCACCAGACATTCTTAGTAACCTGCGAAGGTAATAATTCGGAAACGAGCTCACCTTGGATGCGCAGGTGAACATACTCAATGCCACTTTTGCATATGGATGAACCTATGCACGAAGATCAGCCGCATACGAAAATGAGATAGACGCCCTTACATCTGCGAGCCCGGTGGCAACAGAGTTGAACACCTTCAATGGTCCGAGAATTGTGGAGAACGTGTCAATCGCATCGGAAATGGATTGTAAGTTGCCGGCTGCAGAAGAAGTATTTTGAACGATTCCTTGGATAGAGCTGATGCCTGTGACACCTGTTTGGGCATGCGCGAGCGTTTCCGTGACAAGCTTCATGTCAGGCGGCGATTCGGCCTGGTGATGGACTTTAGTACATCATCGCAAGAGAGAGACAAGGCTGCTGGAACTCACCTTTGCAACGTCTGCCTTGGAAGACTGGTCGAAATTCGGCTCGGGAGTGGAAGCGATGAGTGATGAAGGATCCTGCGGTGGTTAGATCACACACAGAACGCACCGAGATTTGCACATACCTGGCATGTCTGAGGGTGTAGGGGATCCTGTGCATTGGAAGTTGCAGCTGTGGGTTCAAGGTTTGGCGACCGTTGAGCGCTTCGAGCAGAACGGTTGTTCGCCTTGCCGAATAACTTGGGAACCAACCCCGAGAATCGTCCACGAGATGCATTACTCGAAGGCGAGAGAGAAGACGGCTGTAATCATTAAAAACAATGCATAGTTGTAAAAACGAAAGTGCATACATCATTGGCTGCCCTCCTGCCTGTATCCTGTGCCAAATCAGGTTCTGGACGACTTGTCTTCGGCCACCCCAAGCGTTTCTTCCGAGGGGGATTATCTTCATTCATTGAGCAAGGTGAAAGGACGGTTGAGTATGAGCGTTAGTTGGTGTGGCACACAGAATGGACAGGTATCTACCGCATGTCAAGGATATTTACATAAAGGACATCACATGTGTTTGGAAGCGCCCATTGTCGATTGGCTGGAACGTCACGGTTGTCGAAGACTGATGTGAGTTCATCGAAACCTGGGTGAAAGTAAGGTGCAGCGTTTAAGAACTAGACACAGTTAGACCTCAGTCCGATAAAAGAGACTAAATTAGTGTACCTAGACACAGTTAGACTAGGGTACACGTTAGCATAAGTGCGGGCGGGGAGAAATTAGACAACGTACCCTCAGTCCGATAAAAGAGACTGAGGGAACAGTTCTATCTACGCGAGTCTGATATATAGTAAACGGTTCGTATTCCAATCATTCAATCCCCGCGGTTATCGTCGGCATCAGCTCCAACACTCCTCCTCGACGATAACCGCATGAATCCTCCTCCTCGACTGGAGCGATCATCGTAATCCGAGTGCGTCTCGTAATCGTTGGAAGTCGCGTTTTGGAAGGGGTTTCGTGAAAACGTCGGCGGTGTTAAGCTTGGATTGGACGTATTGTAGTCGGAGGTGTTTTTCGTGTACGCGATCTCGAATGTAGTGATATTTTATGTCGATGTGTTTTACGCGGGCGTGGAATGATGGGTCTTCGGAAAGGACGATACTGCCGCTGTTGTCGCAAAGAAGGGGTGACGCTGATTCTTGTGAAAAGCCGAGGCCAAGTAGAAGTGCTCGTAACCAAACGATTTCCTGGGTAGCTTCGCAGGCGGCGATGAATTCAGCTTCACTGGTGGATAAGGAGACGGTTTTTTGTTGACGGGTGGCCCACGAGATAACGCCACTGCCCAGTGTGAAACAATACCCGCCTACCGATCGTCGAGTGTCCACGCAGTTCGCGAAATCGCTATCAGTGTGACCTAGGAGGTTGGCAGGGTGTTGGCCACCGAGAGTAAGTTTAAGGTCGCGTGTGCCCTTCAAGTAGCGTACAACGCGTTTTGCAGCCTCCCAGTGGGCGTCGCCGTAACTGTCGAGAAACTTACAAAGCTGTTGGACTGCGAATGTGATATCGGGGCGGGTACCAATGGCGATGTACATAAGTTTCCCGACGAGAGAACGGTAAGGGGTCTTCGCCATACGAGCACGGTCCTCGTCTGATTTGGGGGAATGATCTTTGCGGGAGAGATGGAGACCAGGTTCCATGGGGATGGAGATGGGGTACGCATCCTTCATGTTGAATTGTGTGAGCACTTGGTCGATTAACGCCGTCTGAGAGAGTGAGATAGTGCGTTGTGAGCGATTACGTTCAATGGCGATACCCACGCAGAATCGTGCATCCCCTAAGTCGGAAATCTCCCATCGAGTGCGTAATTGGGATTTGAAGTGTGCGAGGGCGGCTTTGTTGCTACTGACATTGAAAAAATCGTCTACATGGATGGCGGTGAGAATAGTGCCAAGGTCGTCCCGTCTGAAGTAGACGCAATGTTCGCACTCAAGGCGTTTAAAGCCCCAAGATATGAGAGCAGCGTGCATGGTGCGATTCCAGACGCGGCCGCCCTGCTTCATGCCATATAGCCCACGTTGTAGCATCCAGACGTGGTCCTCCTTCCCAGGTTCGATGAAGCCGTCAGGCTGGTGCATATAGCACACCTCCTCCGGATCGAGTAGACCGTTCAGAAATGCCGTCTTGACATCGAGTTGTTCGATTTCCCAATCCAGCGAGGCGCCGAGATGTGCGAGGACCCGAAAAGACTCCAGGCGTGCGGTCGGAGAGGAAGTCTTAGTGTAATCTTGTCCGTAGACAGCGGTAAAACCTCTGCACACATACCGTGCCTTGAAACGAACTGGTAGGCCTTTTTCGTCTCGTTTGAGCTTGAAGACCGGTCTGCCCTTCATGATGCGGCGGCCTTTGGGGACGTCAGAGATGGGAACGAGGGTGTAGGTACCAGTGCGTTTGAGGGAGTCGAATTCCTCTTGGAGGGCGGTGCGCCATTGTGCTGCATGTGGTGAGGCCATTGCTTCTTGGTAGGTGGTGGGATCATCGGGGTGTTCGCGCTCGAAATCCTCAGGAACGGATGTGGAGAAGGCGTCGACAAGAGATGCGAGGTCGTCCTCAGATAGGTCCGCTGGGCCGGTAGGGGCGTCGACATCGGGGACTTCGGTAACCGTAGGTTGCATGAGTCGCCGGCGATCAGAGGCAGGAATGTAGGGGGTATCCAGGGATGCGCATAGGCGTTCAGAGGGTGGAGAGATGCGAGAGGACCGTCGTGGAGGAACAGGAGGTACTGGAACGGGATCGTGTTTTGGTATACCGGGCGATGATGACGTCGATACTATACGGGCGGAACAGTCCTCCATACCTGTTGGTACTATACGGGTAGTACAGTCCTCTATACCTGGTGGTGTTGGTGGCGATGCAGTTGGAGCACGAAGCGGGTGAGGGACTGCCTGATGGGATTCTATAAATGAAACATGGTAGGAGATCAGGACTTTGCCGCTCGGGCGATGGTAGCAACGGTATGCCTTGGAGTCAGCGGAATAACCGATTAGCACACACTCTACTGACCGCGCGTGGATTTTTGGATTGTGCGTGTTCTGTATGAGAACGAACGCACGACATCCAATCTCTCGGAGATGAGAGACGTCGGGTTTGTGACCTGACCAGCGCTGAAAGGGTGTAAGACCGTGCTGGGACTTAACGGAGACGCGATTGGATAAGTAACATGAGGTCACCACGAACTCATCCCATCTGTTGGGTGGGAGGTTACTTGCCAGGCGCATAGCGCGCGCACGATTCATGAGAGTTCGATGAACGCGCTCGACGCGTCCGTTCTGAGCGGAGGTATACGGCGCAGTGAACTGGTGTTGAGTCCCGCGAGAGAGGAGCCACTCTCTCATCGCGGTGGACTTCAACTCACCGTTATCAGAGCGGTATATGCCAACACGGAGGCCTGTCTCGAGTTCCCGCGCGCGTTCCCAAGCTTGAAGTGCCGGTAGAGCTGCGCTTTTTGAGGAGAGGGGGATCGCCCACATGAACGAAGAAAAATCGTCTATTATGTCCAAAATGTAGCGGTTGCCTGCGGCTGATACAGTATCGGGATGGTCCATCAAATCTACATGTACAACTCCCAATTTACGAGTAGCGCGTGATCCTTCGCGAGTCTTCGGAACGGGTGACCTAGTCTGTTTGCCGAGGATACAATGGTCACATTTAGGAGGAAGGGAGGATAGATCAGCGTGCATACCGGTGACGTGGCCCGCACGCGCCATGTCAAACACTGCACGAATGTTTGCGTGGGCGAGACGGCGGTGCCAGACACCGAGGGATGGGCTAGGCTGCGAGAATAAGACGTCGTGGGATCCGGACGGGGTTGCCTCAGGAATGGAAGACGAGCGTTGGTGCGTGGCATGAAGTTGCCCTCCAGAGACTCTGTACAGTCGACGAGCAGTAAGGGTGCCTGTGAGGACGCGTGCCCCGCTAGTGGTGATCACTGAGCAGGAAGAGGCGTCGAAGCGAGCGGTATAGTGTCCCGCGCTGCAAAGGCTAGAGACTGATACCAGGCGGACTGCCGCAGAGGGTACGAAAAGTACTTGGTGGAGGGTGACATGGAGCCCACGTCCAATGCGAAGTCGAATGGATCCGATGCCAACGGCATTGATGTGGGAGCCACCGATACCGCGGATAGGACGAGGGGGAAGACGGTTGAGTTCGAAGAAGTCCGAAATCTCGTGTGAGATGTGGACAGACGCCCCGCTGTCGAGATAGAAAGGTGTGATCTCGAGGTTGACAGGTGTGTACTTGGGCTGTTGTAGGGCGTCGTTAGCGATGCCAGCGAACTCAACGTCACGACGGTTAGCACTCCAGTCGATCGTCGCTTGGAGGTTCTCCCAATCCAGAAACATCGCATCCCACTCCGCCAGGTCAGCATCGGATAATTCCTGGATGAAGGCGGGGGTCATGACGTCGTGGGCCAGACCTGCGAATTCCTCTGAGGGAGGAGCGGATGGCTGGGTGGGGGTAGCTATATAGAACGCCTCACCAGTGACGCTATCTAGCAGGTAAGCGCGACCGGATGAATCCGTGCGACGGTTGGAGGTGGGTTTGGCAGATGATGTTTGAGGTAGCTTGCCGCCGGTGTTGTCACGCTTGTCGCGTGCAGCACGCTTGGCAGCGAGGATCTCGTCCCGGCGGCCATATGCCGCTCCTCCTTCAGCAAAGCATTCGTTGAGGACGTGTCCGCGTTTAGAACAGTGAGAACAACAATTCCCCTTGTGGGGGGGTCCTCGACAAGTGAGGCAGTTCTTGGATCTGCCCCCCTGTGCGATGAGTGCGACATCGGTTGTACGATGTTTGTCAGCGTCGATGAGTTGTTGTTCCATGTCCAAACGAATGCGAATGTCGTCGGGAGTGAATGGGTTGGACGGAGAGCTAGCAGCGAGAGAGCTTGCAACATGGTCACGGACGTGCGACATATCACCGGTGAGGGCGTTCAGCATGATAATAGATAGAAAAACCTGCTGAGTCGGTATGCCCATGTCGAAGATGGCACGAATGCCCTCTGTGAGGCGATGGCTAGTCTCCGCGAGGTTCGCGTCCCTGGAGTAGCGCACGTTCAGGAGTTCCTGTATTTTGAGGATCTGGGCGATGGGGCCTAGTTTCTGGTGGCGCGAGCGTAACGCATTCCAAGCGACGCGGGCGTTGGTGATACCATCGAGCACGCGCTTGTCATCAGGTGAGACACGGTTGCGTAGTGCAGCGACGATACCAGCATTATTAAGGTCCCAGTTCCTGGCTGCTACAGGCTCGCGTGCTGCGTCAGGACGGGCAACTGTACCCGTAGTGTATCCCTCAAGGAGGTTCATGTGGAAAATTTCCAACATGAGCTCCGACCAGGAGGTCCAGTTGTTCTTTACCCTGTCCAGGAGCTCGATTTTATCGAGGTCGGTCTTTGAGAGTCGACACGCGGTGATGGATACGGCAGACGAGGTGTGAGGTGGGTAGTACCCGTATGGAACATGATGAGTCGCCGTGTTGGTCGTGCCTCCCTGTGGAGTCACAGGGGCTGCAGGGGGGTTCATACTGACAGGAGTGGCTGGGACGTTTAGTGTAGAGGGTAAAGGTGTAGTTCCATCGAGTTCAGTCCTCGCGCGTGTATGCGGGGCCATGATGACGGGAAGGAGTAGGGGCACCGAACGACGCTGCGTGGTATATATATGCGTGGTGCACCTCGAGGATCACTCGAGGAAGCGCTCCCGATTAGGGACAGATGATGGCCCGAGCGTAACGTACGATTAATCGTATTGACGCCCGCCGGTGAAAACACGTGTCTAGCACTTGCTAAGACGTTGCGTGTGTGTATCCTGAGGAGGTTGGAACCGCTCAGAGAGTCTTTAGTAGTCTGTACGCGTCTAGAGGTTCTGGCTCGTTATACGGAGCCAGGGCTCATAACCTTTAAGAACTAGACACAGTTAGACCTCAGTCCGATAAAAGAGACTAAATTAGTGTACCTAGACACAGTTAGACTAGGGTACACGTTAGCATAAGTGCGGGCGGGGAGAAATTAGACAACGTACCCTCAGTCCGATAAAAGAGACTGAGGGAACAGTTCTATCTACGCGAGTCTGATATATAGTAAACGGTTCGTATTCCAATCATTCAATCCCCGCGGTTATCGTCGGCATCAGCTCCAACACAGCGGTGCTCACGAATCGCAAACTTGAATGTATAAACCAGTTCATTCACCTAGTACTATGTACATCATGATCATGTACAAGACTTGTCAGGTCAGATTCCGTCAGAATAATCGAGCTCGAGCTTGAGGCTGCATTGACTAACTTTCTTTGCGCATGTTTGGTTCATTGCGACTTGAAGATGTTATTTGACAAATGAACCCAGCGCTGCACTACCGAACCGCATTCCCCCAATCCCAACCACTGTGTAATCAAGCTCAAAGACCAGAGCATCAGTACCATTACCACCGAACGCCATTAGTAGTTGGATACGGTTTTGCACGACGTCCAGGACCCTCGTCTCCCGCACATTTCCGGGACTCGATGAAGTTCTAGGTCACATTTGGTACGAAAACAGAGAATTTACCGTACCGCTTCACGGCGCACGCACGTTTAATTGGCAGAGCTTTGACCTTTTTCAAAAGTTGAAAAGCCGGAGCGGATGGAAGTAGTCTCAGATTCACATGAACGTACGGAGATCTTACTTGACCGTGAGTACACGATGCGTGTATAAGACTCTATTTTTTGTGAATGAATCAGTGCCTGGAGAGGAGCCCACATGGATGGTGCGTTATTCCTGGTGGTAGGTGAAATACACCTGTCAGACTATGCCGTTGCACGCAAGGACACAGAAATAGTATGCAGACGAGGAGAGCCTATGTTCGACATTCATCAGGACTGCCGCACCAGCATAGACAGATTCATCGTAGGAAAGTAGGTCAACATCCTTACACAATTCTGACATCGCGAACACAGGCTGGAGATCTATACCCTAGTCAACACGCTAAGAGTGTACCAAGTTGCTATATTGCAGTTCGTGGTCATGGTCCAAACCGTAATACCAAACAACATCGGCCCAAAATCAAAAGTATAAAAGAAACAAGTCCGTCGTTGCATGTAAACACAACATCGTCTCAGTAAAAGCAAAACAGATAACCTATCACTATCATGAAATGTCAGTGTACAGGTGCAGGTATATTAGTATATGCAATGCTAAATCATATAGTCAGCGCCACACTTGATTTATGACAGGAAGATCATGGCGAAGAGGGTACCGGTTAAGCCGGCAAGGGTAGAAACACCAACAGCGACGGCACCGCCGCTCTGGGTTGCGCTTGCAGCACCAGCTGTGTTCGAGCCAGTCGAAGTGGACTTAGCGGTGCCAGTAGCGCCGCTTGCTGAAGCGGACACCCCGGTAGGGGTGACGGTGGCGAGGCCAGTGTAGAGGGCAGCACTGGCGTAAGTGACACAGTTGGATGAGGCGGGAATGACAGCTGTGTAGGGAGGGGCGACAACGCCAGAATTGGGCTGAGTGTAGGTCATGGTGACGCCGCCAGTGACGTAGACACCAGCAGGGGTCTTAAGGTCAGAGTCGCAAACTTCGAAGGTGCCGTTCTGAGCATTGTTGGGCATGTTGTAGCTGCAACCCATGCGGTCGTAGATGTTCTGGCAGTAAGCGGACTGGTTGGCACTGCTAGAAGCAGGATCACAGATCGTGATGCAGAAGGCGTTGCCACCCATGAAGCTACGGCGCGTGAGAATGAGAACGGGAATTGACTGGAGATGGAATGCTTACTTGGTCCAGTCGATAACTTGCTGGTAGGTGTTGTTGTCGCCGTTGTTGCTTGGGAACGCGTTAGAGTACATCAAGCCTCCAAGAGGGTTCCCACGCTAGAAAAAAGTCAGTTCGATCTTGATCCAATGACATGGGAGACTCACGAGATCAGCACCGTGCGGGTCGAGTTCTCCTCCATAGTCTTGAGCGTTCATGTCAATTTGAGTCTGGTCAATGAAACCAGCGATTTGGATGTACTCCGACGTGCGGAGTAACTGAACTCCCTGAAGGGCACCGTTGGGAATAAGACGAGTGCCGTGGCCAGGCTTAGTGCACCATGCAACCTCCTCCTGCTCAGTATCGCCGATAGTGGAGTTGGGGGTGAAAGGTGCCCACAAGCAGAAATCTGAAAAACAAGAAAATCGAAAATTGACATTATGAGCGATAAACGCATGCAGTGTTCGCAAAGGACGCACCGTCGATGTGGTTAACCATTGAGGTTTGGCACATGGAATTCTGGTTCTCGGTGGTGGAGTTACAGATGTTGTAGCCAACCTGTGGGCCACGGATAGCGGCGGTGTTGTAGTCGACTTGGTAGGGCTTGAAAAAGTCGTTCCGGTGTGAACATAGGAACACAAAAAAGAGGAATTGAAAGCTCACAATTCCTGAGGGGTAAGCATAGGTCTTGTCGACAAGGGGGGTTGGGTCAGCTGGGTCAGGTTGAGCAAGGGCAAATTTTGACGTGGCAGCGATGGCCAAAAGCACGGAAAGAGTGGAACGAGACATGTCTCAAAGATTGGTGGTGGTGAGAGAAGAAGGGAGACAAAGAACGCTCTGGTTGTTGGTGTGTGAGGAAGCGAGCAGAAAAAAATGGGACAACCGCAGTCGGATCAAAGCCACTTCAAATAGTTTCACAAAAATAGTTCACACACCGGAAATAGACCGCTGCTATATTTAGTCACATCATCAACCCTGGTATAAGTTTTAACTGCCGCCATCAGCTGAACATAGCTATATGCTTGTGACATGGTAAGTACTTGTCTTGATACGTGTGCTCACATGTGCTCACCTTGTCCACCAAATGAAATAAACGTTAAAGCCGGCTTGCCTGCGCCGTCGGACACCTTCAAGTTGCATGCTGATTCGGCATGCAGCAGTGTACGTCGCGTGCGACAGGTGTGGGATGGAAATCCCTGGCGACCGTATCAAGTCCTCCATGGATTATAAGTTAAGCTGGTGCGGGTCTCCAGCGTAGAGTCGTACAACCTGTATCAACCGCAAATAGGCCACCATCAAGATCATGAATCGCGAGGGCCCCGGCCGTGAACACCGGCGATGGGGATTTCCACCGTGCCGTGTTGGCAGCGTTTGAGATGTTGGCCAATGTATGTTGTACTCCACTTCGATTAGCTCGAGCCCTTCAAATCATTCGACTATAATGCATGTTGGAGCAACGATGGAGTAATAATTTGGAGTGAATGGACTTCGTGAGTTCGCGAGTGATTCTCGTACATTCTGTTTCAAATCATCTGGATCTCGTTCAGACATCGATTCTACGATTTCTCTCGTCTTGCGTCATACTTATCGTCATTGTACGAGTATGACAAAATACGTCATTAGCGTCATTCTTACTAGCGCTCCTTTTCCTCACAAGCTCCTATAAAGTACAGGACTTTATAACGCTCCACCTCCCCGTCACCGTCATGTCCACTTCACAACAACACGCCATGGACACACTATCTTCGGTTATTGCTGCTCTTGACGCTGGCAAACTCCCCAACCAACAGCAGGCGGATGCCGCAATCGACTGGATACTCCAGAATATCGTCGCGAGGGTCGAATCCTCCGATGCCGGAAATCTGAGCGAGCCAGGCAAAGCCCTTGCGTATGGCATACAAGACCTCCTCATTGCGTACAAGACGCTTGGGAATAACAAAAATTGTGATGCATCTCACCTTCGCTCAGAGTGGACTTTATCTCATTGAATTCTCTTGGTACAGATGACAACCTCTTACAAGACGTCCTCTGGCATCTCTCTGAGGGAGATTTCGCAGACACGCGCGTAGAAGCAATTGATACGGAAGAGGCTTCTGCCGACCTCCAATCTATCCGCTCCGCCATCCGCACTCTTCTACAAATTCTTTGGACCAATGTCAGCGGTGAAGGAAGCGTCCTCCTGGACGACTTTGCGTCCTTTGCGCGTCTCGCTATGGCCGACCTCGCAGGGGTCATTGAAACTGGATCTGCGTACGCCAAGGAAAGTTTACGCGAGTTCGACACGAAGGTGCAGCAGGGCGAACGGGACAATTTGGGGCGGAAGCGCCAGACCCCGGAAGAACTGGAACAGAAGCGCGAAGAAGATACGAAGAAGAAATTTGAGCAGACGATGGATACTGCGAAAGAGGCCGGATCCAAGGCTATAGGTGTCGGGCAGGACGTTAAGGCATCTGCTGAAGAAATGGTTGAGCGCACTCGTGCTCGTCTGCAGGAGACTTACTACAATGTTTGCTATTTCTGTTATCAGATAACATGGTGCTGACGATGATTTTCGCAGATTTGTGAACGTGCGCAGAAGGACAAGGAATACCGCCGCGCCCTCTCTACACTTTTCGACACCGTGTCAAAGTGGATCAATAAGTCTCTTGATACTGCCGCTGACATCAACCAGTCAACGTCGCTCGAGTCTTCCATCGACGATCCTTCTGAAGAGAAACATATTCTCGAAGCGCTTTGTGGCATCCGCACTCTCGTCGAGCGTGCTGCTGGTGGCAAGTCCCTGGATGACGTCTTCGCCCAGTTCCGCCTGTGCGCTGTTCACGTCAGGAATGACAAAGACCTAAAGAGGTGGTTTAACGATTTCTTTGCTCACGTCCGGAAGAGTCTCGACGAGCCTGGATATGCACGGTCAGAAGAAGCACAACAGGTGCATCGACGACTTGGCGAGCGTTGGAAGCAGCTTCTTGACCAAGATTCGGTTGCGGGACGTAAGTGGAAAGAGGACGTGCGGGTTCTCAGGGAGCAGCTTCGTGCTTTTCAACACGCGGTCACAAGCGATGTTGACTTGCAACGTATGCGGAAGGCACATGTTGCGTTCGGTAGGGATTTGGCGCAGAGCATTGGTATGGCCGGACAGACGGGTATGCAGTTTGCCCTCGATCATGCTTCGTGGTTCTGGCAGGACGTGTTCAACGTCTATGTGCCACGCATTTTGCGCGTCATCAAAAACATCCCAATCCCAAGGTAAGATCCAGAGGCAACGTTGCGTTCTCAAGATTCACTGACGAGCCTTATAGAACTGAGTTCGTCGACAACGAGATCGAATTTGTGTTGGAGAATCTCAACGTCTCGTCGCTGAGCTTGCTCCCTGGACACGTCTACATCCGCAATATCACAGATGTCGACATTACCGCACCCGCTGGGTCGCAGTCAACAACCACTGCCTTTGGCACCCTCACGCACATACGGATGCAAGCAGTTCAGCTCGCGCTCAAGGAGGTCTCATTCTTCTACAGGGACAAGCTTGCTACTGTCGGGCCCAAGGAGTTTACGGGTCTGATGGAGTTCATTCTCCCCCCAAAGGGGATTGATATTGACCTCAAGTTCCGCTTGATCCCAAACACGCCTGAGGGTCTCAAGGAGCGCGAGCGTCTTGGACGGTTCTTCAAAATCGAGCGCATCGAGGTGACTTTGGCGGAAGATATCGACTTGGAAATTAAGCAGTCCAATCATCCCATCTTGACATCCGTCTTCAAGCCTGTCTTCATGCTTCGCTTCCGCGATGCAATTTCACGCACTCTGGAGGAGCAGATCCGGGGGCTGTTTGATACTGCTGACGCTTTGGCATTTGATATTGGGCGGCGCTCAGAGGTGTTCCAGGATGCTGGGCTTGGGACTTCGTCGTCTGTCGTTGCTGCAATGTGGAGCGAGATAGGGAAGCTTCGTCGGATGGAAGGTGGCCTGTTGTCTGGGTGGAGAGCGACTGGAACGGGAATTGTCAAGGATGATCTGGGCGGCAACGCGAAGATTGCGATGGGCGCAGAGCCTCAGATTCTTTCGGGGGAGAAGAGAGGTCCTTTGGGGACTCATGCGGAGCCGCTTGCAGAAAGGATTCCGGGCGCGGATGTAGGAGGTGCCTTGGAAGGTGCGAAGACTACTGTTGAACGAGTGGAGCGTGCCGGGAGGGAAGGATTAAAGCAGGTGCAGAGTTTCAAGCAAAGCGTCGAGCACAAAAAGTTGGAGGAGGAGAAGCGGAGGGGGTGGAAAAGTCCAGCATTCGATCTCTAATCATTGATAGTTCGGCTGGTACGTCCTTATATTTAATGAGTCTCTAGTTTAGATACGATGTCCGTAAGCACATGAATAAACGGGCAGGTGTACAAAATGCTATAATGACATATTACTTCCGCTCCTTGAGCGAGGTTGCTACGAATGTTTGTACCTCTCCAGTGCCGTGTGTTCTGTAGTGTCGAACACCGTCCCTAGATCTTTGAGCAGAATGACACTTCACTAAGCCCATCCTCAGATCTTTCAAGCCTGTCTTCATGCTTCGCTTCCGCGAGGCAATTTCACGCACTCTGTAGGCGATAAAAATTCACTGCTATCATCGTCGCCCAGCAAGTCCGCTCTGAGTATTCTGCTTAGGAAGAGACTACTTGTGGATTGCGCTCGGTGAATTTATTCACCATCCGCAGAAGTGAATCTTAGCCACGTCGAAAGGATTGAGAGCTCTTGGTTACCTGGTAGACCTGATTATTGTTTAATCTTCAGCAGAATTAACCAGATAACTAAGATCACTATTGTCAAAATTAAACGTTAGAGTCTCGAATAAAGTCAATTCAGCGTGCATAAATTCAAAACAGCGCTACTGCGAAATTGCATCCTTCACACCCATCAGGCTTCAACAAGGAACCTTCTTTGAGATTCCACAGGTTACATGCCAGATCTACAGCGTAGAATAAATTAAGTAATTACACGGGAATGAAGCCGCGAAATGGAATACCTCGAAGTTTAGAAGTGGAGGATGATGTGGGAACCCTTTGACTCCACTTTGAGAGCCACGAAGTCCCAGGTCAGGATAACGTTGTTGTTTGCATCAATTGTGACGCTCGCGTGTCCAGACGCAAGGTTTTTGGCCGCTCCATCGAAATCAAGTTTCACTTGGTCGTCGACCTTGAGAGGAATTATGGACGACACGAGGAGGATGTGTCCAATGATAGGGACATCGATAAAAACATGAAACGCTAGACTGCGAGAGGACGTGTTGAGGGTGATGTCGGCCTAGGGTGGAGGGTGTGGACACCGTTCAAAAGGGTGAACAAATACCACCAGCAACATGGACTGACCTCAACAAGGCTGATCCTGACTTTCTTGTTAATGATGCCCTTGTCAGCCTTAGTCACCATCTGGTGCGTGTAGAGGACTTGTCCGTCGTCGAGCTTCACACTTTCGACATGAGCTTTGAAGTGATCCAAGTGCTCTGCAAAAAATTAGGGTGGTGGTCCGCCTGCTGGCCAGCGTACTCACGAGCAATAGCTAGGAAACCGCGGAATGAGCGTTGAGCTGAGGTACTCGAGAATATGATATTTACCTTGGAAGTCTTTGATTGCACGGTCTGAGGCAAAAGATATCTCGCCGGGGGCAATCATCTGCGAGGGGGGGAAGAAGGTCGACATATTGTATGGTGTGTGAGTGTGTGAATACTCGGGGTAGATAGTTGGAGAATGAAAACTGCAGTTTACAGTTCATGATGGGCAGACTTTATACCACGAGCACATCGTGGAGGCACATCTACAGCGGCGACATGTGAGGACTAAGCGATGAAGGCACCAGGCCACCGGACTTCATCTTCTTGCGCGATCGAACAACAAACGATGCGGTCTTTTCTCCGCGCGTGCATGGAGGCATTACAACACTGAAGGAAGGGAGTGCCTTGTACCTTCAAATATTTGCAGATGGCGCATCATATGCACCTTTAATTTTGACGTCCTCGGATAGATCTTGACGGGTGTGCGCCGACAGTGTCATAGTAGAATGGCAGCTCCGTTCCTTTTCGGACCCTGCCAGTGAGTAAGTTACCCGTGAGTTGGAACAATTCTTACTCAACAAACGACTAATATCTTGATTATCAATTAATTTGAACGTTACTGTCGGGCTAGTACGAGGATATTAACGAAAGGCTTGCACTGTCGGGCTAGACTGAGGATAACGAAAGGTTGAGGCCGGGCGTATGACGTGTGACTTGTTCAAGTTCTTGACCAACCTAGTGCTTATGGCAGGTATCAGGTAAGATTCTCTACCATTATTGATATTCATTTTCTCCATTCTACTATGACACTGTCGGCGCACAAATTTATCCGTCAAGATAGACGTCAAAAGGTGCAAAAGATGTGCGCATCTGCAAAAAAAAAAAAAATTGAAGGTACAAGGCACTCCCCTCCTTCAGTGTTGTAATGCCTCCATGCACGCGCGGAGAAAAGACTGTATTATTTGTTGTTCGATCGCGCAAGAAGATGAAGTCCGGTGGCCTGGTGCCTTCATCGCTTAGTCCTCACATGTCGCCGCTGTGCCGGATGGAAGGTGGCTTGCTGTCTGGTCGGAGAGTGACTGGAACGGGAGTTGTCGAGGATATTTGGGCAGCAATGCGAAGACTGCGATGGGCGCGGAACCACAGATTCTGCCCAGGGAGAAGAGAGAGCTGGTTGCAGTAAGGATCCCTGTAGGTATCAGAGGTGCATCGCTTGAAGGTGCGAAGATTGTTGTTGAACGAGTGGACCAGGCCGGGAAGGAAGGCTCAAAGCAGTTGCAGAGTTTCAAGCAAAGCGTCGAGCACAAGAGGCTAGAGGAGGAGAAGCGGAGGGGGTGGTGGCAAAGCTATAACGATGTCCATGTATATCTAAGATTCATTCTTTCCAACTTGGAGCGCATCACGATCGTGTGAGTTCTGATATCTGACTCGTACTAAGAGTGTTCATCTGGCACCGGCAGAAGTTCGCCCCACCCTACAACGCCTGCTCATCATGTCTCAGGCGCTGATGAATCCCTCAGCCTGTCCTTTGCCAGACAGTTTTGTGACATTCTGCAGCGATCAACCAGCATCCACGTTTTGTTGGAATGTCAAGGTTGAGAGTGATTCAACGCTCTTACTTTCTAATAGGACGAGGGCAGACTTGATCCAGGATGCTTGTGCAACTGCACAGCGGTTTTTACATGACGGCCCTTTACGAAGGCGATGCGGAGAACCACCAGTCAATGTAGGCTTCTTCGCGCACAGTGGCTATGACCTCTTCGTGGGGTTCCTCGCTGCCTTAATGAACAGGTGGACTGTGTGTTTGAACTTTCTTCTTTGCCTGCGAATAAAACCTGATGATTCCAAGCCAACATTAATATCTGATAAAAATAGTCCTGAAGGTGTAGTACACCTTGTTCGTGCCTCCGGTTCTCAATGTCTTTTCGTTGACGCTACTCATTCAAACCTCGTGGACGTCGTACGACGCCAAGTCCCGAATATTCAAGTTATTCCTCTGCGAAGTGATGGCGGGACGACTGCACAATTCCCTGTCACGTACCCTCCCATCATCGACCAAAGTTGTGACTTAGACTTAGATGCGGTCGCGTATAATCTACATACTTCAGGATCAACAGGTCTGTGCAATCATCTCTCCGCGTCGATCTAACCTTCAATATGTCATAGGACACCCCAAATTGATACCAGTTACTCACCAGCAGTGGTACGATCAAACCATGCGATTGACACCCTTTCCAGGCCGTGCGGTGTGCACCCCTATGCCCATGTTCCATGCAAGTGCATCGATTGATGTCTCATCAGTTTACTCACGCATATCTCTAGACGGTCGGGCTTACTTGCTTAACCAAATTCACTATTGGTGCGGGCTGCATACCCATAATTATTGAATCCCCGCGACCCTGCACGGGAGAATTACTGTGCGATGTTCTCAACCGCTTCAATGGTGCGATTTGTGTATCGCCTCCATCCCTACTCGAACAGATCTCCTTGATGGGAGAAGGAGCTATCCAAGTGCTTGGCTCTACATATATGGTTTTGTTTGCCGGCGCACCCCTGCAAGAGCCTATCGGTAATAGATTAGCAAGTCATGGCGTGAAGATTATCTCGGCCTTTGGAACGTTAGTGTCCTCGGCTAAGCATTGATTATGTTGCTTTCTGATCTCTGGATGCAGCACTGAGACCGGTCAATTAACTGTAGCAGATGTCAGCTCTGATGATCCTCTCGACTGGCCTTATGTCCGATTCATCGATCCGTCTGCAATAGAACTGGTGGATGTTCCCAATACCAGTGATTTGCGACGTTTAGTTGTTAAGGTACTTTTTTTTCGAAACATTACGTTTGACTTGGTTCAATGTGACCCGTACCATTCAGCCAGGTCGTTTTGTGTCTTCTGACCTCGTTAATCACGATGATCCTGTTGGCTTCAGCCCCGGTGACCTGTGGCGGGAGCACCCAATAAAAAAAGGCATCCCCAATAATTCCTGTGCAGATTACTTCGTTAACGTGGTTGTACAGGACTTTGGAGACACGCAGGAAGAATGAGCAGTGTGGTGAGTATGGGCTTCGCTTAAGAGATGATTGTAGCCTACTGATATCTCTTTCCTAAGACTGTTCTCAGCAATGGAGAGAAGACCGACAACGAACAGCTTGGTAGGCATTTTATGATCTTTTCGATAGCCAGGTAGCAGACCTGAGCTTATACACAGAGTCACTTATGCTCAAGAACCCCGTTGTGGAAGGCGCGATTGTGTTTGGAGAAGGTCACTTGCAGAATGGGCTGATTGTCCTTCCAAAAACCTCATCTTTGGACGATGCTGATTTCGCAGCATCCTTGCAGTCAACCGTTCAGCACATGAATTCCATTATCCCAAAGCACTCTCGGGTCGTACAAACCCTCGTTATCCTCGGAAATACGCAAAAACCTTTCGTCCTGACAGACAAAGGGACTATCAGACGCTACGAGACACTTGCTCTTTACTCCAAAGAGATTCAGGAAGCGTACGCGGCTCTCGAGTCTGGGTTTCCTCTCAGACCTCTACCATTAAAGGATGATCACAAGGGCATTCTAATGTATATCAAGGCAATCGCAGCCTGTGTACTTGGGGTGGAGGTTGCTGTTGAAGATGACCTTTTCTCCCGCGGTTGGTATTTTTTGCATTCTGCCTATGTAGTAGCTAGCTAATATCTGTTTAGGCATGGATTCCTTGTCAGCGGCGAATTTTACCGCATACCTGACGCCACTCTGGAAACTCGTTAGGGACACAGAATTACCTCGTAATATCGTCTACAAATATTCATCCATTGATGGCCTGCATCAAGTGATCATCGGGAGAATATCGCACATCGTGCATCGTAATGCAGAACAGATAGATGCGATCATCAAGAAGTGGACTTTTCCGAATCCTGCTTCAGCTCCAACCAGTCGTTTATCGTATTTGGAACACATGTCCAACGATTTGGACGACGGTCCCATGACAGTGCTCCTCACAGGATCAACAGGCGCGTTCGGTAGCCACGTCTTGTCAGAGCTCGTCCAGAGAGAGGGAGTCCACGCTGTTTACTGCTTAGACCGCGCGAATCCTCGTTCGGTAGGTACTCATACTCGACGACTAAGACGCGAAGCTGCGTCTGGCAAAGGAGACACGAAGGTCGAGTTTTGGTCTATGAAACTCGAAGAAATCAACTTGGGCTTAGATTCAGAAACCGTTCAGAAGGTCAGTTTCTTGAATCTACCTGACTCTGATCAGTTCCAACGTGTATTAGGTTTATAGAGACGTTACCCACATCGTTCATTGCGCATGGGATGTGAATTTCAACCACGAGTTGGAACACTTTCTCGACCCCCATGTTCGTGCCCTACACACGATGCTCGAATTATCTGCTTCCAGCGTTCGCACAAAGGCGCCGCGCATCTTTTTCATGTCCAGCGTTTCTGCTGTTGGGAGTTACTCGGGGCCCGAGCACACTATCCCCGAAGTTCCTTTTGACTCGCCGAGTTTGCCGCTTGACCAGGGTTATGCGCAATCGAAGTATGTTTCAGAAAGGGTTTTAATCGATGCATCCCGAACCGCAAATATACCAGTAACAATTGTGCGCGCTGGACAACTCGCTGGCAACACCACGCTAGGCGCATGGAATGCGTCGGAACACATTCCTATCTTCATCCAGGCTTGCTTCTCTTTGAAACTTATGCCCTCTAAAATTCCGGTTCGTTATGCAGATAACTTCCATATTTTACCAATGATCCCATTCTCATTATAGAACCTGTCATGGACGCCAATCGACGTTGCATCAACCATCTTGGTGGACATCATGCTGAATGACCCTCACCGCCATACGACCAATCTTTTGGTACGGCACATCGATAGTCCCAAAGAACTCGCCAGCTCGGATTTTCTGCAATGGATGGTTGAGGCATCAGGGGATTCAATCGCTCTTGTATCCAACGAAAACTGGCTCGACGCAGTGCGAAATAGCCCGAATGTCTTGAGGGCGAAACATTTGCTACCGTTCTTCGAATCGTGGCTGTCCGGTGCAGCTCAACATAGGCATCGTGTGCTCAGCGTACAAGACACGAAGCTTTTGTCTGCAAGCTTTTCTCGAGCACAGATAACACCAGAGCTCTTCAGACAGTATGTGGACTTCATTCGCAGAACAGACAGATTATCTATCACCGTATGAACAATCTCGGTCTGGACACTCTTCGACGTAAAATTCGATAGCCTGGTATCACATATTATTGCGTTTCATTCTATGATGTTGAGACCATGAAACACTAGTATAGTCATCTACCTATATCGCTAAAGATTGGATTAAATATCTCGATGTTGGAGGTACCGCCAATAGCCTGGCAGCATATGTACTACTGACAACCACATCTAACAAGATTTTAGCGCAAAGGCGATGCACGGACAATTTAGGACTGACGTTGTATAGAAGGAATGACGTTTGGTCCGCTGTCCTGCTTCTCATCAACAAAAATCGAACACCGACCAGCATGGAGAAGCAGAGCAGGAGAACGGTGTAAGCCCAAGTTAACTGCCACATGAAGCCGAGAGCGATAGACCACGTTACAAGCAGTGGCAAGATTGAGGCACGACCCACTTGGGGAGACACGATCGGTAAAGTTAATCTGCCGATTAATCTGTCTCCCGCCTCGTCTTTGAAATCCTGGGCGTGTATAGTGGTAGCAAATACCGCTGTGCTTATCGCGACAGACAGACGTCCCACGGCGTCCATGTGCGACGTATGACAACCTTCAGTATTCATCGATCATCAACCAACTTGCATCTGACCGGAGAAATACGCTACTCACCTGCGATCAACGTTCCGCCGACTTCAAACGAAGCGAATCCTATCGCAGTGACGATGTTTTTCGTGAGCCAGTGGCGGTTTGCTTGTAATTCATTGTATAGGACGGTAAATAGCACGAGAGCCATGCTAGAAAGTAGCACAGGACCACCATGTAAGGCGGATATGATCCAGCAAGCTGGAACTAAGCCCCAGCGTAGAATGGTGGCATGTCTCAGCGATATTCGACCAGCTGGCAATGGGCGAACGGGTTTGTTCTTCGCATCTTCTTCGACATCTAGTATTTGATTGGATGTGTCGAACTGCAGGAGATGCAAAAATATCCACCAAACTACTGGGAAAATGCGATCCGGGGTGCAAAGTGGAGCTGAACTGACCGATAATATCGTCTGAAAGTAGGGAAGTCATGCGGAATGAACTCATTAGTAATTTTAACATCACAGATTAAAGACCTACGATGGGAACCAGCGTAGTTTTGATGTCAGATTTGACAAATAGAAATATTGTCACGAGGAAGCCGAATAGTGTATCACTTTGACCGAAAGTCCTCATCTGCACCGTGGCTAAAAGATCTAGACGAAGTTGTTCAACATCGGCGCTGCAGCTCGAAGCATCGTACCACCTACCAAAAGGAAGCAGCAGCAGTTCTTGTTCACTTCTTGCGGTTTATAAGTGTCTATTGGCGACTCACGTTGAGACTAAACTTGATTGGCAATAGACTCGGAGGTGGCGAAATGCGGTATCGTTCCATTACAGCAGAATGTAAGTGAATGACAGGTCCGACCTGGCTCCGAGTCTATCTTGATAAATTGGGCCAGCGCTGAAAGCATGTGTCAGATACGGTCAACTGGTTGCGGGCCCTACTGGGCAAGATCTGGTTGTGGGTGTCAGTGGACATTATCCGAAGACGTATTCAAATCAGGTCAAACTCACGAAATCGACATCGTGCTACAAATCATATGCATGATGCACGCACACCGCCATATGACGACTCGCCACTTAAAATTGAAACCTTATGCAACATGGGTGGCAACACCCAAAAGGGTACGGACCCTGGCCAGGCAGATCTACCGTCGGTCTCGTTTTAAAAAGTGGAGAAGACAACTTGATAAACCAATGCGGACTTACGAAACACTGGCGTATTTAAAGTGGCATTTTACATAAATTAAACGCTGCGGGATCGCAGGGGAATTGGCAATCCCCGACTTCTCCGGGGTGAAACACGAACCGTGTTTCACCATAACCCAGGAGAAGACTGACGCTCGACCGTCCGTGGTAACCAGCAACAAACTTTTGTCAGCGTATCAATGTTAAGATGCCTAGGAATAGTCGTCAATAGTCCATATCAATTGTCCGCTAGAAATATGGTGTACTGATACACAAATCCTCATCGACAACACTACTACGGAAACGTCCTTGAGAGTAAAAACGGCGCAGTGTATGCATCTTAAACAAGCGCAGGTGCAAACCGAGACCTTGCACGCAACGCAGGCCCATACCTGTATTCGAAATAAAATATAAAAATAAAAATAAAACCCATCAGATCCCCCGAAAAGCAAAATCAGATGCAGATCGACAGACCGTTTAAGCACAATGGGAATGGGAATCATCATACAGGCAACACAGCCGAGTAAAGTTGAAGCCCATCGTGGATCAAGGGCAGTGTACATCTGCGTTGCGAAGAGCTGCAAGGGCGAGGGAATCATAATCATTCACTGACTGTCAATGCCACACAAGAAGAGACATACAGGAAATATCGCGCCTGCAGCACTTCGGAAAACAGTGTTTGCAGCAAGGGCAGATGCAGCAGCGATAAGATAGACGTCTATGTGAAGATGAGCAGATGGCGAAAGAAAGAGTTCTTGTCGCACCAATGATATAGTTGAATAATGCGAGCTGAAAAGCGCGATTGACTCATTAGGGTATGGGGTTTGACATTGAAAAACAATCTTACAAAGATCCAAATCGAAGACAGTCCCATCAACGTGCCCGCCATCATTGGTGCCCAGTATGAAATGGATGGATAGGATGTCCATCTACAAAGAAATATGAGCTTACAGGGCCACTTGAGTATCAATTGGACTCGCCCAAACCAGAAGAAGGTGATGGCGAACAGTGGCGCTCCAGACATAGCCAGATTAAGACGTATCTCTGGAGAAACCAGTCCTGCTTTGTGCTTATCCATCGCTGCCTCATACTGAGGGTGAAATATCAAGAGATACTAGGAAAAGTCAGATGATGATGAACAGCGAAAAAATGTGACCCCACCCCAAAAACGCCCAAGATGCTACCCGCGATCAGAGGTAAGTAGGTCAACCCCAAAACCCCTAGGGACAGAAGATCAATATTAATTGTGCTCTAAACGTAGCAGCATACCTGGCCGGAAGTTGTGTCCACCCGTGAAGACTACAGGATACGCTTCGAACAGTAGGTACACACATCCATAGACGAACTACATGAAAGTTCAGTCAAAGTAAATGAAAGAGGTGAGAGCTTACACTCATATAAGCGGTGACTGCTATGAGCATTGGTTCGCAAATGAGGATTTTGAATGGCCTAGAGAGGCTGTCTTCAAGTCGCTTGTGTAGCTGCTTTTGCTGGATCAGCTCCAGAGGAGCGTGATATCGGGAGTCACCAGTTTTCAAACGAAGTTGCTTCGCTTTGTGCAGGAGGACAATGGGACTGAGTGCACGAAATTAGCATGGTGTTCGATGTATGCCAGTAATTGCAGCGACTAACGCATATGTCTCCGGTAGAGTGAAGTAGATCAACACAAAACACACCGTGGCCTGTATAACGTCAGTGAATATACTCGTCTCTCGTTCAGCTACCTACAAATATAGTGAGAACCCAGAACAACCAAGGCCATGGCGTCCCTGTCTGTGCAATATAGCCCCCAACCAGTGGACCGCTAGGGTACAAAAATGTTATGTAGGCGGTCCTTGTCAGGTAATCACGATACCGCTTACAAGGCTGGTCCAACAAAAGGTGCAAGAGTGAATAGAGCCAACGCTTTTCCTCGTGTTTTTGCGTCCCAGCTACAGAATGTTTTAGCCGGGGCAAGGCAGAGGTTAATCTACACATACATATCCGATATCAGCGCGCTGAATGGAGGCAATTGGTCAAGAAAAACTGAATCGACGAATTGAGCTCGTACCCGCTGTTCGTTAACGGGGCGGCGGCGAACAGACCACCGAGCAAACGAAATATGATGATAGACGCTGTATTCTTCGATAGTGCACAGCCAACTTGAAAACACTGATACATCGCGTGCAAGGTCAAATGTTTTATTGGTTAGAGTGCGATTCACACTTACAGCATATATTGGAAAGGTGATAAGGAAGATTGGCCTTCTGCCATACTGTTAACGTGTCAAAAAATATTGTTCCAAGATGTGAAGTTGGGCTACCTGCTCCGACAGCGGTCCCCAGAAAAGGGGTCCAACGCAGTAACCCGCTACAAAGAGCGAGATCGTCAGTGCAGCCACCTCGTTCGAGAGGTTGAAGCGCGTCGTCAGTTCTGTAACAATGCCGGAAGGTGCCGACGAAGCAAACGTGCTAGATGATATTTTATTGTTGACGCACAACGCTCAAGCTAGTCAAGAGGAACCACTGACGCATTAAACCCCAATAATCCCGCGAAATATGTTAGGTACCAACGTCTCCGACGGGTCCAGTTCTGAGGTTGGTCATCAGACACTTTGAACACGAGGCTTGAGATGGACAGCACTACCTTTGGATTTTCCTGGTCGTCTGGTGCAAATTGCACCAAGTAGGGATCGATATTCTCTTGGGCCATGAATATGCCAGTTATTCGATGTCCGGTTGAAACTGGGAAATGAATGAATGGGAGAGTGGGTATTCTTTCTAGGCGTCAAAACTTCAAAAGCTGAGGTATGCTAGTAGTATGAGAAGGCTGCAGCGCCGAACGTTGAACAAGGGCAGTCAGCTACCAGCGGATATTGACACAAGCATATCAATTCACAGCTTCGAAGCAAAAATAGTTGTGACGCCGCATCTTCCATGAAGGGTTCAAACGTCGCGGCCTCCGCATCGGAGCTTGTGAAGCTCGATCTGTATACAGTCACGTACGTTGAAGTTCGGTTGAACGCAAACACAACGTTGCTGTAATGATAAATTGGCTGCGCGATTGATATCATAGCATAATTACATAATTGAAAATAACTTTATTTTAAAATATCAATTACTAGGTTCGTTCCCGGACGCCGAGTGCGACACCAACAGCAACCAGTACGGCCAGGGCGGTTTAATTACCGAGCCAATGACCTTTTCAGTGGGACGTTAAAGTGAAACTCACGATCCATCTTGAGCGTTTTCTAGATCGCTGTGATTGCTCCAGCCAGGGGTTGCTTCAAGGTTCTGGTAGTTTGTTTGTAGGACGGGCATGTACTAGTATGGCACGTAACGTAACGTCCAAGTGCTCCAGCTCAGTTCGCTAATACAATTTAATACTGACAGTATCCCAGTAGGACTGTTCGCCACGCGCCCGCCGCTCCCATCATATCATCAAGGGACCTATAAGATGCATCATTCGAAGCGAACACCCCGGATATCACCTACATCACATGTTGCGTTTTCTTCTCCTTTCTGGACTAGTATCCCAGTGTTTTGTTTCAGCTAAGCTGTATACTGATCCTAGTCAGTTGCCGACGAGCGTGTATGACTTTGTCGTGGTTGGAGGTGAAGAATTTTTTCCTTTGCTTGTTCGTAAATGCTGAATTGCTCCCTCAATCCTTCCCTACGTTAGCTGGAACAGCAGGGAGTGTCATTGCGGCCAGGCTATCAGAGAATCCTATTTTTTCCGTCCTTGTGATAGAGGCTGGTTCAAGGTAGCTCGCACTTTATCATTTATTCAACCCCTCACTGATATGTTCCAAGCAACCAAAATATACTAGCCGCTCAAGTGCCATTCCTAGGTTCTACTCTCTCCCCAAACACTTCTGTTACATGGAATTACACGACGACACCCCAAATCGGTCTCAATAACAGGACTATACCATATCCGAGAGGTTACGTCCTTGGGGGCTCCAGTACAATCAGTAAGTCCAAACATTCTTATGATGAGGCATTTCTACGATAAGGCTCCAGATTTCGAGATATGGACCAGAGGCTCGGTAGATGATTTTGATCGATTCGCAAACGTATCGGGGGATCCTGGTTGGTCGTGGCTCGAGATGATGCCCTACATGAAGAAAGTAAATACCCCGATCTTCATACCCTGGCTCTATTATAACTGACGGTAGAGCGAACATTTGGTGCCTTCTACGGACAACCGTTCTGTAGTCGGGGAGGTGGATCCCGCTATCCACGGTATGAGGGGCCCAGTGCAAGTAAGCCTGGGCGGCTTCGTCGGTGAGGTAGATCAGCGTGTTATGAACACAACGAGAGAATCAGTTTCTGAATTCCCTTACAACATAGACATGAACTCTGGTTATCCTCTGGGAATAGGTCAGGCAATGCTAATAACTCCAATAACAACCGCTCACCAGTCTTAGGATGGACGCAGAATTCCGTGAGCTCGAAAGGCTTTCGGAGCAGCTCAGCTACAGCGTATTTGGCACCTGCCATGGAAAGAGATAACCTGGATGTCCTCATCCAAACTCGCGTCACGAAACTCATAGCGGTTTCGCATGCAAATGGCGTGCCGACCTTCGGACAAGTAGAGGTGGCTCAAGCTCCAACAGGTGGCTATAACGTTTCTGCGTTCTGGTGCCCCCATCTCATATGCCCTCGCAAGGTCCACGATTGTTGTTCAATGCAAGCAAAGAAGTCATTCTATCCAGCGGATCGATCAACACGCCCCATATTTTGCAACTGAGTGGTATCGGTGATTCGGCGTTGCTCGCATCGTTGAATATAACTACCATTCTTGATCTTGACGACGTCGGCAAGAATCTTGCTGACCACCCTTTCCTGGGCAATCACTGGCTCGTCAACTCCACTTCCACGTTCGAGGCAGTTGGCCGAAATGCATCTCTGGCTGCTGATCTGCTTGCACAATGGAATGCGACTGGCACAGGACTTTTCTCGGACCCCGGTGCAAACCAAATTGGCTGGATGCGACTTGCATCAAATTCAAGTATCTTCCAACAGTATCCTGACCCATCTGCTGGCCCGACATCTCCTCACTATGAATTCCTACCTGTCGTATGTCTGTCTTTATCGTTGTGTTCGTGTGACCCGACAACGTGTATTATAGAATGGGTTCGTGTCCTTCGTTGAACAGACCCCAACGACAGGATTTTTCTTGTCTATTATAACCAACGTCGCTTCCCCGCTATCTCGTGCGTCATCCTGTGCATATCGCGTGTTCAGCCACTGATCGATCTCAAGGTGGTTCGGTGACATTGGCATCGGGCGATCCCTTCGACAATCCAATCATCGACCCTGCATTGCTCGAAAGCCCATTCGATCTTTGTGTGATGGTGGAAGCTATCAAAACTGTTAAGCGGTTCGTTGAGGCGCCCGCCTGGGACGGTTACATTATCGAAGCTGTTGGTGCCCTCAACTCCACGACGGACGAAGACTTGGTAGATTATGCTCGAAACTTCACGTCCACGGTGTTCCATCCAGTAGGGACCGCTCGAATGACATCCCACGCCGACCAGGATGGTGTGGTCAACCCAAATTTGCTTGTCAAGGGGTGTTCTGGATTGCGAATAGTTGATGCATCTGTTTTGGTGAGTCGCAGCTTGACGCCGTCACTGTGTGCCCGATGATAGTGTTGATGTTTCTGACATAATATGCTGCTTCCAGCCGTATATACCGGCTGCGCATCCTCAAGCATGCATCTACGCGTTGGCTGAAAGAGCAGCGGATTTGATCAAAGCTGCATGGTGCTGAGCCTCGGGTCGAGATAGCGGCTGCTGGAAACTTAACGTCCTGCGCACTTGTTACATATTTCATTAAGTCATCATCATTATTCTGCCTTTAAGTTTTTACGTCTGGGCAGGTTTTGCGCAAAATTTAGAAAATGGCGCTTGAAGGCTTCAGGCAGACTAGCGTAATTGTCATGTTAGCCTCATTAGGAAAATCGGTTGCCGTCCTGCGGTGGGTGCACATCAAGCATCAGGCAGTGTTTGAAAGCTGCCCATCAGAGCCTCTCAAATTTGTTTAGGGCGCCTCGGGCTGGTTCGTTTTGTTTCAGCTCTATGAGTCCACACGAAATCCCGTTCAATCTCCTCAATGAACTTGCGCTTAGGTTATAGCGCAGCTGCGCCTTCCTCTTACGTTGGTTCATCCTGGTTCGCTTTGTCTCCGCTCTGTAAGTCCATATGTACTCCCCTGCACTCTATTCGGCGGATACGTTACTGGTTGCTTGACTCCTTGCAGAAGCTTGATCATCATACGTATATAGCCTATATCAGATACTATCCCTCCGCTCGACCTCCACGCATTAGGTAGGTCTATATGGGCACCCAGGGGTCGTCCACCAGAGGAATTTGTTACCCATTTGGATACTGTGTGACTGCCACTGCCCCGTCCCCTATTTCTCCGCATCTAATACATATGTAAAAGGCTTACTTCTTTACCCACCGATTCCATCACTTCAAGACCCCGCGAGGCTGAGTACATAAATAAAGTTCATTCGAAGTAAAGAGGAATAGTAAGTGTTACATGTGGCCCTGTCGTGTACCTGTCGGATCGAGGAATAATGTTAGCTATATGCGTTTTAGATCCGTGTTTTTTTAAAATGCCGTCGCCCCATGCATGTAAGTATTCCCTGCAGGTGAGGTCAGTGGCTCGAAGGAAAGACGTCCAGCTCGTCGACTTCAACATAGATTTCCCCTTCGCTGGCTCCTCTCCTCCATTGAACACGGCTGAGTTCGGCGTGATTAAGCAGCCATGCGGGATCGACGTGATAGGTTGCAGCCAATGAGCGAATGCTCAGCGTCGCGCGGCAGACGGAGACGGCTGTGGTTCCTACTGCTAATCTGGGAAATAGAGTATTGCCCTTGAGCCTTCGGTGAACAACATGCGTGGTATGGTCTTACCCTCCCCCAAGTGACGGATAGTAGATCTGGTATTGATTTTCAGTTGTAGTGTCTGCAGCTATAGTCACGAAACTTACGTTTATGTCAGTAGTCAAAGAAAGGCCAATGATTTCGAACAGCAGCGTTCCTATCGATTACTTCAGAGTGTGTCAAGCGGGAACAGTCGAGATGTACGCACCAGCAGCAAACGCATACATGAACATCCCTCTGACCAAACATTAACAAGTAGTAGAGCTTGTAATCGACAAGGGAGCCTACTCTTTTAAGAACCGGTGGATAATCCCATATTCTTGCAAAGCTCTTGAGCTGGCGCGAAATCGATACATTGTCAATGAGAACATGACCGTGTGGACGATCAAGGATGGCAGGTAGATGGTGAACAACACTGGAGGGCCCCCTCCCGCGTTCCCGGTAGATGAACTGCTAATCTCGTAGGCATTCTCGACGTTGTGAAAACTGACGCCGGCGACAACTGCAGTTCCTATCATGGAGGCAACGAAAATAGCGGCCGCGAACCATCTAATGAGGCGATTCCGATGGAATAGATGCCATACTCGCAATGTTACGACACCTGTAGGTTCGTCATCAGTTGATTCGATGGGATTGTTGGGAAATGAAAAGACAGACATTGGCAGAGCACCATGACTACGAATGCAAGGAGGTAAATTAATATAAAAGACCGACTCGCGCTATTTCAATGTGAGGGCCTTGCTGAGACGTCGTTGTTTGTCCAAACTTACGACTGTGGAAGGCTGTATGTAAGTCCCGACGACGATACGAGCAATTTCAAGTACCTACGGGAGAATTATAAATGCTCGGGTTGAAATTTGCTGTTCGACTATTAGTTGCCAGAGCCAGGACAAGGAATATTCATGCTGACGAACAAATAACCACCAAGCTAATCAAATTCGTCAACTGATGCAGCTTCGCGCGATGGAGTTGAAAACGCACCATACTTGTATCACAGCTAGGTATCGGATCTGTTGAACGCATGGTTATTCACTGATAACAAACAGGAACCTTTCCATGGCATTACGCTGAGATATAGTATTCTTGAAGCTGACCATGGCCCAGACCAGAAGAGTTCTATCTGGAATAGTAATGGCGGATCAGGGGTAGATCAGTAGGAATTATGGAGGCGGCAACATTTACCTCTTGACCGAACGTGATAGCATGATCGTACAATACAAGGGCGAATGATGCCATAGCCAATTCCCTTGAGGCAAATTTGACATCGTCCCGCATCTGTAGGTCCATGTTGATTAACTCGAGGGGTACTCCGAGCAGGTATCAGGGAATTAGTAATGCGGGCTACATAGCATATATAGCATATGCCCGTCGTGATGATTCGGAAGAGGCGATGTTGATGGCATCTCATAGCTTGCTTTGACCTACTCGAAAAGGGGATATGCCATCACACACCAGGGTGTCCCGGGCCCGGGCCTGGGGCCAGTGAATTCAGAATTGCAGTACGACTAGTCTCCGTTGGGTGGCACAGTGATGGGCACGGGGACACTGAACATCCTGTGCACGACCTTCCTTTATCATAAGTGAGCGTGTTGCGGCACTTGTCTCTTATACATCTCCTTGTTTCAGCTACACAATTTTAGCTTCCACTCACCTCACGCGCAGCCGTGCACAGACGTGCGTGGGGATGATCGATGAAACATTGCCTAATGATTAATTATGGGCGCGATGTGTTGCTACATAAGTGTGAAGAGTGGAAGGTAAAACAGCCATATGACAAGTAATATCGTGGCTGTCTATGTTGCATGCGGAGACGTTCACTGCAGCTGCCATGTCAAGCGCTCGGGTTTGTTCTGGGTTTGAAATTTGCTGAACGGAAGTGAACGGCATATGCCGAGTCAAATCTATATCACCATCATATCGGTACCTTTGAGAAGAAAGGAAGTACTGCGCATCATGCTAGACAATCGTGCATGCACTCCTATTGTTCTTCTTGCTAGTGGATGGTCGTCATTAACCAATTTTCATCAGGTTGCGTCTGGGTCAGAAATTCTCATTTGACGCATCAGATCGTCATCGAATTCTGACGGATCATTCTAGAATTCAAGCATCGTGGATGGTACATATGTGGACAAGACCGCACATGTACATGTAAGATATCGATTACGAACGTAAGTTGATTGGCTGAACTGTGCTTCTAGGATCCGGGACAGTTGGATTAACTCTTGCCGAGTTGAGGCAACTAGTGCCATGCAGAAATTTGAATTTCGTCAGTGTGGAATGAATTCAGCTCGAGGCACTTTCCGATCAATATCTGGCAGTGCCGCACCAACTCGTCTGCGTCAAGCTTTCTTCCTTAGTGATATAAATTGTAGGCTCGCACTTTCCAGCGCTTAGTGGGCCGGTACAATGGCAGACGCTCCCCCAACCATACAGTTGTAAGTACGAAACCTCCTGTTATGTAGCTCATTTATTCTTGGACTGTAGAACAGGTCCTTTGGTAAGCTAATTCTGGTTACCTTAAGGTTATCGAGCCTCACAAACTTGTAGATTCTAGGATACCAGTTTAACTGGGGCCTTTATGGTGTTTTGGCAATCCAGCTTTGTGAGTAACAATCGTCGTCTTTAACCTTGTACACCCTGTGACAATATAGTAACTCGGTAAAAGACACCTATCACCAAGCACGTTTTCGGGACACTCGATTGATCAAGTTCATTGTATACGGCCTTTTTATCACCGAAACGTTACAACTTGTTATGGCGACCCACGACTCTTTTCACACTCTCGCATTGGGTTGGGGAAATTCTGTAGACTTGGTCACCGTTTGGTTCACTTGGTTTGATCTTCCATTTCTAACCGGCTTCAGTACGTCCCCTTTGACCTCTACTGAACGAGAGGTCGTATACTCATATGTGGCATCGTACGTAGCTAGTGCTACGATCCAGTGTTTCTATGCATGGCGCATCTACGTCCTCAGCAAGTCATACGTGTTAGCGATAACAATCGCGGCTGTAAGACAAAGTCAAATACGTTCTGTTAATGCAGTACTAAACCACTCCTGAACCAGATCGCATTAGTGCAAGGCTCCGCAGCGATGGCCGAAGGTATCCAAATATACATATCACAAAATGTACCAGGAACCCAGGTTGACACCTTCAAAACAACTGCAGTACGTGTTCCCGACATGTTAGGAGGTTGTGTTCTTACTCGCTCATAGGTGTGGCTTGGGGGAACAGCCTTGTGCGACATCATAATTTGCTGCGCCATGTTCTATTTTGTAAGTCCATAGTACATCTCATGTGCTATCTCTGACTTTGCCGAAAGCTTTCAATAAGCCGCACTGGTTTTCGCGCTACAGACTCAATACTCAACAGGTTAATTAGGATAACTATGGAGACTGGCATGACTACTGGTGTGTATCCTTTTTTGTCATCATTGTATCGTATCACTCATGGTCGACAATGTAGCCATCATTGCTATCATCGAGCTCACTCTGTTTTTGACATTCGAGCATAATTTCTATCACGTGGTGCCGTCATTTATTCTCTCGAAAATGTACAGCAACTCCTTCCTCGTCCTTCTTAACGGTCGCAAGAGCAGTCAACGATCATCACCCTCAGATACCTCTAATTCATATCCGGGGTTGTCCACTTCAAGGGAGACTGATAGGACTGGCGCGATGAAAATAGGCCTCCCACACCGGACCTCCACGGACGACATTGCTATGGTTAGCCTCTCAGAGACAGAGGTACGAGCTCCAAGTTGCCCATGCCCACAGCAACTTATGCATTTCTATAGCGTCCCGAAAAGCACCACAGACAACTACCTCATGATCGCGTGCCTTGTGATGTGTGACATACGATCAAACGTACCATGACTATATTCAATGATACCTGGCGTCCGCAGTCAATTGCAACACGGATGATACAGAGATGTCGATGTATACGGCTGTACTGGCATCATTTTTACGACGCCTCCGTACAAGCTGTTATCTTTTGGGTCTGTGTTTATTGCTCGTTGGAGTGATGCCCCGTAGTAGACAATACGTTTGTATGGTACTATGTATGTGCGTCGTTTGCGGTGTATCTAATGGCCTTTCTAGTGCTACACAGAGGTCAGGTAGGTAAAATACGTGTGATCTCCACTTGTTTGGAATTATAGTGAATATTGTTTCATTTTTGGAGCAATCCTAGGGAATCCTCAGCTCTGCACTGGCAGCACGACACACAAGGATCGTATTAGAGGTGCTAGAGAGAACGAGCTTGTCTGGTATTCGCCAAATTTGAGCCTAGTCTTTCATCTATCATAAATCTTACCCCCGAGATATGCCTGGTTGCTGCAGCGACCACTCTGTCAAAAATACTGACAGGCATGAAGACGATAACGTGGAGGATCGGTATCCCTCTATATTGAGCCAACGCGCTTTCAAGAAGCGGGAATGGCAGGTGGTGCAGAATACCCACCGCATCTGTCACCGAGATTGTCGGAATATTCACTGTACGTGGCCAGTCAGGCGGGGCGGGCGCGATGGATGCGAGGAGATATACTTGGTGGGCTGAAACTGATGTGATTGACTAGTACAACAGCAACTGCCTAAGCTTCCAAATATACCCTGCATCAATGCCTAGTTCACATTCTGTTGGGTACGCCATCAGAAAACTCAGAAATGAACAAAGAACATGAAAATGCCACAAACAGTACTAGTAACTCGGGCTGCTACTCCTCAAACGTTTCACTTAATCCAATGCGCCACTTTCCTCCTCCCTTGTGATTGGTCGCTTCGTACGCACCTCCTCACTCTATTACCAGGTCATCAACCTACAAAGTCGAAAAATATGGTCAAGATAGTGCTCATCTGGTGGAGACCGGTGCAGGACGCGCTGCGCTAGGTCCATTATGCAGTCGGCGTTTTGGATGCTCTGCGGTGTGCCTGCCTAGGCCTAGAATCTACTGACACGTCAAGCATTTACTTGCATCTGTATCATTCGTAACTTGGGCTTTTTGTAAGTTACCACAAGATGAAGATGGATGGGCATTGTCTTGAAGTCATTTCTGCATGTGCATTTGGGGTATTCTCGCCCTCATACACTTGATTAGCAGCAACATTTGCTATACCAAGACGTGTACAACCCGTGTTGCTATTTGCGATATCATCCATGGCCAGGATTTGTTCATACTCAGGGAAAGGTAGGGGTGAATGAGGCCTGATGGAGTCCTTGTAAAGGCTTTTGGGTTTCCAGCGTGAAATTAACAAGACTGCTGGTGCCAGATTCAATCTCTCTGGATTCGTCCGAGTGGCTTGGATTAATCACTCCGAAGACGCAGACGCGTTATCCCTAGGGGCTTTAGTTTGTCTTCTTGGAAGCGTGGAATGGAGGTCGGCACGGAGGATCGAGCGCGATATATGGAGTCGTCCGTAGTAGGCTAGCCAGCGTGGCCCAACTGGCTGTGCCGCAGATAAACTTTGAAGAATAGTGGTGCTTATGTAATAAGCTTCCCCATCTCAACCTCGAAGAATCGTCGATCCTCATATTCTAGTAACAGTACTGTACTCTTCCTTTGCTTGCTATGGGTTAGTCTGTTTGCTATTCCTATACGCAAGCTCACACTTTCAATTTCCAGGAATCCCCAAGGTTCGCGCTTCTTTTATCTATGAGATGGTACATCATGCAAGGGAGCTGAACCGTTCTGCGCACTGCAGTTTTTCCGTTATATTTCGTGAGTCGGCAGTCTATTACTTGATCATATAAGCTGATATTTCGATAGTGAACGGTACCCGCTTACCTCGCAGCTGATTGAGGAGAACAAGATTCCCGAATTCGGTGAGCCATCATGCTGACTTGGTGTTCTCGCGCTAAAGCCTTCGAATAGACAATCTCTATCTCGATTTCAATGGAATCATTCACAACTGTGATTAATCCTTTGAAATACAGCGCAGACTGTCGTGCTCAAATTTCATTTTAGGTTCGCATCCAAATGATGAAGATGCGCACTTCAGGATGTCCGAAGAACAAATATTCACAGCAATATTTGCATATGTAGACCTGCTGTTTGGTAAGATAAAGCCGAAGCAACTTTTCTTTATGGCAGTGGACGGCGTGGCTCCGCGGGCGAAGATGAACCAGCAACGAAGTCGAAGGTTTCGCACTGCGAAGGAAGCAAGGGAAGTCAGAGAGATGGCAGAGGCGAAAGGAGAGAAACTACCCGACGAGAAAGCTTTTGATAGTAATTGTATTACACCAGGTGCGTTCTCCGTGGTTTTATATGGCGTCATGACCCTTTATTTCATCTTAGGTACTCCTTTCATGGCCAGGCTATCCGCGCAGCTACGCTACTTTGTCAACAAGAAGATTACTGAAGATGCCAATTGGCGTGGCGTGCAAGTTGTATTATCCGGTCATGAAGTACCGGGTGAAGGTGAACACAAGATCATGGAATACATCCGACTTTCGAGAGCCCAACCTGATTATAACCCAAACGTCCGGCATTGTCTGTACGGTCTTGATGCTGACCTCATTATGCTTGGCCTTTTGAGCCACGACCCACACTTCTGTCTCTTGCGAGAGGAAGTAAAGTTCGGGCCTGCCGCGAAGAAGAAGGGTAACATCAGGTAATTCGTAGTCTTCGTGTACAAGGCAGATTAACTGAACGCCAGCACAAGTCTGGAGAACCTTAACTTCTACCTTCTGCATCTCTCGCTGATGCGTGAATACCTGGACCTTGAGTTCCGTGATATCGAACACACTCTCGCATTCGATTACAGTCTAGAGCGAGTCATTGATGACTTTATTCTACTGGCCGTCTTCGTCGGAAACGATTTTCTACCAAATCTTCCGGATTTACATATCCACGAGAACGGATTGGAACGCCTGTTTGATGTGTACAAAAAGGTTTTGCCGTCGCTGGGTAGGTTTTGAACTTCATTTTGTTCTTCATAAGCTCACCGCTTCAGACGGCTATATAAACGAGAGTGGGGTTATCAATACCGAGCGACTGCAAGTCGTCCTGGACGAAATGACCATATGGGAGCGAGAGATATTCGAGAAAGAATACGCAGACTCAAATTGGTTCAAGGGCAAGCGGGGCAAACACGTCCAAGAAATGGATCTTGCGCGCAAGCGTGCTAAGCTTGGTACGTTCCTCCACCCTTTCCGTCAATAACCAACGATTAATCGTTTCAGTTCTGACGCGGCCTCAACGAGATATTTTTGAATCAGTACAACAGTTTGTCGTGCAAAATCGCAAGAAATCGTCACAACACCGAACGCCAGCCCTGACAATGCCCAATACGTTCCCTGCCCGGGAACGGAAGTTCATCAGCACCCTGGCGGGGGAGTTGCATCTGTCTGTTACGTGGGATGAGTACGACGAAGAGGACCAGAATCTTGTCACATTCCGACTCCCCGGAGTTTTGGACGAGCCCTCACCAGAACCTGATGCCGAGCAGGTTAATGGCGATGGAAATAGTGACGGCGAGTGGGAAGATGTTGATGAGGATGAAGAAGGCAGGGCTGCGGTGGATCGGGTGTTGAAGAAATTTGACAAGGCTCCTGTGATGGATGATGACGACGGAGGAGGTTTTGACGCTCGACATGAACAATCCATCAACGACAAAATGGCGGAATGGAAACGAGGATATTACAAGGTGCGTTCCCACTTCGTATACCGTTCGTCAGACCGACCTTTTGTACGGCAGGAGAAACTTGGAATCTCCTATGATGACCCCGAAGAGATGCATGACTTGATATACCGCTATACAGAGGGTCTACAATGGGTTATGCACTACTATTACAGTGGGATCGCCTCCTGGGGCTGGTTTTACAATTACCATTATGCACCACGGATATCTGGTACTTTTTGCATTCCTTGTCCTCATTACGCCACGCTCACAATTTCTCAAGATTTACGTGGCCTTGGCGACATGTCGTTCGCATTTGAGCTGGGCAAACCTTTCCATCCTTTCGAACAATTGATGGGCGTTCTCCCCTCCGCGAGTATGGATCACATTCCGCAAGCATATCAAGTATGTTCAATGACCTGCGTCATACTTTAGACTAATCACCCACAGGACCTAATGTACGATCCAAATTCACCGATATTGGACTTCTATCCTCTCGAATTCGAGCAAGACTTAAATGGAAAGAAACAAGAGTGGGAAGCAATCGTCAAGATTCCTTTCATTGATGAGGAGCGCTTGTTACGAGCAATGAATTGTGAGTGGCAAGTTCCGCTTTTCAGTTTTTGTTCATCATCGTGTCCTGTATGCAGCCCGGGCACATCGGCTAACTCCAGAAGAACGCCGCCGCAATGACTTCGGAACCAGCACCAAATTTTCCTTCAATGCTGGAGAGTCCACCGTCTATCCTTCATCGTTGCCAGACTTCTTCCCTCCCATATATCGTTGCACGTGCAAGATGGAATCCTTCGATCTCCCAACTCTTGACGGCCTCCATCTCGTGCCTGGACTATGTGAAGGTGTATGCCTCGGCGCAGAGGCTCTCGCTGGATTTCCCTCCCTCGATACATTACCACACACGGCGCAACTAGGTTTTCATGGCGTCAATGTACACGGTTCCGAAAGCCGGAACAAATCAATGGTTGTTCACATCCAAAATCCTCATGAAAACCGCAAGGTAGAGGATATCGCTAACGAAATGGTTGGCAAACGCACTTTCATCGGTTGGCCCTTCTTACAAGAGGGGCTAGTCACTGCCGTGTCCGATTCGTTGTTCAAGTACGAGAAGTCGGTAATCGTGCCTGGTACCCCAGCAAAGGTTGTTTCCAATCCGCATTTTAATCAGGGCTTGAGCCATTGGAAGGGCAGAGCTGAGCGGATTGAGTCAGTATATTCGAAGAGATGTGGAGTAATCACTGGTGACGTCGATGTCCTAGTGCATGTCCGTCCGCTAAAAGGTGCGTGCTGGGACTTCATGGACGTTCCTTTTCTTTCTTACAACTTGAATACAGGTTTGAAGCGCTTGGAATCAGGCGCATTAATCAAGGACTACGAAGGACCCGACAGAGAGCTGGAACAAGCTGTCCAGATGGTCATCTCAGAAATTGCATCTGAAGATCCCAGGTTCCTCGAGAAGGACGCCCCACCCCTGTCGGAGGAATTCCCTGATGGAACGAACATTTTCTTCCTGGGCGAACACGCTTATGGCGTGGCTGCCCAGGTATCTTCAACCACCGACAGCGCGTTGTCTGTTGTCTTGGCAGTATGTCGCAGTGCCCTAACACAATTTTTTTCTCTAAATGATCTCCTAGTTTTTCCCCTCAGATAAAACGGAGAACAACAGGTTCAAGACTGTTGTTGACAGTCGTATTTCCCAGCACTATTCTCCTTCGTTCAAAGCAGCTTCGGCAATCGGAATGTCACCCAGAGCGCTCTCTAAGATCACATCAAGCTTCATGGTCCTCACCTCCGATCATCAAAAGAACAACCTCGGACTAAGCATCAAATTCGAGGCTAAAAGCTTGAAGGTTATCGACTACTCGCGGAAGGCTGGTCGCTATTGGGAGTTTAGCGAGAAAGCAGTTGACCTCATTCGCGAATATAAGGTTGGTCCTATCTAAATCGCCTCTAGATTGCAACTCAGTCTTTTGCAGGATAAATACCCTGAAATATTTGCGACTCTGGACCAAGGGGGCGACGGTAAGTTGTTGGACTAGCCAGGAATTCATTGGTTTCATCTCTGGAATATTAGATATGGCCCGCGCTACGGACATCTTTGACGCCCACGCTGATGCTAAGGTGAAGGAGGTAAAGTCTTGGCTTAAATCAAAGGGCGTCCGAGATCTTGAGCCAGTCTCCCTCTTTTCGGACAACTTAGCGAAGGTATATCAGAGTCACCGTTTATCCCGAGCGTGTTTCACTCAAAATTGCTTCCAGAGTACTGTCAAAGAAATTGAAGAGGTTGCTGACGACATCAATAAAAACAGGTCAAAAGCGGGAATCAAGAAAGCCATAGTAAAGAACATTCCTCGCCATGCAGTTCTGAAACCGTCACACGCTATCTATCGGCTCCAGAACCAGCACTTTGCCTTGGGAGACAGGGTTACTATGGTCCAAGATTCAGGTGGAGTTCCGTTGTCTGCGAAGGGTGTCGTCATTGGGTTGAACACGAAATCGATGGACGTCGTGTGGGATGTGCCATTCATGTCTGGTACGACGCTTGGGGACAGGTAAGTGGGGCGTTTTTCTTTGAACCAGAGACACTTAAGCTGGCAATTTGTAGATGCTCCCAGTATCGAGGCTCAACTGTGGAGTTCAATTCATGTCTAAACCTAAGCAACCCCCAATTTATCGCCTCTACTTCTCCTGGCTCAAATTATCCTCCTCGCCCAAATGTTCCTTTCAAACCTCGATTTGGCGCGTATCCAGTCATTCAGTCTGCTCCTGGACATCAAGCTGTTGCCGGATTCCGTTCTGCTACACAGAGGTGAGGTTCTTGAGCTCACAGGCTATATGCAATGCTGATTTTAGCCTAGTCAACGCCAGCCAGCTGTAGCAATTATGTCCAATCCAAACAGGGGCCGTGGCGGGTCTGTCACTCGCGGAGCTCGTGGAGGCCCTCCTTTCAATGGTCATGCAGGTCCACCAAATGGGCGGGGTGGACCTCCAGCTAATAGTCGTCCTGTACCAACAGAAGGCACCTCGCGAGGGGAAGCTTCCGGATCGAAATCGCAACCTGTCATGACCGCTGACAACCAGCCTCCCTCTCACGACAATGGTGCACCAAGCAGAGGCGTTCATCAACATCCCAGAGGTGGTTTCCGAGGACGAGGGTTTGGGCCGCATATTGACCGAGGGCGAGGAGGAAGGGGTTACCGAGGACGAGCACGTGGAGGTGCTTTCGTTACCCCCGTGGAGTCTTCATGAGCGTCGTGTATTTTTCACCCACTTATCTGTAGCCTTGCTGTAGCTCTCGCGTAGTTTGATTTCTTCATTGTTCTCGCAGTCAAGGCCGAGGTTGTAGTGATGAAATAAGGCTTGTTATAACCTCTAAACACCCAGCAGACTCTTGCCTCCCTGCCAAACAGCAAAACTAATGGCAGTCATGGGTATGATCTTCAAGTAACCTATTCCTAATCCAACATAGAAACCTCTCCAGCCCCCACTTGCGTAAACAGCGTGTACGGTCTCTCCCCACCGTAGCCACCGATCTGGTGTAGTCAACCCCCCGACTTGCATTCGCCGACGAACGACTTCAAAGGGGTATGATACAGTCTGCGAAATTGCACCAGAAACAGCGCCAATGGCAAGATTTGCCAAGGAGTGAGGTCGTTTGGAGTGCTCATCGATGGCTGGGTAGAAATGTGCGCGCAAGAAGTCCCAAGTAAGAAATGCCGTGCCGGCGTAGGGGATCATGCCCACCATGGTCACGGTGAAGCCACGATAAAACTTGAGAATGGGGAAGCGCTCAAAAATGTGCGCTGTCGTGGTCCGCGTTGTAGGGGAAGGAGTGGAACCTTCGTTATATATGACGCGCATAGCTCGGAGGAAGGAGGGGCGCGTTTGGCCGGCGAAATTACTGGATAGTCGACTATGGAACGCCATGCGTACGCGGACCAACTCGAGTGGATAGGTGAAAGTAACGGAGGTCAAGCCTGCGGCGAATACGATTAAATAAGAGGACGTGAGTGAGGATCCAGCTCACCTGCAAGAGCACCTGCAGTAAACCGTCGGAAATTCGTTTCTTTATCCCTAGTCGGTATTAAAAGCTGCGTGGTATAGTAAGTAAGGAGGGTGTACAGAAATGGAATGGTGGGGCGTACCACTCTCCATTGGTCATAGGCCATAAACTTTATGGCCGCGTACGGAAATATGCGGAGAAGAGTCGCTGAGTGACCTTGAAGCAATCCTCTTGCACCTCCATCTCTGTATATTGCGAGTCCGGCTCGATATGCTCCACTCCAAGTTCCTGTGAAGGTATGAAGTCAGTCCGGAGGTAGGTGCGGAGATACGATAATACATGTACATACCAGCGTATTTCTGGAAATCAGGGTTTGAAGCTTGGAAAAGGATCTTAACTCTATCAAGAGGTGCGACTGCTGTCTTTGCCTATAGAAGCTGGGGGTGAATCAACCGCAGAGAGCATGAGAAAAACAAAGCATACGACACATCCTGCCAAACCACCAGCAATTCCAGATCGAATAGCATAGTCGAGTGAGCGTTTGTCTCGCTGGTGAGAGACAGTAGAACTCATGAATACACCAGCTGTGGTTATGTACTGGACACACTCATGTGAGCGCGGAGGATGTGTTACTTACCCGAACCAAAGCCGAAACGGAAATCACAGATCCGACCGACTTTTATCACACGTGACTTTATAAACGCGTGCATATATCTCGGCGCGCCTATCATCAACGACGGCATCACTCTCACACTGACATCCCACACTGACAATGGCAAGCAAAGCGAAAAGCTCAGATGTAAAGGTTCTTAAAGGCCAAGAAGGTGAGCCCCAATTACGACTCTCTCATGTCTTTCTCATCTCGCATTAGCCGAAGATGCAATATTGCAATATCTGAAAAGAGTGACCCAGAAAAATGCGCATATATGCGCTATACTAACGTGGAATGCAACAGATGAATCGTCCTTTTGGTGCTGTAGATGTCGCTGCTAACCTGAAAGGCGCAGTGCCGAAGGCTACAACGCAGAAGATCCTCATCGTTCTGGCAGAAAAGGGCGAGATCGTGCAGAAAACGTATGGTGCGTATAGCGTCATACATAAGAGCCTCTTGCATTTACGGTCTATTGAGGCAAAACAAGTTTCTTCGTCGCCAATCAGGCCAACATTGACTCGGTTCCTGCCGATAAGCTAACAGAACTTGAGGCCGAGTGCAAGACGATCGAGGAAAGTACCAACGTGCTTGCGGCAGAGGTCAAGTCTATAACAGCAGGTAAAGCACCAAAGCAAAGACGGGTAGTCCCGTCGTATGACCTTCAATTGTAAAAGAATTGTCCAAACTCAAGAATTGTCCAACGGACGAGGAACTCGATGCGCAAATTGCGAGCACGAAAGAGGGGGTAAGTACACGACTCTCACCACTTTGAGTGAACCAATGTGACCTACTTTTGTCCCTTCAAAGATGGTCCAACTCACCGAAAGACTCGTCCCGCTTCGATCTGGCACACCGCTCATTTCTCCCGAGGAACTCGTCAAGATCGATGCTGACTGGGCAACATGGCGTGCGGAATGGATTCGCCGAAGAAAAGTTTTCATGACGTCAGTTCTTTGCTCACCCGCTGATCCTTCCAGATCATCGACGCATCCAATGCATCTAATGCATCCGAACATGTTGCTGATTACCTAGACAGTTTTTGGCAGCTTGCGACAGATTCCCTCCCGCCCCAGGACGCCGAGATGCTCATCGAAGATCTAGGGATGGAGTTCGATACTACAGAACACAAGGCACTCGAGAAGGGACCGTTGTGCACTATACAAGGTACAAACGCTCGTATCAACCTGAAGAGGAAGCGGGAGTAGTTATCATCACAGCATCTTGTACACCTACCCGTTTATCCATGTGCTTACGGACACTGTTATCAAGACCGAAGAAGATAAAACTACTAAAGCCAAACTGGAGACTCATTAAGAGACGCGTATCAGACAAAACCATCAATGATTACAGATCGAATGCCGAACTTTGCCACCCCCTCCGCTTCTCCTCCTCCAGCTTCTTGTGCTCGACGCTTTGCTTGAAACTCTGCACCTGCTTTGGACCTTCCTTCCCGGCGTGATTCCCTCGTTTAACAACAGTCTGCTTGCAGAAAAGATTCCTGAAGATATCGGAGGTGCCTCGGAAGGTGTGACGCTCTCTCTCCTCCCCGGGCAGAATCTGTGGTTCCGCGCCCATCGTCGCGTTGCCGCCCAGATCATCCTTGACAACTCCCGTTCCAGCCGCTTTCCGACCAGCTAGCAGACCACCTTCCATCCGACAAAGCTTTCCTATCTCACTCAACAATGCAGAAACGACAGACGACGCAGTCCCAAATTCAGCATCCTGGAACACCTCTGAGTGCCGCCCAATATCAAATGCCAGAGCGTCAGCAGTATCAAACAGTCCCCTGATCTGCTCCTCCAGATTGCGTGAAAATGCCTCGCGGAAGCGAAGCATGAAGACAGGCTTGAAGGAGGATCTGAAGATGGGCTGATTGCACTGCTGAACTCTCATGGCGACATCTTCCGCCACAGTCACCTCAATGCGCTCGGTTTTGAAGAACCGTCCAAGACGCTCGCGCTCCTTGAGACCCACGGGCGTATTTGGGATCAAACGGAACTTGAGGTCAATATCGATCCCCTTTGTTGGGAGAATGAACTCCATAAGACCTACGAATTCCTTGGGCCCGAAAATAGTAACCTTCTCCTTGTAAAAGAATGAGACCTCCTTGAGCACGAGCTGGACTGCTTGCATCCGAATATGCGTGAGGGTGCCAGAGGCGGTGGTGGTCGACTGCGACCCGGAGGGTGCAGTGATGTAGCCGTGCCCAGGAAGCAAGCTCAGCGATGAGATGTTGATATTCCCCAAAATAAATTCGATCTCGTTATCAGCGTACTCGGTTCTATCAGGCTTGTCAGCAAATCCGGAAAACGCGTCATTGACTCAGGAATTCACCCTGGAATTGGAATGTCTTTGATGACGCGCAAGATGCGTGGCGCATAGACATTGAGCACGTCCTGCCAGAACCACGAAGCGTGATCGAGGGCAAAATGCATACCCGTCTGTCCGCCCATACCAACGTTCTGCGCAAAGTACTTACCGAACGCAGCATGTCCCAGCCGCACACCATGCAGGTTGTTATCCGTTGTGATACCATGTTGGAAAGCATGCAGCTTGATCATGAGGTCCCACACATCCAAAAACATTCGACCCGTATCCGAATGTTGGTGAACAAACAGCCCCCAGCGCTCGCCAAGTTGTTTATGCATTTGCTGTGCTTCTTCTGACCGTACATAGTTGGGCTCGTCGAGACCCTTCCGGATGTGCACGAATAATTCGTTGATCCACCTATTTATGTCTCTGTCATTCCTGGCGTGTGCGGTGCACGATTGGGCCTTGGCAAATATGTTAACCAAGGGCCAGTCAGCGGCGCGCTCGACGAGAGTGCAGATGCCACGAAGCGCTTCAATGACATGCTTCTCGGAAGGATCGTTAATGAAAAACTCCAACGACGGTGACTGGTTCATATCAGCGGCGGTATCAAGAGGCTTGTTGATCCACTTCGACATAATGTCTAAAAGTGTGGAGAGGGTGCGGTGGTAGTCCTTGTCCTTCTGCGCAAGTTCACAGATCTGCGCAAAACATCGTCAGCACCGTAATATCTGACAACAGAAAAAGCAGACATAGTGATAGATCTCCTTTGGACGAATACGTGGGCACACAGCGATGTCTTTAGCGGAATTTGTTATCTCGCGTGAAATTGTCTTGGCCTCAGCAGCTCCGGCTTCGATGGTCCAAAGAGTACGTAGAAAAGAGCGGATTTCGGAGCGAATCGATTGGAGATCGGTGGAAGCCTCTTCCGGACCAGTTGCTTCTACACGCGCTTCTGCGAAATCTCCCTCAGAGAGATGCCAGAGGACGTCTTGCAAGAGATTGTCATCTGTACCGAGGGAATTCAGTGAGATCAAATTGAATCTGAGCAAAGTTGAGATGGCATCACAGTTTTTGTTGTCCCCAAGCATCTTGTATGCAGTGAGGAGGTATTGTGTGTCCTGCGCGAGGGTTTTACCTGGGATGCTCAGCTTTCCAGCATCAGGAGATTCGTCGCTCGGGACGATATTCTCGAGTGTCCAGTCGATTGCGGCGCCCACCTGGTTCTGGGTGGGGAGTTTGCCTGCGTTGAGAGCAGCAATAACAGAAAATAGTTTGTCCATTGTCGTTGTGTCGTGGAAGTGAGGGGGCAGTGGAACGTTACACTTTATAATAATAGGGGCTTGTGAGGAAAAGGATTTCATATATTGATCCGTGACACATAGATAGATTGTACACACCTAGCGCTCACATCACGTATGCCAACACAGTCTCTACAATCGCTGTTCGCGACAGAAAGTCAGCCAGCGAATAAATTGAAGCAGGAAAAGTCGTGAGTGCATCGGACCGTGAAAAGTGCAGTGACGGGTGCCTATGTGGGTCCCCAGTCACTTCGAGAATAGACGCGTCTGTTATTAATACAATAATCAGTGCTTCCATCAGTTTCAGATCACTTAGGCTGCGTCCCATAACTTCACCTTGCTTTGTACCTCAGACGTTTTGCATATATTACTGCTCCATCGGGGTATATGCCAGATTTCTCAGAATACAATCGACGAAATCGCTACAGAAACGACTTCGGAGCCGACGGGCCTCTTAATGAGGATAGTAGTTTGCAAATTGCATGCGCTCATGAAGTCGCGGCGCGCCGAGGTATTTGACCTTCTTACTATTAGGTAAGGTTTAATGGGATGAGGCATAGCTGACACTTATCACGATCTAGCTGTATCTAGGTGTCTTCCTTTCTGGCGCGGCGATGCAGTCTGCCCCGGCCATGAAGAATAATTTAACATGTATGTAAAAGATGTCCCGAACTGTATATACCGTCGCGTCTTCCCTGCGTATTGGTCGGGGATATTTAGGTCTAGGCTGAATCTGTTTATCATGGTGCTTTGAAGTGCTTCAGATTTCATTCCCACTAAAACATGTATTCCGTGCTGATAGGTCTCGCATGTTTGGCCGGTGCATCGAGCGTCTATTTGTGCCAGGTCATTCGCAAAAGACTCAGACGATGCGAGCCAAAGGACATCCACCAGTTGCCGCTACCTCCTGGCCCTAAACAAAAGCCAATCATAGGGAACCTCTTTGACATTCCATTAGTTGACACGGCAAAAACGTTCGCAGAATGGAAAGGCTCGTATGGTTAGTTGCCCACACATTTGATGCGACTATTTTCGTTGAACATTTGTTTTACAGGCGATATCATCTACCTCGAGGCATTGCACCAACGGATCATGGTATTGAACTCCTTCGAACATGCTGACGAACTTCTATCCAAGAAATCATATTCTGATCGTCCGGTTCCCATAATGCTAGGAGAACTCATGGGCCTTGGTCAGGTAGGCATCGGGGCGCTGTGCTAATCTTTTAATTCTGACTTCGATCTTGCTTGTATGGCTTAGAGCTTTCCTTTACTTCGTTACTGCACTGCGTGGAAAGACCAGAGGAAGCTCGCTCATTTGGCTCTGAATGCTGGCGCAGTCCAAGGATATAACAACTTGCAAGCGGAGGCCGTCGTGTTGTTTTTGGACAGCCTTGTCGATAGCCCAAGTGACTTCATATCTCAGCTTCGGCTGTAAGTGGTGCATTTCGTAATGCTAGAGTCTTTCAGCTAACGGAAGGTAATTCAAGTGCTACAGGCCGCATCGTATTGTCTATGACATATGGCGTCCCGGTGAAAAGCCCGGAGTCGATGAGTGTTTGTGTGCTTTACTTTGCCAGCTACAGACTTTTTTTTCTTACGTCCGTCTAGTTTATTGCTGAACTGGAGATTATGATGGCCACCATAGGCAAAGGAATGATGCCAGGAACATACCTCGTCGACACTTTACCATGGCGTCAGTAAATCCTGCGAACTTCTGTTCTCAGCAGAAGTACTGACATGAAATATCTGCATGGTCCCAGTCAGATATATCCCTTCTTGGGTTCCCTTCAACAGCATCCACACCGTTGCTAAAGAAGGCCGCACACGCCTTCTCCGCGTCGTCGGACTCCCTTTTGAATATGTCAAGCAACAGGTGTCGTCGGCTTCACAAAATATATCTTTCACTGCTACTTGCCTTCAGGTAGAAGGCGGTACCGATATGGAACATCATATACGGTGGGCTGCTGGTTCGATGTATGGGGGTGAGTTTCAGTCTTTCCCATTCTAATTTGACATTGACTGTCATTAGCTGGTAGCGAAACGGTAAGGTTTCGATGCCTTAATCATACATACCGTTCTGACATCTCGAGATGCAGACCATGGGCACCATTTTGACATTCATTCTTGCCATGGCCTTGTACCCTGATATCCAGACGAAGATAAGGATGGAGCTTGACCGCGTTGTTGGTCATGGGCAACTCCCGACTTTGGATGATCGCTCCCGTTTACCTTACGTGAATGCTGCAATTAAGGAAACACTACGGTGGGATCCGGTGGTTCCTCTATGTCTTCCTCATTACACAAGCAAGAAAGACGTATACCAAGGTACGAGAAATCCTTTGAATCAGCAGCGTCTGTCCATTCATTTCTTCTAAGGGTTCCACGTGCCTGAGGATACAATTGTCTTTCCGAACATTTGGTCAGTGTCATGCAGTTTATGTAGATTCTGCGATATGTTTATTCTGTTTTCTAGGGCAATATCTAGGGATGACATTAGCGGAATCTCTCCCGACGAATTTGCACCAGAACGTTTTCTTGACGACTGTGTCGAAAGGACAGCATTGGACCCATATTCATACGTGTTTGGCTTTGGTAGGAGGTGCGTGGTGCGATGACGATGCATGTGATGATGTTCTAATGCTAATCAACCATCAGGATATGTCCCGGCAGATTTTTCGCGGATAATAGTATATTTTTATTTGTAACTGGTCTCGTGTCTACCTTCGTCATATCTCCAGCTGTTGGATCAGATGGAAGGCACACTCTTTTGAAGACGCCATTTACACAGGGTTTGATGAGGTGAGGAAAGTCGTACATCACCTGAATGCTTTACTCACGACTGAATTTGTAAGATTTCCCAAATCGTTTCAAGCTTGTATACTTCCCCGATCTGAACAGATTGCATCAGAACTCCAAGCCAGAGCTAGCGAAGTGTCCCAGAATGGCAATGAGGGCCGCAGCAGCTTGTAGCGAGAGTATTGAGTAGATTCGTATATTCATATTATTTTGTGTAAGCATCATAGTTCCGAATCGTGATTCGATTCTTGTCATGAGACGTACCATGAAAGCTGGACAGACCAATATGAGATCTCAAGAAGTAAGTGTGTCTATTAGTACATGTGACTACGATCTCATTGCACTTGCACAACATAAACTGGCCAAGTTCAACTATTTCTCGTGGCGCGCCTTGATGATGTCCGCGGCTAAGATCACCAGCCCTTGATGAGAGCGAGTGGTTACAGAAAGAATCGAATCATACCTTGTTCTGCTATGGCATATGCCACAGCTGGTAAGATTGACGTTATGGGGTGTATTGAAACAAGAAGAAGCAATAAATTCACATTGAGTGTGGCTGCCGACATGGAGCGGAACGACTGACAAGTCGGCGACTCTGATATTGTGGGTGCCCCATATCTATAGGTTCAAGGTTAGAAAAAAAGGCAAATGATTGCGTCAAAGTACTACCTTGAGCTGAGGATCAACAACGCCGTTCAATTCCTTCGGAAGCATGGAACATGAACCAGCAGTATCTGACATGAAATGATCGAGCGCCATTGTGTGTGCAGACATACAAGGACTCACGAAAGGTCGTGTTGACATTGTTGCGAATCCATTCTAAATCCAGGTGAGCAATCTCACTGGAGGAGTTAAATTATGACAGAACCTGCGATGGAGGCATCATCTTGACATTCCGGTCCAGGATGAATCTCTGAAATGCAGTATGAGTCAGTTTCACAAGGTGAACAAACAACGCCTACCTTTGAGTCGGCCCTCTCCTTCTCCTTTCAAAGGAGGTGTCTCAGCTAACCTCCTGCAAAATTTAACTAATTCAACCATGGTGTCTAGATCTTGAGACCGAAAGGGTGAGTCAGAGTGGGAATACGAATACATTTTGCCTTACCGCATGAATTCTCAAAAACACGCGGGTCAATCGCAAGCGAATCTTTAGATTTAACATGCTGTCAAATGCATCAACGAAGAACTCAAGGATAAAGTCACTGCTTACTATGGTTCCACGGGAAAGTGGGCAGTTGATAGCAAAACAGAGCGAAACATGCTTCTTCGAGGCATCCCACCCCTGCGGGGGTGCTGCAAAGCAATATATATCAAACTTCGCCTAAATGCAGTGATGGGTGTCATGCATACGCTTTGCTGCTCCCGGAGCCAGTAAGATTTCGAGACTAGGGACCTTCTCCCGAAGATGCTCGGCTTGTAACTTGTACTGCGCGGCGAGTCCCGCATCCTTCTCCTCACATTGCAGGGCTGCGATTACTTTTGCATTGAGTTCGGGTGAAATATCAGCCAATGAAACAAATGCGATGTCAACGGTGTTGAGGTTCAAAGCGCCTTTGCCACTTGCACTAGTAATGTTCTGGTCAGCGGAGATGGTCCGATTGACCATTAATCTGTCTTACTGCAGCACTTTATGCAAGCCAGGATTTGTGGCAAGAGAATCAAAGGTATTCACCTCCTGCTCACCCACGAAGTGATTCGTCAATTCTGCACTAGGGCGAGTCAGTGACCATAAACAGGGTCAGTATTCTGCGACGCACCGAAGGTCACTCCGGTGTATAGATGTTCCTGGACATTCATTCCAACACCAGGGAGGTCAAGTTTCACCTCGATACCTGCCTGTGCAAGAACAGCAGGATCACCGATGCCAGACATTTCGAGTATCTAGGAAGAAAGTTATTCGATATTGAGGCAGCTGACACATAGAGTCTTCACACCTGTGGAGACATAATAGCACTGACAGAATTTTCAGCTGCAACGACTATCAGACAGTAAAGAACTTACCCAGCTGTTAGGCACACTTCGCCAGCGACATTTGCCGTGTATGTATTGTCACTTTTGACAAATTTGACACCAGTAGCGGTGATTAGTCCGTTGAGATTCGTAGTAACGATCTCAGTTACGTAGGCTTCGACGAGGACCTTTAAGTTAGTACGCCCTGCGACCGGTTGATAATACATCTGAGTGATTGCAACAAATCAGTATCAGCTGAGATGATAACCTTAGGGCACACACGTTAGTGGCGTAAGATCGACGGTGGGTTGATGGGTCCAAAGTGGACAGAGAAGGAGATGTTCCGCGGGGCTGAGTGAAAATTAGGTGGAGGAAATCGTGAGTGGATAAAGCGAGTTTACCGCCCCTGAGAACTAGATGTAAAACTCCTTCAGAACATGTGACAGTGCCATGACATCGTACTTACTGAGTCTTGGATGGTCGGGACATTGTAGACCTCCATTGCCTGGCCAGTGATGTGATGTCAGATGAAATGCGATATGTTTTAAGTTCCAATCAGCACCTTTCTGAAATCTTCCTCGAGGTTTGAGATGACTGGCGGAAAGGACGTGACGACAGCGCCTGTGATAAGATGAGTAAGACTCATTGTCGTGATAGCGGAGTGACGCACCATGATCCCCGTGAAGTTTTGTATCATACGTCAAAACATCCGTGTTGTGGTTCGGCTTCACGAACCTGGGAGGTGATTAGCTAGGGACCTTCGCTCAGCAATATGGCTGACCTCTCCGATTTCTTGGAATATGCCTGGAATTTTTCCCAAGTCCATCCATCGTTGCCAAGTGCACCCCATGCTAATGGTGTGTTAAGGAGGTGTCAATGTAGGCAAATGAAGTTCACCTTCAATGTGTTGGCGCGCCGGCTTATTCCAGAGCAGGTTGTTGATTGCGGAACTGCCTCCAAGTCCCTTTCCCCTATAAACAACAGTCGTAGGTCAGAGCAGCAAAGACTGTTCGGAGTGAAGTATAACTAACCTAGGCCATGTGAATACTCTGTCTTTGGCGTAATGTTGTGTTTCCTTCGCGTCGTTAAATTATGATTACAGGCTTGAAGTCGGATATACTAACAGTTTTAAAGCTCCAGTCGTATTCGGGCTTGCCCATGTACAACCAACGTTGTTGAGGCACCACTAGACTTCATGTCAGCGACTCGGATAATTCAGGGGAATTCAGACAGACTGACAGAGTGTGTCATCATCGAGATGAGCACCACCTGCCTCCAAGACAAGCACTGACGTCGATGGGTTTTCTGACAGACGTGTCGCTAAAACAAGACCGGTTGTCTAGGAGCCGTCAGTCAGTTATCAAGCTGAGAGCAATAAATGCTCCCTCTTACTCCACCACCTGTAAGTGTGGTGAGTTACTTCATGGCACGTTCAAATTTAATACTGAACACACCGATGATGATATAGTCAAAGACATGTCCCTTAACTTCATCAACGGAGGTCAGCATTGTTCGATTAGTAAGGAAAATAAAGACTGAAACCCGTTCTTATAGAGACACGGGCACTGAGAGGAATGCTAGGACCGTGACTGTGGGCGAGATAATCTTGATCACGGACCGAATTGAACTGCAATGTGAACCGGGTCGGTGTGGATTGCCGCTGGAAGGTAAAGTTCGACTCAAGAGCGCCAGTGAACTCAGAATCACAAAAATAGTCATAGATAATGATGCTTTCGTGAGGTCTGGTCTGATTGAATTCATCCATCGGATATGATCAGTTCACCAGGCACCCACGACAGTCCACAACTCGCATGATAAGATCTGATAGGATCTCGACAGTCATATTCATATTGGGCGCAGACACCCACCTGACTAAATCTTTAGAAATCTCCATGCATATAGGGTCGAGATGAGTCTCGGCATTGGACTACAAATGCATATCAGTAGATTAGACACCGGTAAGCACTCACGCTGAAGCTCAAGGTTCAAGGTTCAAGGTTCAAGGTTCAAATTTGCTGAACAAGGATCAAGAACCACGGAGCGGGAGAAGCCGAGTCACCATTGCCAATGATTCAGCCTCTTCGGTTGCTCTTCGGTAGAATCGGTACTCTTAATTGACTCTTACATTCCAGAATCTGAAACAGTATAATATCCGCCCCCTGTACGTCACTCACCTTGTTTGCTTCTGGACATAGCGCTTCTAGTATAACCTACTACTCCCAATTGAACTAGAACCAGAAATTCCAGAATGGGGATCAGAATCAGGATGAGCGCGATCACATCAGTGTCATAGCGCGCTCAGGCTCTCGGACGCCAATGATTTGAATATAAAATGGAGACTGAAGTACCCGGGGTTCTGATCGAAGATGTTCACATTAAGCCATCTCTGTGCATGTTTTTGTACTCTGGCTCTGGCGAGTTGGGCCTTTGGAAGATTCAGACGATTACCTCTCCCCCCAGGTAACTGTTAAATTTGCCGTGCCGAACGCTCAAAGTAACGCCAGTTATGCAGGTCCACCCAGAAAATTTTGGTTCGGAAATGAGGAGATATTGCCTTGGGACCATCCGTGGAGGCAGTATGCTGCCTGGTCCAAAACATTTGGTATGATCTCTTCCTCACAGATGCTATGCGGGCTCATTATTTCTAGGGCCCTTAATATACCTTTATGCCTACGGTCGGGATATCCTCATTGTCAACGAAGCCAGCGCGGTCACGGACCTGTTGGAAACGAAGTCTACGCTTTATGCCCGCCGTCCAACTTGGTCAATGGTAGCTCTCACCGGACGGCAAGACAACATCGCATTTATGGATCATAATGAGAGGCAGAGAAAGGCCCGGGCACTTCTTCAAGGTGCTCTAAATCCAAGGGCGCAAAAATCTTGGGGCCCAATCCTTGAAGAAGAGACCACTAGCTTAATGCTGCAGATAGCACAATCTCCGGAGTCATTCAGGCAACATATTCGAAGGTACGAACATTATCGAACATCATGGTCACTTACTAACATCTTTCAATGAACGATAAGGTACCTTGGGACTTATATCACGCGATTCACATACGGGAGAACAGTAGACGATTCCGAACTCAAACTGGGGGACGAAATCTCTATTCACACCCAACAAGCTTTGCGGCCTGGACGATGGCTTGCTGATGCTGTGCCTCTATGTAATGCTTGTTTTTTTTCGACGACAGGCAGTCTTATTGAACGCCACAGTATTATATTTACCGGACTGGTTCCCTGGAATGGCCTTCAAACGATGGGCGAGGGGTGCTAGGACAAAGTTCATCGATTACACTGCTCAACCTTTTCAACAGGCACGCAGTTCTGTTGTACGTTTATCTGCTATATCATTTTCGACTTTTAACGAACATGACACAAAGCTTGACGGTACTGAGATGCAGGGAATGGTGCCCGACGCACTCAGTGAGATCATTGCAGGGACATCGAAATATAAGGAGGAAGAGCTCGTCTCTGCAGCATCGAGCATCCATACAGGTGCGTACATTTTTCATAAAGGACGGAGTATTTTCTGACAAGACAGCTAGCCGCAATAGAGACTGTAAGGTTTTTTGTCTTGTCCGCATTTGAAACAGCACAAACCTTTTTTACAGACGTATGCGATACTTATGAACTTCTTGATATTGATAATGGCGCACCAAGATGTTCAAGAAAGGGCTTACCAAGAAATTGCGAGTGTCACTGAGTCTACCAGACAACCACTACTGTCTGACATGACTGCGATGCCATACATTGATGCGGTAATAAGGGAGGTTCATCGCTTCAATCCAGTGACACCCATGATCCCAAGGTCACCCGTCAAAACCGACTCGTACAAGGGCTACCGTATTCCACAGAATACCTGGGTGATGTTCAACATATGGTAGGTTTGCCACTAAGCTCGGAGAGGAAGTAATTGTTGAACAAGATGTTTGATTCAGGGCAATGACTCATGACCCAAACATCTACCGAGATCCTCATCAGTTTATGCCTGAGCGGCATTTACCTTTGGGTCATGAAGACAGCGCGAAGGATCCCCGAGATTTCACGTTTGGATTTGGAAAAAGGTATGTAAACGACACTCCATCAGTATCTTGCAATTGCTAAGCAGACGTCAAGAATATGCCCTGGCTTGAACCTTGCAAACGTACAGATCTTCTTGTTCGTCACCCAATTGCTGGCTACTTTTGAAGTCAGACCGCCGTTGAAAGCTGACGGTACCGAAGAAGACGTGGTCATTGACTATTCGTCGAATTTCGTGAGGTCCGCAGCCGTTTCATGTACTTATCATTATGTTTAACTAATAGCAACCTGACAGCCTTCCAATGCCATTCAAATGTCGTCTCATACCGCGTAGTGGAAATGCCATTCTTTATTGAACTTACATTTTGCGGATGAAAATTGCGATCAGTACAGCCTGTCTGGGTTGTATATTTCTTCGTGCGAGACCAAAGAATGTACTTAGGTTAACGTCGAGTGGTACAGTTCGCGTTACAACCAGGTTCGAATGTCGAACCTGTGGACAAATTTGAATCATTCGAAGCATCATACTTCTGGCAGAACAAAGGTAGATCTGGCAATTTGCGGGAGTCTGACCCGAACGTTTGCGTGACCAACAGCAGGTTGCCTCGATTGATTCATAGTACGTGTATGGTCACAAGTCCACAGTAAAGTACGCAGTCAGATCCTCATGTCCTGGTGCAAATAGTCAGTGGGAGGATAGCTGTACAGAAGTATACTGAACTGAGCAATTACAATAATGGCCGATACATCCATTACTGTAGTCATCCAGCTCATACTCTACTAGCTTTGGGGCTATCAGCCAATGATATACCACTGTTCTGCTGTGCGTGTAACCTGATGGTGTGCAAAGGCTGCATAGGATATTCCGGCCCGCTTCTTCGTTCTGTCTCAGCTGGCCCGCCAGTCGAGACGTAAATTTTTTGATTGTTTCGACCAGTCGCGATGCGAATAAACACCATGTAGAAGGCAATCGGGATGACTGGGATGACCTAGTTGATCAAAGATCAGTGATTCCAATAACAGGTGTTAACGGCTGAATTACCAGGTCAGCCATAACATACATTCCGCTGCTCGAGGAGACGAAAGCAATGAGCGAACAGCATACCGCCGCAGAGTACAAAAAAGCGGCATCCACAAGCACGCGAAATATGCGCGTGTTAACCTTCGTGGCGCTCATTGTAGAGACCCTGCGTTGGATCGTCCAGATGCGATATGCGAGTAACCCTGGATACATTCAGGTTAGTATGAGGACTCAGGTTAGTATGAGGACTCAATATCGCGCTTCCGCAGAAGTGTGCTTACCTGAACTCAACAAATTAGTTGCAATTGTGAAGACGATAAATGTCGTGATCCAATCTCCGGTCGCATCGAGGAAAACATTTGCGGGATTGTTGGTCTGCGGTTGGGACATGCTGTAGACCATACAAATACCAAATGCTTCGGGTCGACGTTAGAGTACAGAACTTCCTGATTATGATAGCGACCTAACCTGCGACACCGCACCACATGATGCATGGCAGGATGATAACCCAGACAGATTGCCAAACGACGTAACACCGATAGGTCTATTGCCAGAAATGGGATTTCTATAAGCCACGAGGGTTTCGAGTTGGCAGATAACAATTTTAAACCCACCACCACTCCATCGCCGAGCATAGTTTGCAAGACAAGGATCGCATTCTTGACCACAAACATTTCTTGGACAAGGTCTGCAAAGAATGCCACTGGGCCGCCTGGAAACGTGTCACGATCCTTCACTAGTCCGTCTTCAACATAAATGATGCCCACGACCATGTGCTTTGGGAAACTTCAGTAAAGAACGTGATTGTGTGCAAGCGGTGGGAAGCTAACCACAGTACTCAGTAGGAACATCAGAGTGGCAACCGCAGCAATAGGCTGATTGATGCTCCGCGTGCGACGGCTATAGATGAGGGTCCACATGGTACACATGAACATGAGTACTGAAAACCCTGAAAACTCCTTAACGCTTTGTGGCCACAGTACTCGAGACGGACCAACCTACCGTACAAAATGCCCTCCAAAATTGTTGACATTAAACTAGCGGCATCCAGCGGCATGCCTGTTGCTGACTCGAAAGCCATGGAAAACGATTGTACTTGGGTGATATGTGATGGTGTTGGTAGCTTCTAGTTGCATCTGCCACATTGTTATATACTAGAAAGAAATGATGTGCCGTTAAGCCTATCAGGTGGTAGAAATAAGAAGAAATACCCCAAAAGCTATTGTGGCCTTGTGGTTCTAACCAAAGAATTGATCTGCGCATCAGACAGATAACACCCCGGAGTCTATGCCAATTTTAGCTTAGCCGCCTCATCCACCTTCTAGCTATTAGTATTGAGCTTCATTACCGTACGTTGATACCTCGGAGCTCAGTTGCTCTACGTGGCTGATCAATTTACAGGGTATCATTGTGATCGTTGGGCCACGTGACTGCGTGCTCAGTACTCAGCGTTCAGCGCCTATGAGGAGGGGCTATCGATCTGTCCATGACCCGGGTGGGCCTCGCACATGATGCATGATGTATAACGTTGATTATTTACACTGGACTCTGATCATGATGGAAAGACATACTAAGCCATGTATGACGGATGATGGTGTTGCTCCGGGGCCGATGAAGCTTACGGTCCGAGTCAACTGGATTGTCTTTGGTGATCACAGAGTGTATTTGAAACTGTCTGTCCGGCTCACGAAGTTCATCATCTCACTGATACCAGGAGTGGAAAATGCAGGTCGACTTAAATTTATCTCAATGCAGTCATAAGTGTCCGCGCAAATAGTTAGAGATATTGTCCAAGCTTCCCGCCATATGCCATATGCGTTGTATGATATCTGTGTAGAATATCCATCCTCAGTCAACTAATAAACTACATGCCCATAATGTGACCCACAGATCTTTATCGCGAAGACGACATTGCCTCCTACATCCGACACTCGTGCCATGACGTGCCGTGCGCAAAATAGCGTAGATCGAGATGCGAGACATGATCATGTATCACCAGCGTGTTGCCTGGCAAATACATAGCCGGGTATATATTGAGTGGGATGTAGAGAAGAAGCCGTCCGTCGGGGCCTACAACCCACCCATCCTCGTTTGCGGCGACAGAGGCCGGGGTGGAGGAATCTTGGAAGAACGAAGAGGCAGAATGAAGAGCATGGGTTGAGTTGGGTGAAAAACATATGACAGGCGCTGTGAAAGGGTGGCGCTGGTTGAAAAATTCTATATCCCACACGCGGATGGTCTTGTCCCGTGAACCAGACACGATGGACTTGCCATCGGGCGATATTGCGACAGACAAAACATATCCAGCGTGCCCTCGGAAAGGGGGGCCCACTGCCTTGCCAGTCTCCATATCCCATACCCGGATCGTCTTGTCGTCTGAACCAGACACGATGTGCTGTCCATTTCGCGAGATGGCAACACAGCGAATCCAGTCAGTATGTCCTTGGATGGGCGCACCCAATGTCTTGCCAGTTTCAATATCCCATACCCGGATGGTCTTGTCGGCTGATCCAGACACGATGCGACGTCCATCCAACGAGATTGCGACAGAGAAGACCGAGGCAGTGTGGCCTCGGAGATGGGCGCTTGAGGCCTTGCCAGTCCCTATAACCCACACATGAATTGTCTTCTTATTTGGACAAGACACGATGCGCGTTCTGTCCGATGAAATTGCGACGGGCTGAACCGAGTTAGAGTGCCCTGTGAAAGGGCTACCTGATGCTTCGCCAGTCTCACTATGCCACATCCGGATGGTGTTGTCGTGTGAGCCAGATACAATGTAACGACCATCCGGTGCGACAAAGTGGACATTGCGAGTGTGGCCTCGAAGAGGGGCAGTCAAGGCCTTGCCAGTCCTCATGTCCCACACCCGAATTGTCGTGTCAAGTGAACCAGATACGATGGTCTTCCCATTCGGCGAGATTGCAACTGACTCAACAGATTCAGTGTGCCCTTGGAGAGGGGCACCCAATGCCTCGCCAGTCCCTATATCCCATACCCGAACTGTCTGGTCACGTGAACCGGACACAATGCATTTTCCGTCCGGCGAGATTGCAACAGAGTTAACAGAGTCAGTGTGGCTTTGGAGGGCGGCAACAAAAGGTTTGTCTGTAATAGTATTGGCATCCCACACCCGGATCGTCTTGTCAGGTGAACCAGAAACTATGCGGTGTCCATCCGGCGAGATGGCAACAGATTGAACACGAGTGGTGTGGCCTTGGAGACACAACATCCTGGGGATATGATATATCATTTACTCCCATCAGAATACAGCCGTGATATATCCCTGCCTTTGAACTAACACGCAGGGTAATGATATATCATTCAACACAGATGATATATCACTGTATGCCCTGCACATTTGGGTGGGCTATTCTTATACACAGCCGCATTTTTTCGCATTTTTTTAAACTCAGCTGCTTTTCATTCCAGGATACATTCTATATTTAGTGGAGTATGTTATGACCGCAATTTTGGCTTCCAAAAGCGGAAATTCACAAAACACATCCCATTTTGGTCACCTGCTCATGTCAGGCCTCCCCACATTATTCCCACACATCACATGTTCGCATTTTTCAGCCACACAGTGTGGGAAATACCCCACAACACCAAAAACATTGCCAAATATGATATACCCCACAATTATAATTATTCCCACACCCTCCCCACCTCACTGCAGCTTCACCACCACACCACAATAGGTCCTCCTTCATATATAAGTAGTAGTTTGATATATATGTGTATAATATAATATAATAAACCACTTTTTTGTGTATTTGTGTGCTTGCTCCTCCTCCAGGGCCCTTTCAAAATAGCCTAGGGTACAGAACATTTTCGCATTTTTGCCCCTTTGATAGGGAAGTGTTCTGGGGTATTCAGGACATATTTAGAAGTGTATATGAAGAGATTCCACCACTTATTTGACCCCCTGAAGTGAACTGCATCAATAGATATAGCAAATATACATGAAAACACAGAATATGTTCCCATGCATGTATTTCTATGTAGATGTACCTGTAAAATTTATCCCCAGCATCTATTAACCAATAGGGGCAATGTATCAGGAGTCTAGGGTAATAGGACAAGACCCTGGGATGCAGTATACCTACCCTCTCCTAGTGGTTCACCCCCTGTGAATTTTTTTCCTGTAGGACTGGACCCTCAGGATGGTAGGGGGTCTACACCTATGCATATTTAGAGTATATCTATCACATAGATATCACAGGAAACCTACAGGGTCCTTCTACAGAAACAGAAATATGTGAAATCACATATTTTTCAATATCTTGCCCTTGCACAAATGGACCACCCTGCTCATATATCATTAGCTACACATATATATGTACTTTCTATACCAAAGATCAGTTCACAATAGGCCGGAGCTTTGAGCTAGTGTGTATACTTGCTATTTCTACTGATAAGGGTCCTATACCTTCAGAACATCGAAATTTAATAATCAGACACCTGTACTATGTCTCATATATGTCCCTAATTATATCCCTCAATGTTCAGAAAGATCCATCAAGTATTGACTGAAAGGGAAGCAAAGGAACATATGTGGAGAAAGTGATAATTATAACATATCACACAAAAGTCACATTTACATATGACTCTGGTCAAATATTTTATTAAATTTCAATAGGATATATGATAGAGTACACAAGGAACCTATACTACACTTTTCCCTGAGGGTGGAAGATGTGTGGAAGGGATGTGGTGATAAAGTAAGTTGATACAGCATTAAAGTCCTACTAGAGTCATATGTAAATGTGACTTTTGTGTGATATGTTATAATTATCACTTTCTCCACATATGTTCCTTTGCTTCCCTTTCAGTCAATACTTGATGGATCTTTCTGAACATTGAGGGATATAATTAGGGACATATATGAGACATAGTACAGGTGTCTGATTATTAAATTTCGATGTTCTGAAGGTATAGGACCCTTATCAGTAGAAATAGCAAGTATACACACTAGCTCAAAGCTCCGGCCTATTGTGAACTGATCTTTGGTATAGAAAGTACATATATATGTGTAGCTAATGATATATGAGCAGGGTGGTCCATTTGTGCAAGGGCAAGATATTGAAAAATATGTGATTTCACATATTTCTGTTTCTGTAGAAGGACCCTGTAGGTTTCCTGTGATATCTATGTGATAGATATACTCTAAATATGCATAGGTGTAGACCCCCTACCATCCTGAGGGTCCCAGTCCTACAGGAAAAAAATTCACAGGGGGTGAACCACTAGGAGAGGGTAGGTATACTGCATCCCAGGGTCTTGTCCTATTACCCTAGACTCCTGATACATTGCCCCTATTGGTTAATAGATGCTGGGGATAAATTTTACAGGTACATCTACATAGAAATACATGCATGGGAACATATTCTGTGTTTTCATGTATATTTGCTATATCTATTGATGCAGTTCACTTCAGGGGGTCAAATAAGTGGTGGAATCTCTTCATATACACTTCTAAATATGTCCTGAATACCCCAGAACACTTCCCTATCAAAGGGGCAAAAATGCGAAAATGTTCTGTACCCTAGGCTATTTTGAAAGGGCCCTGGAGGAGGAGCAAGCACACAAATACACAAAAAAAGTGGTTTATTATATTATATTATACACATATATATCAAACTACTACTTATATATGAAGGAGGACCTATTGTGGTGTGGTGGTGAAGCTGCAGTGAGGTGGGGAGGGTGTGGGAATAATTATAATTGTGGGGTATATCATATTTGGCAATGTTTTTGGTGTTGTGGGGTATTTCCCACACTGTGTGGCTGAAAAATGCGAACATGTGATGTGTGGGAATAATGTGGGGAGGCCTGACATGAGCAGGTGACCAAAATGGGATGTGTTTTGTGAATTTCCGCTTTTGGAAGCCAAAATTGCGGTCATAACATACTCCACTAAATATAGAATGTATCCTGGAATGAAAAGCAGCTGAGTTTAAAAAAATGCGAAAAATGCGGCTGTGTATAAGAATAGCCCACCCAAATGTGCAGGGCATACAGTGATATATCATCTGTGTTGAATGATATATCATTACCCTGCGTGTTAGTTCAAAGGCAGGGATATATCACGGCTTTATTCTGATGGGAGTAAAATGATATATTATATTGACAACATCGCCTGTTGGAGAGGGGATCCCACTGCCGCGCCAGTCTTCAAATCCCACACTCGGATCGTCCGGTCATCTGAACCAGACACAATGCGGATTCCATCCGACGATATGGTGACAGACTGAACAGGGGCAGTGTGACCTTGGAGAGGGGCACCAAATGCCTCCCGAGTCTCCATATCCCATACCCGGATCATCTTGTCCTCTGAACCGGACACGATGTATTTCCCATTCGGCGAGATTGCAACAGACCGAATACCGGCAGTGTGCCCTTGGAGGGCAACCAATGCCTTGCCAGTCTCCATGTGCCACACATGGACGGTCCTGCCATCTGAACTGGACACAATATAATTTCCGTTTGGTGAGATTGCGACAGTTGTAACAATGCCAGTGTGCCCGTGGAGAGGGTATCCAAATGCAACACCAGTCTCTATGTCCCATACCCGGATAGTGCCGTCCGACGAACCAGATACAACGTGATTTCCATTCGACGAGATTGCGACAGACTCAACCCAGCTAGTGTGCCCTCGGAAGGGAGCACCCGATGCCTTGCCAGTCGCCACATCCCACACCCGGACTGTACAGTCCAATGAACCCGACACAATGCGATATCCATCCCATGAGAATGCGACAGACGCAACGCAGTCAGTGTGGCCTTGGAGAGGGGCATACAATGCCTCGCCAGTCTCCGTATCCCACACCTGGATCGTTCCATCGGATAAACCACACGCGATGCGTTTTGCATCTGGAGACATTGCAACTGAGTAGACATTGCCGTTCGCGTGGAGTATCTTTTCCATCTGAGGCCAATTTAGTACATGGCCAGCAACAATGCGGGGTATGCGAGGAAACTTTGCGGCGAACTTGCGGAAAATTCTCGATTCCATTGGAGAGAAGGGTAGGGCGGACAAGTATAAATGGGGAGTGCTGCGAAGAATGGTGGACGCGAAAGTTCGAACGAAGCGCAGTGTGTCTCTGGTAGCATCACCAACATGCATAAACTCGACATGACCCTGTAAGCACCCCACTACTCGTAAGAATTCATGGTTATTAAGAATGAGCTTGAACTACGCACCGAAAACCAATCTGCAATGGACAAGAGTGATTCCACCGAGCCGCCGAGGCTTTTCATCAGAGCCAGTGCTTCCAACCACCAAAGGAGGCGCTCTCCATCGAAGAAAGCTTCCACTTCCTTAGCGAGTGATGCTCCGAAGGACGTAGCGCCGATATGAGTCCCCCAGAATCGACATGCGTAGGATAGTTCAGTTGAAATAGACTCCTTCACGCGTTTCTCCAAGTCAGGGATTGCTGAATTGGGCAAGTACGAATTCTCCAAAGAGCAGATGTTGAAGCGAAGTCCGCGCTCCATGGCCTGAAGCGAGGCGAAGGCAAGATCGTTCTGTACCGCTGACGTATCAACGAAAAAGTCGCGACTGCGTGATTTGTCTGTGAGGAAGTCGTAGAAGGATCCGTGGAGGGGACGTATGGGAGTATGAGAATCAGTGATACCGGTCAAAAGCGAGCCCAATGGCCCAATGACCCTGTCCACTTTGTAGTCGCAAGCCTCTTGGGGAAAATGTAGTCGCATAGCTGTCAATGCAGGCATGGCAAGGGGTTCTACCGATGCAATGATTTGCCCCATCACAGAGTGAAATATGGGAATCCCTTCCTCGCGCTCATCTTCTGGCATGATATCTGCCAAGACACGTCTGTACATATCATCCAACAGACGTGTTCCTTTTGCAGATCTTCCAGCAACTACAGCATTGAACCGACCCTTTGGGTCCATGCCGACTCTGTTTGTACCTTTGATATACTCGCAGGTAAGCCGAGCCCATTCAAAGAGGCCGTCAGATTTCTGGGCGAGTGTCTTGAAGTCCGCGTCATTGAACACGTCGCGTAGATCTTCCAGCCTGGTGGAAACATACAGCTGGATGTCACGGTCTGTGGACGCAGACGAGACGTCATCCAAGGAGATATGACGAACACGTGACGGGGTGTGAAGGGCGTTGCCAATGTCTTCAAGCGGGCGGGAAGTGACAAGAATGCGGAGTTGTGCTGGGAGTTTGGTTAGTTGTGAGGTAGAAGTGTTCAATTTGCCAGCGAGCAGACGAAGAATCTGTTCCCGCGAATCTGCTTCACCACTCTCGTCCAACGCTTCAATAACGATAAGGACAGGTGCAGCGATGGCTTTTGAGGCTATGCTTGTCGGTCCGACGACTAATTCCTGCCATTGTCTTGTGACATCTGAAGTGCGCTTGAGTCCGTTGTTATCACGAACTGCCTGCGCCAAGGCTCGCCGCACGATAGGGCTGCAGTCAGCCAATTCGCTTGCGATAGTTGTGAATATTTTGTCCTGACGGCGATCCGCTTGTCGAGTTCGATCGAAGCAGAAGCATGAGCCAAGACCACCTTGTTCGATATACCAGTTGGCTATTGTATGAGCAACGGCCGATTTCCCCTTGCCTGCTGTGCCAGACAGCCATAAGACGCGTGGAGCACCCTCCTCGGTGCTCCCCAATTCTGAATATCCTTCAGAAGGTCCTGCCGAGTATTTGGCAAACAACATTTAGATGTATTCAATCCGGCACCCGTTGCGTATTCCATGCTGATGAGGTCCAGACTCTCGGCTATGCCAGGGGTCGTGGAAGGTGAGATAAGGCTCAAAGCGACCTGAAAACCGACTCTTACCCATATGGTGGACGATCACAACGGTGTCACGGGCTGCTCGGTCTCGGAATTGCTGCATGAGGCTGTCGAGAACATTGCTGTAGCTCGTGATCGTCGCATCTGTTTCGTCGAAAATGTGCTTGCCAAGCCTTATCCCTGTGCAACGAGACAACTTTAGTATTGAGTGTCAGGAGACGAAACAGTTCGACTCACAGGCGCTCTTTGTCTCAGAGTAGTGGGTGATGAAATCAGCACACTCCAGTGTCTGCTGGGCTATCTTCACATATACCGCTAGCATGGACTGCATCTTGGCCAACTCCTCCTCTTCCGTGATGAAAGTATAAACGTCCGAGATCTTCGTGAGGAGATCATGAACAGCATTGTCGCGGTTTGCTTGATCGAGAATCATCTTCCACCAGACATTCTTAGTAACCGGCGAAGGCAAGGATCGGGAAATGAGCTCACCTTGGACGCGTAGGTGAACATACTCAAGGCCACTTTTGCATATGGATGCACCTATGCACGAGGATCAGCCACATCTAAAATGAGATAGACGCCCTTACGTCTGCAAGCCCGGTGGCAATGGAGTTGAACACCTTCAATGGTCCGAGAATCGTGGAGAACGTGTCAATCACATTGAAAACGGATTGTAAGTTGCCGGCTGCAGACGAAGTATTTTGGACAAATGTTGGAGCATGGCCGATGCTTGTAACACCTGTTTGGGCCTGCGCAAGTGTTTCCGTCACAAGATTCATGTCAGGCGGGGATTCGGCCTGATAATGGGGCCTCAGTACATCGAAAGAGATAGACAGAGTTGCTCGAACTCACCTTTGCGATACCTGAATTGGAAGACTGCTTATCATTCGGTTCGAGAGTGGGAGCGCTGAGTAGTGAAGGATCCTGCAGCAGCAATTAGCAGCAATCACCACACACGGGCACGCAGAGTTGAGATCACACATACCTGGGTTATCTGACTGGGTGGGAACCGTGGGATATCCTGTGTGCCGGAATTTGCAGCGGCGGTTTCAGGATTGAGAGACTGTCGAGCGTTTCGAGCAAATGGCTGGGTCGCCTTGTTCAATAACCCCGACAATCGTCCGTGAAATCCATAACTCGAAGGCAAGAGAGAAGATGGCTGCAATAATTAGAAACAATAGATAGTTGAAAGGGCGAAAGCGCATACATCATTGGGTGCCCTCCTGCCTCTCTCCTCAGCCAAATCACTGGCAGGTTCTGGATGACTTTTCTTCAGCCACCCCAAGCGTTTCTTCCGAGGATTGTCTTCATTCATCGAGTAAGTTCGAAGGACGGCCCAGTGAGTGAGTATTTTGAGGCTTATAGGCGCAAAAGGAATGAAGAAGGTAGTTGATGCGGCACGCGGTCACCGGTGGCTACTGCATGTCCGCACCGGAAGGTATTTACATCTCTACACGTGTTTGAAAGCGCCCATTGTTGATTGGCCATAATATCGATGATAGTGGAAAATATTGATATCGTGAATTGGCCGTTGTATTCAGAGTTGGCCAGTTGCGCATGTAAAATCGCCAAATATGGAATTTTCTCACGGGTGCTTTAATTTTCGTTGCCTCGACTCAGATCATCAAACTTATCTTGAACTTATCAGCAAAAGATCTCGACGGCCTCCCTCGACAGAGATCGTGCATTCACGTGTCACTTTTCGCCAAGTTCACTGTGGAGTCCATAAAACATGGCCGAAATACACGATCAGTTCGATACCATCCTTATCCTTGACTTTGGTTCGCAGGTAAGGGATCCGTGTTACTCAAATCGTTTCGTGTGTTAACCATCGAGTGCTTTTTTAGTACAGTCACCTTATCACCAGGAGATGTCGCGAGTTGAACGTATACGCAGAGCTTATGCCGTGTACAACAAAGCTAGCAGATGTCAAGTTCAAGCCTAAAGGTTCGCTCGTGCTCGTGTGATGCAGCGGGAAATGCTTTTCTAACGCCAAAATTCAGGGATAATTCTCTCCGGATCTCCATACTCTGTATACGACGACGATGCACCCCACGCGGACCCCGCTATCTACACTCTGGGTGTCCCTATCCTTGGTATCTGCTATGGTCTTCAGGTTTGACTTTCTCGAGCATCCCGACAGACAATAACTTACACGAGATCCAGGAGATTTGCTGGAATCTCAAGGGAGAGGTAGCAAAATGTGATCATCGCGAGTATGGGCTTGCAGAGGTTCAGATTAGCAGGTTCAGCGAATCGGGAAATTCTGTCGACGCTTTGTTTGAAGGACTCGGCGATCAGATGCAGGTGCGTGCTTTCGTTTCTTACATTTGAAGCTAACGTTGACTTTTATCAGGTCTGGATGTCGCACGGCGATCAACTGTCCGTTATGCCTCCCGACTTCCATGTCATCGGACGGACAAGCACTGCTCCCTATGCCGCCATCGCACATAACTCCAAGCCATTATATGGCATCCAGTTCCATCCAGAGGTGACACATTCCCCGCAAGGAAGGCAGCTCATCGGTCGATTTGTGTTAAATATATGTCAATGCCGGGCGAACTGGACAATGGTGAGGTAATTACTGTGTTGCGTTATTGTGATGCTCACTGCGATTGCAGGAGGAATTCATTGGCAAGGAAATCATCCGCATCCGCGAAATATGTGGCCCGAAAGGGCGTGTCATTGGCGCGGTCAGTGGAGGCGTCGACAGCACTGTTGCAGCCAAGTTAATGCATGAGGCAATCGGCGACAGGTGTGCCTCCATGTTCTTTTCATGACACCCATGTCTTACTTACTCACCAGATTCCACGCCATCATGGTGGATAACGGCGTGCTTCGTCTGAACGAAGCACAGCAAGTGAACGACATGTTGAATAAAGATCTAGGCGTCAACCTGACCGTAGTGGATGCTTCCGAACTCTTCCTCTCCCGACTGGATGGTGTTGAAGATCCGGAGCAGAAACGTAAGATTATAGGGAACTCGTTTATTAACATATTCGAGGCAGAAGCCGCGAAGATCGAGGAAGCTGCTGAGAAGGAGGAGAAGAACGGTGCGGATTCAAAGGGAAAGATCGAATGGCTGTTGCAAGGAACCCTATACCCAGACGTCATCGAGAGCATCAGCTTCAAAGGTCCTAGTGCGACCATCAAGACGCACCACAATGTCGGTGGGCTTCTCAAGGACATGAAATTGAAGTTGATCGAACCCCTGCGCGAGCTCTTCAAAGGTCCGCTGATCGATCCACGAGTCCTCTTTCCCACCACACTGACCGCTTTGTGCAGATGAAGTCCGTGCACTTGGGAGACTCCTGTCGATACCAGCACCTTTAGTTCAACGTCACCCTTTCCCAGGTCCTGGCCTGGCTATCCGGATCTTGGGTCCTGTCACACGCGAACAAGTGAAGATCCTGCAACAGGCAGATAACATATATATCGAGGAGATTCGCAAGGCGAATCTCTACAATCAAATTAGCCAGGCTTTCGCCGTCTTGCTCCCTGTGAAAGCTGTTGGCGTGATGGGCGACAAGCGCACATACGAACAGGTTTGAAGGTCAATATTCTCTCTCTTTCATTGTCTCAATGTATTTCACAGGTGATTGCTCTAAGAGCGGTGACGTCGGAAGATTTCATGACTGCGGATTGGTAGGTTTTGTCTCACTTTTGATCCTGTGTAATGCCAACTTGATTGTTTCAGGTATGCGTTCCCTCCCGAAGTCTTACGTCGGATATCGTCCCGCATCACGAACGAAGTGAGTGGGATCAATCGTGTTACTTATGATATATCATCCAAGCCTCCTGCTGTAAGTCCGGCTGCTTTGTCTTACCAGAGTTGTCGCTGATTTCATTTCTAGACTGTGGAGTGGCTATGATCACCAATGGCACATTTACGCGGCGTGGACACGCAACAGTATATAGAATACATATGTTAGATGGGTTTTGTCCATGAATAAACTTACGAATATGCGGGGGTACATGCTAGAAAAGCCTACAGGGACCTAAAGGTCACTAATACGGTAGTTCGACGTTGTCTGTTTGTAATTGTTGGCTCAATGTTGCGTCTGGTGGATACACAAGCACCCAGTGACACCCACAACTTGAACTCCCCACCTTTGGTATGTCAATTGCAAACCACTACAAGGTCAGTGGACCGTCCATGCCTATTTAACAGATGGTCAATTTGGCATAGTTCGACAGCCTTCTGCGGCCCTACCAGCGTCCAACAACTTTGCCATGAGTTCTCGCCCACACCACACAGCTGCCGTTGCCGCCAACGCGAAGATTTTCCCGGTCTTTGCAAACAGGCTTGCATCGCACGACATCAACGAGTACATTAACACTGCCAATAAACTGAAGAACTGGTTGGGTTCCGAGAAAGCGTACTATCCTGACGCTCTACGTAATGTGAGTGTTGAATTAGCTTGACAGAAGCGCGACTCAATGGCCGCTTCTGGCCCCTGCAATCAGATCGTTTTGCTCCTCGAGGTGTGTAGACACGTCGGTCTTTGTTCTATTTGTTCATCATATACTCGACAGATTGCCCATAAGACCTTTACGAAGCAATTCCTTCACGCACAATCGTCAGCACGCGCCGCCATGGACATATACCGGGCTTTGATTCACGCCGTGGTTCCTTTCTTGCGTTTTTTTCACAGAGGAGGACCTGCAACGTACGTGTTGAATCTCACATAGGTGTTCGGGGGTATCGACTGTGTGTTGTAGTCCGACTTCAAGACTTGATCCAAAGTTCCTCTGAGATCTCGACTCAACCTGTCTATCCTGTCCGGGCCGAAGGCGAAGCCACACCTCAAGAATATAGGTACGCAGGCATTGATTCAAGTCTGAACATCAATGTCATGATCTTGTATAGGGACACTTCCTCAGTATTCACGACCGCCCAGGACACGACCCCAAGCACGCAACTAAGGTTTCCTAGTACTGCGCAAGTAGAGTTAGTTCAATCACCTGTAAGATGTGCACGCGCTGTTTATCCGTGATCTGACATGTAACTCATAGACTACAACACAGATTTCGACCACGATTGTACCCTGCTCAGATATTCGCACAGATCCCCCGCCTAGTGCCTCTCTCGTGAGAACTTTTCCAAAACCTCAACCCAAACGCCAATCTGTGGCATCTTCGCTGTCTGAGCAGCTCAAAAACCGCGACCTTGAATGGTTCAAGGCACAACACCAGCCTGCGGCTTCTCCTGACCCACGGCCTGTGAGTCCTGTGGTGGATTCAGCTGCTCCGCTCTGTACGCTCGATTTGTCACATGACGCAACGGAGCTCCCTGCGGAAAAGTTACGGCCGTCTCGCGTGCCAAAGAGGGTACCTCCACAACCGGTATCCAGTGAATCAATGACAGCAAACGAGCCTACAGCTCCTGCAAATGTCGTTGATCTGTCGAGTATCTCGTCTTTCACCGAGGCTTCGACGCCTATGGACGTCAAAAAGCTAAAAGAAGAAGAAATCACACCCGCTATAGCTGATGTTATTATGAGCGACCCACTACCGGAGATTGTGCCTCAAGGTTCAGAAACACTTCCATTGGGTATTCCAGAAAATGTCGCCTCCGGGGTCACTACGCAGTCGCCAAAACCAAATACGGATTCCCCCGCTCTAAGGCAGCCACCTGAGATCACCTCAGATGATGTGGGTGCAGAAAGTCGTGAAGAAGAATTACCGTCATCTCCAGTAGATAATACCCCTCCCCAAGTCAATTGTCCGAGATTTGGAGGGGAGATGGCTGTGATGATGTTTCGGCAAGGACTTGAGTCACCTCGCGGGGTCATCAATCTTCCATTCAATCTCGATGATACACTTTATCTCCAAATTGCTCGGTGGGCTAAGCGCAAGTCGTCACCAATGTATGTGTCAATTTCTCGCCCCTATGTGCATGTTTAACGGTACACAGAGATCTGGAACAAAGTGTCTGTGTGTCGTTTGCTTGCTATCATCTTCCTAGTCTCCTTCCCAATCCACCAGAAGATGATCAACTGCCACCGTTTGAGACACTTACGATGCACTCGCAATGCTCGTGGCCCACATCTGGGGACCTTTCACTGCAGACAAAGCGGGACGGGAAGGACTTCGTCATCCCTCTCTCTCCGCCCATTTTCGTGAGTGCTACGTGGAAACCACATTGAAGTCGAAATAATTTTATAATGGCAGGTCACTCCAGACAATTGCGTCGATATCTCTGCCTTCATCAGGAGTGGAGAAAATGCCTTTTCAGTGGTCCAACAGAGCGAGATGTCAGACTATATGTTTGTTCTCCACGCTCACCATCCCACGCCTGCGCAACTTAGCTATCTGGCTTCGTGCAGACAAAGGCGTGAGAACTGGCTGCAGACCACACGTGCTTTTTGCACACCTGAGCCGATGGAATCGTTATGGAGGCGATCGCCGTTGCGGTCGTGAAGTGCTTTTGCTTTTGATATGACCTCGACACGTCGCCTTACTCATTAGATTCAACTATAGTGATTCGTTGAGTATTCTTTAATTCATCCTAGAGTTTCGCAGTCCCGTTATGTATGTATTTGTACATCTCTTATCTGTAGCATAGTCTGCTAATTGAATTTATTTTCCGAATCTTCTTCTATGGAGCGCTACGGTCTATCGACGTCTATCGGTGATGCATTGATGGACCGCCATTTTGTGAGCCACGTTTTTTGCCTTTCACAGGGATTTTAAATCACGATTCGTGAGTAGGCCACATACTAATAAGCAAGTCGATGTAGGTTACTGTCAATGATATCCTTGGTGTCTGGTCCTGCCAGCATGCTCCGCAGCGAGAGGTGTGAGGGGGCCTTGAGAATTGTCATATCATAGATTTGTACCGCGTCCTGCCGCGGTCTAGAGAGATTTCAAGTACCATTTTGAGCAATGGATATCATCCGAATGTGTGAATTTAGTCATTAGTATTTTTTGACCACATAGTACCGCACACGCAACAGTGACAGTACTTGTAGGTACGAGTCAAGTTGACTTGATGGGGGTGGCTGTGGCTGTGCACTGCTGCCGTCGCAGACTTGGCAGTTGTAATGCGAATCGAGGTTTTAAACTTTGAATTTGGATAGCAATCATCATGAAGTCTGGCCAGCCTCAGGCCAGGTATCCATGGTAATTGCACCTCCTAGTTGCGCGAAAACACTGGGCACCACTTCACACGCACTCATTGACAGGCTCTTGCTTGCAAGCTGTTGAAACGTTCGCCGGCCACCTTGCAATGGCTGATGGGCCTTCGATACTTTTGCCTATCACCTAAGGTGTCAATGGATTCCAGTGCTTAAGGTATGTATAACTTGTGGTTACTTGTCCTTACGAAGCGAACAGAGCACTACTTGAATTCCTTTCGATGTCTTCAACTCGTCACCCAAACGGTGATACCACAAGCGAATATAATGGCAACCGCTACTAGTACATCTCCTCTTCGTAGAAGTGCTTGTGGACGACTGCCGCGTCGACACAGCTCTAACTCTTGATCGTCACCCCATGCCATGTTCACGCTGTAAAACGAGAAGTTGCCGAGGAGTTCAAGAAACACGACGCCCAAGTTGTGCTCAAGTTATCAATCTTGATTTTGTGTCTCACCCGCCTGCCACCATACCACTGCCGAAGCTCATTGCGCGTGCTACATCGCGGTCGCCGGCATTGGTACTACAAAAAAAATGAGGTCATAATGTTATAAAATTATTCTGTTCTGGAGCCGAGCAAGAAATCGATCAATATTTGTGCTGCAAGAGGCTGCGAGTACATCGGAAATTATTTGGTGCCGGTGCGGCAGTACTAGATGATGGGGCAATTTGCTCCCATATACACGCGGTCTCTTGGGGCCCAGTCACCAGCCTGGCTTATTCCCCTCAAGTCAAAGACGTTCGTCAAACTGCTTACAAGTCAACTATTCCTCCACGGACCATGCCTCGAAAGCGCAGCTACAGTTCTCCGACGCAATGGTACATCTCTCCCTCGTGAACTCAATTATGTTGAGCCGAATGGAATCACTTCTGTAAGAAGGGATGCTACTTTTAAACCGTCCTTTTGCAGCCCTGTACTGTCATCCAATGATTCATTGAATTATATCTAGGCGCTCCGGCAGTCTCCCGTAGGCAGACCAACATATGTCTCTGGGATCTTTCCACTTCGCCTGACAATCACCCCGTGTTTCGAAATTCGCACTCGATTAGTTAGTCGTGAAGATACCCTGACTCCCAGCCATTCAATACGCCCGGCTTGGAGAATTTTGCTGTCTCTTTCTGTTTCTATTAGTTAGTCATCAATACCAGGCATTTGCCAGCTGGTGAGTCTGGCATTAATATGTGGTTTGTGACTTTTAAGTGTTGTCCAGTTTTCAGGACGATGCCGCTACCGCTACCGCTCTCCCTCTCCCTGGATGATGGTGAACCCAACAGACTTTCTCTTACCCGCAAACTCAGTTTGCTAGTTATGTTCTGTCTCACCCAATTCTTGGATACCTTGAATGTCTCAGCTCTCATATCTGCGATCCCTGTACTCGAGGAATCCATGGGTATGACCGAAATTCAATCCACTTGGGTCTTTAGTGCATTCCGATTGACTTTTGCATCATTCCTGCTTATCGTGCGTGCTCATCCGTCGACCCTGACTTGCACTTCAACCTATTATTTTAGAGCGGCCGTCTCAGCGACGTATATAACCCAAGTTAGTACCGTGCTGCCCATGTCAGACGTTCATGCTGAAGGGCACGCAGAAATCGTGTTCATCGGAGGAGTATCCAGTCTCGGAGTCCTCACCCTGTGCGCCGGATTTGTTGTCGACACAATTCCAATCGTTATCCTCAGAGCAATTACTGGAATAGGTGAGCATTCTTTCAGGCGTGTCAGTTCTGGTTGACGACGATTGCTTCTCAGCTTCTGCAATGACCATCCCCTCTGCCCTAAAACTCCTGGTAAGGGTATTCGCCGATCCACTCGAACAAGCTCGGGCAATAGGGTTCTTTGCAGGCTGTGCTGCGATTGGCAACAGTGAGCATTACATATCTTAATATATAAGATGAGCCTCATGGTTCCTTTGCACAGTGGGAGGTCTCGTAGTGGGTGCAATGTTCGTCCAATGGGCATCTTACCACTGGGTCTTCTGGTTCATATCATGCGCGGCTTGCCCGGTGGCTCTAGTTTGTGTTTTCATGATACCGTCACAAATTGGAGAGACTGCGGGCGCTCTTAAGCCCAAAGGGGCGAAATGGAAAACTCTTGATTTAGTCGGCGTAGGCATTTTAACTGGTACAAATCTTTCAGCGTACTCCTCCTCATCGCTCACGAGTCGACAGTTGCTTTCATCTTATTCATCTTCTCTGTTACATCCGGTTCCACTGATAGTTGGAAATCCCCGATGGTGTTGGTCCTCCTAATCGTTTCAGTTGTAATGATGGCTGGGTTTTTCTACTGGGAAACGCTCTTGCCTGTGGAACATGCTGTGATGTATGTCATTGGGAATCCTATCACCGATCACCGGCTGATTTTGCACAAGACCACCCCGAACGTGGTTTTACAATAACTTCTCTGTTCTCTTCGCCGTTGCACTGTTGCCATCCTTCTGGTGGAACGCAGTGATGTTGATTTTTAGCATGATGTGGCAAAACGTGTTTTACTGGTCGGCAATATCGTCGGCTGTCCACATGTAAGGTCTTCGCTATGGCTCCATGTCGCCCAATCATGAAGAATATATTTGCTCACTAGGTTGCCGCTCGGTATCGTAGCCTTGGCTGCAAGTTTAACCGGATCACTTTCTCGCATCGTCAGTCCGAAGTGGCTTATTCTCACCGGTCTATCAATGTGCATGACTGCTACCTTATTGCTGGCGCTCGGTGGGGGGAAGCCCGAAAATTATTGGCCGTATGTGTTCCCGGGATTTTCGCTAGGCACCGCAGGAGTCATGATGACTTCTACACATACGAAGTAAGTTCCAAGACATCACGGTTTTCCGGATAAAGTCTAACTTTTTCGCAGCATCGCTATTTTCCAATCTGCGCCTTCATCCATGGCTGGCACAGTTGGTGCCATGTTTAACGGCGCGCTTCAATTTGGATCCGCAATCGGCCTCGCTGCTATAAGCTCAATAGAGACATCCGTTGAGGCCACACATGGAGGTCCGTATGAGTACACCGGACGAGCTGCGTCGATTTGGTTCCTCTTTGGGGTCGTTGCTCTTCAATCCATTTCGATACTGATCTTTTACGACCGCAGTACGGACCACAAGCCGCAACCAAAGCATGACAACCCCGTGTATTCCACACATCATAACATATCAAATGAAAAGCTCAGCGATACGCACGCAACCACCATGCCGGAATCAATTTAAAGTATATTTGTTTTGGCGACTTTCCCAGATGTATTTTCAATTGCACACCCTACTTTCTGAGGCCAGGATGAGTCGTGGCAGTTCAATCACAGTGTACTTATATATGAAGAGATCTATATGTTGATACCCACTCGTATTGTCGATATGTATTCACCACAGATCAGATTGACCCTGCTTACATCTCATTGATCGCATTATAAAGGCGGATGTAGCAATTAGCATGGTTCGATAGCGGCTTGCGGTTGAGCTGTTCCGAGCTCAGTATATCTTCATTACTCATGGCGGACCTACAAAAGACCAACTGTCAACTGTTCTCAGCATGTTGAACGCTTATCTGGTCACATTATAGTCGGCTTTTCAGCACGTCACACCGCCGACGAAACTCCTAGAGGGCCACATATCATGCATATACCTTACGTATATAGCCCCCACACTGTGGAAAGTAATAAATTTGGCCGTTGGCGTGATCACCAGTTACTTATTACGTGTTGGCTCCAGCAGCAAGGCTTACCAAGGATGTGATGGGTTGCCGTCACATGTGGACTTCGTGATACAGAAGCTTTCATCTACTACAAGTACTTGGACACGACCTCAGTATCCTTATCCGGTAACTGCTACTTTCCTGAGTAAGGGGTCAAGGAAGTGTGGAAGTGATGGATCTTGTCAGCAATAGTGTACAGCCGTTCGAGAGCGGCTTTCGGCTCGGGGTTAGCGACCGTTTCCCAATGGGCCTGTAGGTCAACATCAACGACGGCGTCGATATGCCACAAACACGATAATCTCGACACCTACCTCAACGCTCGGCCAGCCGCAAACCACAACAACTTCATTCTCATCCTCCAACGCAGGCCCAAACACGAGCATCTGCTTAGTTGAGTCCGAGAGCTTAGTGAGGATGTCGAACACTTCTGCGCGATGACTGGGATCTTTCGGCGTGAGGAGGAGGACTTCTGTGACAGGCTGCTGGAATGCGGTGGTATGATCATTGAAAATTATATGATTCATTTTCACAGAGCCCTCAAAGATAGGTTTCATAGCTTCTTGAAGAGATTGCAACAGGGGGGTCTCCAATATCGCCATATGTTTCTCACGGCTATCCCAGTCTGAAGCCAGGGTATTAATGGCCTCCTTTCAAGACGAGCAAAATATACAACACGTACTGATGAACATATAGCCTGTAGCTGGATCCTCAATCTGCACCCCGGAGTAGGCGGGCCTGTCGCGATAAAAGCATGATTAGAGCGCCCATGTTGCCTGTGATATGTACTAGCAGGAGAACGATACGCACTTATGGACACCATCAGCCGTAAAACCTAAGTCGAGTGTGTGGTACACAATTGAGGGGTCCTCACGAAGCTCCTTTGTAGTGCTGTAAATAACGACTTCGGTCGCTGGGATGCTAGACATGATTGCGGGTAATATTTTGGATCGGTGCCCCTGACAACTTTGGTGTATCTTGAATATATACGTTGTTTGATGTTTGCATAGATGTCAAGAATGACTTGAAGCGGTATGTACATGATGACTTGAATCATTGCATACAAACTAGTATGTGCGAAGACAGCCGCAATAGGCCCTAACCACGCATCGTGAGTCACGAACATGTGGGAAATGAAACTCACAACTGATACGACGATGCCCGGCACTTTCGAAGGGGACATTATGACATAACTCGATACAAAAGTCCAGAGGACGAATAAAAAACCCAGGCGGTTGATACCGGGCACTACCTACACCCTCCCGGTGTAATTTCGGGTGTGGAAGTCGCCTGATATCGAATCCTGGAGAGGATTCACGTGAAGAGAGCATCGAGAACCAGAATGGTCGCTGTTTACATAAGTATAAGTGCACACACATAAGTCACGGGTATAGTATTATGATAAAATATCGTACCTTGAGCGTTCTTTTGGATGTTAGTGAATGAGTGAACAAATATTATGGATGAATTAGTGTGATCACCTCTTGTTGCGTATTGGCTCCGACGGCGACTCGGAGGCCTGCCTAGGCAGCCTGGCTAGTATTCCATTAAAATAGATTGGGATCTGATGGGTACGAGCTAAAATGAGAAGTTAAATTGGGTCAGCAGTGTTAAATTGTAGGCCAGGGAGCCCGCCAGTGAATGTTTTCGTTTTCCCTCTCGGGATTCTGTCATGTGGAATTGTTCGGGTGCAGGAGCTTGTAATCTATTACAAGTGATTTGAATATACCCTCAACTGGTAACCGCTACTTTCCTGAATATGGGGTTAAGGAAGTATGGAACTGATGGATCTTGTTGGCAATAGTGTACAGCCGTTCGAGAGCGGCTTTCGGCTCGGGTTTAGAGACCGTTTCCCAATGGGCCTGTAGGTCAACATTAACGACAGCACGATATGCCCAAATCTCGATAATCTTGACACCTACATCAACGCTCGGCCAACCGCAAACCATAACAATTTCATTATCATCCTCCAACGCAGGCCCAAACACGAGCATCTGCTTAGTTGAGTCCGAGAGCTTAGTGAGGATGTCGAACACTTCTGCGCGATGACTAGGGTCTTTCGGCGTGAGGAGGAGAAATTCTGTGACAGGCTGCTGGAATGCAGTGGTGTGATCATTGAAAATTATGTGGTTCGCCTTCAACGAGCCCTCGAAGACGGGTTTCATAGCTTCCAGCATAGGTTGCAATAGGGGGGTCTCCGCTACCGCCATATGTTTTCTCCAGGCTATCCCAGTCTAAAGCCAAGGCATTATTGGCCTACTTTCAAGGCTAGTAGAATATACAATACGTACTGATGATCATATAGCCTGTAGCTGGGTCCTCAAACTGCACCCCGATGTAGGCGGGCCTGTCGCAATAAGATCATGATTAGGGCGACCGTGTTGCCTTTAATATATACTAGCAGGAGAACGATGCGCACTTCCGGACACCATCAGACTTCAAACCCAAGTCGAGTGTGGGGTACAAAATTGAGTGGTCCTTACGAAACTCCTCTGTGGTGTTGAAGACAAGTAATTCAGTCGTTGGGATGCTAGACATGATTACAGGCGATATTTTGGATCGGTGCCTCTTGCAACTTTGGTATATCCTGGATATATACGTCGAATGTTTGCCTAGATTTCCAAAATAACTTGAAGCGGTACGTACATGATGACTTGACTCATTGCATACAAACTGAGGTGTGGAGACAGCCGCGATAAGCCCTCACCGCGGTATCGTGAGTCACAGAGATGTGGGAAATCAAACTTTCAGACAACAGATACGACAACGCTCATCACTTTCGAAGAGGATATGAGAGCCCAGAGGACGAATAAAAAACCTGGGCGATCGATCTCGGGCACTACCCGAACACTCCCGGTGTGATTTCAGGCGCGGAAGTCGCCTGGTATCAAATCCAACAGGGGATTCACATGAAGAGGACATTTGGAACCAGAATTGTTGCTGTTTGCACAAATATAAGTGCACACATACGAGTACAGTATGCTGGTAAACTATCGTACCTTGAACGTGCGTCGTGGACGTAGTCCACGATGCCAGCTGCTTCGAACACTTTTGGAGGCGGATATCACGTTCCGAGTCAGTGAGACCTCTATTTCTCGGTACTAAAAAAGGTGGCGGGTTGGTTTCCAGCCCTGAGTACTCCGGAATTCAGATATTAGAATTTAGCATTGAGTATATGCACCAAACTCTCTCACTTGAGTAGTGAGGACAATAAGCGTGTGGACAGATGCGCACTTTAACTCAGGTTACTGAAGTGGTGCTCGACATCCGAGAACTTGGTTTGAGGGACAACAAGATGCAAAACGGTGACAAGGTTGATTCTCGTCCAGTATGAGGAGTTGGTTCAATTGCTTGGTCACACAGGTGATGGGTAACTGGGGCGGTCGGGGGTGCGGCATACTATAGTACTGGGGGTGGTACATATGGATTCTGGTACCCACTAAGTATAGTACAAGTTAAGTCAGGTGGAGCTCAACTGTTCGCACGCGTTGTGACTGTAACCAATCACGTCGTCACGCTCCGGTGCCAGAATTTAAACAATAAAATATAGGCTAAAACCTTGCTTCGACTCGGAGAGTCGAGATCACCGGCAACGTTCTTCACCAACCCCTAGTGACGTAGATTCAATCGCGTTAGGAGCTAAGCGCTAATTCACCGTAGGCAGGCTTATTCGTATATAAGCTGGTTAGCATGTTGTAATGCATCACCCTGCTATATCAGAAGCGTGAGGCCATGCTAGTACAGGTGCTTATAATCGGATCCGAGGCCCTGGATGCGTACGCTTCCATACGACTCTCATGCGAATATCTCACCCTCGACTCTTCAGAACTCGAAGAAGTTGAGCTCGTGGCAACGGAATGATTTAGATCTTCCACCTCGATTTGTTTTCAAATTTGTATATCGTCCAATGGCTGTATTTAGGGTCCCTGAGCCATTGTCCGACATTGCAAACACGGTGAGCCCACGACGTGACAAGACTCTGGCTTAATTCGTCGGTCATGGAGAATCGAGATACAACCGTGTTCCAATATAATACATATTGGTGCGTTCCTGACCTGTCTAACAAAATCTTCTCCGCAACTTTCCTGTATTTTCTGCAGTTTTTCAGGACCATGCCGCCACTTCTGCACCTCTCCCTGGGTGAACCCAGGCGACTTTCTCTCACCCGCAAACTTGTTTTGCTAGTTATGTTCTGTTTTGCTCAGTTTTTGGATACCTTGAATACTGCAGCTCTCTTTTCTGCCATCCCTACAATCGAGGCATCCATGGGTATGTCCGAAACTCAATCTACTTGGGTAATTAGTGCATTCCGATTAACTTTTTCATCGTTCCTGCTTATTGTGCGTGCTCATCCCGTTAATCTTTACTTGCATTTGCAAAACATTGTTTTAGAGTGGACGTCTTAGCGACGTATACAACCCAAGTTAGTACCGTGCTACACGTTTCAAGCGTTCATGCTGAAGGGCACGCAGAAACTGTGTTCATTGGAGGAGTGTCCAGTCTCGGAGTCCTCTCGCTGTGCGCCGGATTTGTTGTCGACACAATTCCGCTTCTTGTTGTCAGAGCAATCACTGGAATAGGTGATCATCCTAGACAGCGTGTTGGTTCTGGCTGACTAATATCGCGTCCCAGCTTCTTCAATGACCATTCCCTCTGCCCTAAAACTCCTGGTCAGGGTATTTCCCGATCCGCTTGAACAAGCCCGGGCAGTTGGGTTCTTCGGAGGCTGTGGTGCGGTTGCCAACGGTGAACATCCCGCATGTCTAGTTATGCAAGACAAGCCTTATGGTTCCTTTGCATAGTGGGCGGCCTCGTAGTCGGTGCAGTGTTTGTCCAATGGGCATCTTACCACTGGGTCTTCTGGTATGTAGCCTGCGCGGCTTTTCCGGTGGCTCTGGTTTGTGTTTTCATGATACCGTCACAAATTGGAGAGACTTCGGGCACTCTTGAGCCCATAGGGGCGAAATGGAAAACTCTTGATTTAGTCGGCGTAGGCATTTTAACTGGTACAAATCTTTCAGCGTACCCCTCCTCACATCGCTCACGAGTCCTGCCAGTTGCTTTCATCTTATTCATCTTCTCTGTGACATCCGGTTCCACTGATGGTTGGAAATCTCCGATGGTGTTGGTCCTCCTGATCATTTCAGTTTTAATGGTCGTTGGGTTTTTCTACTGGGAAACACTCTTGCCTGTGGGCCGAGCTGCGATGTATGTCATCAGGAGTTTTGGCACTGATCATCGACTGATCTTGTACCAGACCACCTCAGACGTGGTTCTACAACAACTTCTCCGTTTTGTTCGCCGTCGCACTTATGCCATACTTGTGGTGGAACGCGGTGATGTTGATTTTTAGCATGATGTGGCAAAACGTGTTTTACTGGTCGGCAATATCGTCGGCCGTCCATATGTAAGGTCTTCGCTGTCGCCCTATGTTGCTCTACCATTAAGGATATGTTTACCCACCAGGTTGCCGCTCGGTATCATAGCCTTGGCTGCGAGTTTCACTGGATCACTTTCTCGCATCTTTAGTCCGAAGTGGATCATTCTTACCAGTCTATCATTTTGCATGGTCGGTACTGTTTTGCTGGCGCTCGGTGGGGGGAGGCCCGAAAATTATTGGCCGTATGTGTTCCCAGCATTTGTACTTGGCAGCGCGGGAGTCATGATGACTTTTACACATACGAAGTAAGTTACAAATCATCAAAATTTTCTGAACATGGTTTAATCACTTCGCAGCATTGCTATTTTCCAAGCTGCGCCTTCGTCCATGTCCGGCACAGTTGGTGCCATGTTCAACGGCGCGCTTCAACTTGGATCCGCAATTGGCCTCGCTGCCTCAAGCGTAATAGAGACATCCGTGGAGGCCACCCATGGTGGTTCGCATGACTACGCCGGACGAGCTGCGTCGTTTTGGTTCCTCCTTGGGATTGTTGCTCTTCAATTCATCTTGATATCGATCTTTTATGACCGCAGTACGGACCACAAACCTCAACCAAAGTATGACGGCCCCGCTCATTCCACACAACCTAGCCCGGACTGTGACGAAAAGAGCGACACGAACGTAACCATCATGCCTGAAGTAAACTAAAGTGTCTATTTCTTTTGGCTACTTGCCCAGACATATTTTTGATCATACTGTTACACACCACTACCTTCTGAGGCCTGCATGACAACGTCACCGATAATCCACCCACATAGATGTATATGGAGTATATAACTGAGACTGATGATGTATTTACCACAAATACATAGCGATTTGACGTTTCTTACCTCTCGTTGGTCGCAGGGTGCAGGATATACTGCTTCGAGCTAGGTGACATCAATATCTTCGTCGGTTCACCATCCATCCCGTGCCGTATTGCAACACTCGAACGCAGTTTGTCAATGCTAGTTGCTGGTCCACACATGGGCATTAAGTTTATAATTGTAGCAAGGTTATGCAGTAAACACGTTTGTGGTATTACTTAGCCGACCAGCTTTTCAGCATCCCAAAGAATTTAAACTCTTAGAGGGCCACAAAATGACATTATTGTGCCTATATGGGTCGCAGACGCGTTGAGGTGACAGTATCCTGTTATAAGTAGTATAGGATAAATAGAGTTGTCAAAGCTAAGACGCGTCCAACAACGCGTCCAGTCAATTATTCTCACGACTCATTACTTCAGTCCTCCATGACATCCACGCGAGCCAAAGACTTCCTCACTAAAGAGTTGTTCATCAAAAAAAATGTGGTACGAGGAATGCGCATACTCAACGTTTAACATCGACGTGATCATCTTTGCCAGGTCACATTCCGGTCCTTGAGTCGCGAGCTCGGTATTCATGTCAATGACGCCAAGAAGTAAGATACAGTGATAGCTTCATATTGAATGGCGAGCTACATCTACACAGCGAGCTTGCCGCATATCTTGCGGAAACAGCAAACACCGACACAGCATCATTCGCGACGTACCTGGTCTCTGGTCAGATCGCTCCACTATACAGCAGTAGAAGCCTGGTTGATGCAATGGACTATGGTGACGATATGCACCAATCTGTAATGCGCTCGAAGATAGTTCTGGTGGACTCCGATGGGCTGCGGGGTGCGTGCTGTTCACATTCCTGCATGCGCCCTGGCACTGATGTTGCGCCACAGATGCGAAAGCACAATTCACCCGTATTCATTCTGTGTATATATACAGCTTGTCGCCCTCAGTCTTCCGCGTAGGTGCTGCATAAAATGCCGGACAAAACACACTCATGCTTTTGCAGGACGCTGGTTTAATCTGCCACCCGACGGTCAGTGTCCGGGATAAAGACGCGAAGGGTAACCCCGCGGTCAATGGGAAGATAATCGGTGTACACGTAAAGGTTGTTCTCGAATATTTTAGTTTCTCTTCACAATCTCACAGAGACATAGACCAGGAAAGGACTACCTAAAAATGCCTCTGCAGCATCATCTTCAAAGACAACATTAGATGCGCGGAAGCCAGTCGTCCCCCAGCCTTCCTTTTTCCCGCGTAAGTCAGAGCAGATGACAGAAAAGGGTAAGCAGAACGAAGGGTCGAAGGACAAGGAGCATGCAAAGCCACTTGCTGCAACGAAAGAACAACCCAAGCCGACTGGGAAACTGGATTGGAGTAAGGGCAAGAATAAGGAGCAGGAGACCGCATCAAGAGCACACGTTAAGGAGATAGTCAAACCTCAACCGGAGCTGGATACTAAAACTTCGTCGTATTCGGCAAAGTTAGCTGATAAACCGTCGGGCAATAGTAATGTGGGTCTGCAATCAATGACGAAGTCTATTTCAAAGGTACCTGCAGTCAAGCCAATGGTACGTCAGTATTATTATTTCTCAAGGGTCTATGGTTAATTGTTACTTGACTTCAGCGAGCTACTAAACGCAAGTCGCCTGATCCGTCAGACTCGGATGTCGAGGTCGAAGACAAGCCTACGCCTAAAAACAGGAAGGTGATCCCTTCCGCAACGAGTATTGCAAGAGCGCAAAAGGGTGTCATTATGTCGGATGACGAGGATGAGGAAGTCCCGACCAAGTCACGTAAGAAGATTGTTCGGACTTCAGACTCTGAGAGGAGCCTTGCGGCGATGATGGATATTGATGATGGTCCGTTAATACAGAACGTATCTGTTGTTATACTAATCGGTCTGCAGATCAAGTTGTCAGAGTGTCCCGCTTGTCCTCCCATCGCCCCAACGATGTAGTAGACGATACTGGTGACGAGATGGACCAAACTGACGTTGATGCTATGATATCTAGCCTCGGCGAGGAGGAGGAGGAGGAGGAGGAGGACCTCAAGCCGCAGGTTAAGAAGAGGAAATCTAGGAAAGCGGTCCCCGTCGGACACAATGGTTTGAAGAAACGTCGTGTTGCGAAAAGTCGCACCACCACTGATGCCAAAGGCTACATGCGTACGTTCACTATTTCAAAGTGATAAACACGCTATTCTCATGAGGGCTTCCCAGAAACGGAAGATTATTCTTCGTACGAATCCGTCAGTGAAGAGGAAGCTGTGCCCGAGGATGCAAAGAAGAAGAAATTCAAGAAAGTCGTCCCCGTCGGGAGCAACGGTTTGAAGAAACATCGTGTCATGAAAAGTCGCACCATCACTGATACCAAAGGCCGCAAACGTATGTTCAAAATTCCAAAGTGCTAAATGCGCCATTTTTCACGAGGGTTTCCCAGAAACGGAAAGCTATTCTTCGTATGAATCCGCAAGTGAAGACGAAGTCGTGCCCGTGGCTGTGCAGAAGAGGAAACCTAAGCAAGTTGCCCCCGTCCGCCGTATTATGAAAAGTCGTGTCATCACTGATGCTAAAGGCAAGAAAAGTATGTTCGCCATTCCAAAGTGATAAACGCACCATTGCTCATAGATTTTCCTAGAAACGGAAGATTATTCTTCGTATGAATCCATTAGTTCAGATGAAGCTGTGGAAGTTGTCCCTGAGGATGTGAAGAAGTCCAAAGGCAAGAAAAAGGCAGAATCGAAGTTGAAGGATGATGCAGGGGATAAATCGGTACCAGCTAATTCAAAGATCAAGGAGACGAAGTCTTTACGCGGGACTAAAGCCAGGGCTGGGAAGGGACCGCAACGTGGTGGCCTTTTGAATTTCTTTGGACCTGACAAGTCTAAGAAATAGCGGTCAGGTTATGATAGTGGGCAGGGCCGGCAGGCGATGTTTGTAGTTCTTGTCTAGTTACAAGTACTCCATGGATTAGATATCTCCAGGGTGGGAAGAAAAACCAACGGTTCAATGGTCTAATGGTTATGATTTCTGTCTCACACACAGAAGGTTCTGAGTTCGATCCTCAGTTGAACCACTTTTTGTAGTTCTATTATACAATCGTCCACCGGGTACGCTATGGGTACTTACTTAGCAAGATGTCCAAGGTATCGAGTAAGTATCATGCCGATGTCATTTAAATCTACCACCAGACAACCCCCTTCATGATTCTCCTTCCCGTTCTAACTACTTTCGCTTTCAAGACCTCACCATCTGCTCCAAAGTCTGCTCCCACTTCCACAATGCCGCTCGGATGTTTGATTCTGATCAACTCACTCTCCCTCACCTTCCCGAGACGCATTGGCTTGGTCAAATGCCAGGCAAGCGTGCCTCCAACTTTTGCGGCTACACCAAGACACAGACCGACAGTCATGGGTACGGCTTTATGCAAAACGCCCATCGAGAAGGCATGGATACCGATGTCATGATCTGGGTTACACGACGGCGAAAGTGCTGCAATTTTTGGCTGGGCTTGTGTGTTTGGATCAAGGCCCATCTTAACTGCACCTGCGCGTCTGATAGACTCCATCAATTTCCGTGAATCTGGGGCTGAAAAATCGATGAGGGATAAAGGACGAAGAATTCGGGACAAGTCTGCATATGCTACAAAGACTGTGGGATTCGTCGCGTCGATGAGGGAAACTGGGATTTCTTGGTCGTGGGTGTACACGGAGTCGAGGGGCTTGCCTGTTGGAAGTAGTTTTCCGGTACGCGCACCTCCTGGAGAGATAAATTCGAGGGTTATTTGTGAGGCCTTTCCAGGGACGCCTGCCATTGTGGTCTGGAGTAGGTCGAGTTTTGGCTGGACCTGATAGTCAGCGACGGTGACAGGAAATGTGGTATCGATTGTTTTGTTCGTATTCGTATTAAGAAGTCGGATGGTACTAGTAGTGGTTCCGGATGGAGTAGAAGGATCTCGGGAACAAAATCCTTCGTCCATGGCGAATACACCAACCATGCTGGAAAGGTTGCCACAGTTTCCAGAGAGGTCGATAGTGGCATCACGGATGCCTACTTGGACAAAAGTGTACTCAGCATCGATGCCTTGCACCTTCTGCTCCGCAGAGGCTGGGCCAACGACACATATTTTGGACAGGCTTGAGATGCCGCCGCCCATGCCGTTGATCTGGAGACCGTTGGCTGTGTCTGGGGAGCCCATGATCCCTAGGAAGATTGGGGCCCATTGAGATTGGTCTTCTGGAAGATGCGCCCTGTTCAGGAAAACGCCTTTTGACGTGCCTCCACGCAGAAAGGTGGCTGGAATGGGGTTGAGAGTGGTGAATCTCCTATGCATGCGTTGCAGCACACAGTGAGAACGCAGCTTGGACGAAAAATGGGTGGTGGATTTGAATACAACTGGCATGTTGTCTCAGTCGTACTACTCATCGGCTAGGCCTGCGATACAGAAGTTAGTAACAGAAAGTATTCTTGGTATGTCACGGTGTACAAGTGTAACCGCTTTTGTTTACTAGAAATTGCACGCGTTACTTTTGCTATTGCTTATTGGACAGCTTCTGCTGAGAACTTCCCCACCGTGGCTGCCGCTGAATGATAAATTAGGCGCGTAGCGCTATTCAGCGCTTGTTAAATTACATGGGGTCTCCCTGCACCATACATTGTCGCTCGAGCTCTTCCACTATTTGTGATGAAGGCCATAGGCCATACATTTCCCCAAAAACATTCGTATCAACTTCTATACCTAGCGTCGGACCTAGATTTTGGAATTATCCTAATAAATGACAAAATGTTTGACTGATTTGCGAGAACTCATACCGACCGCGTCAAGTGATTTTGGAGACGCGCGTTCCTGTCACAACACCTCTCGAGCGGCCGCATCAGCGGCGTCGAGACTCGAGATGATCAAGGATCGTAGTATGGCAGCCCCGTTGATGTCTTTTGTGTGAATCCTCCTGATCGAGCCGTCCAATGGCTCTCGATCATGGGGTGGAAACATCCACGAGCGCATGTAATACGAGTACACGCTCACTCCTGGAGCTTGAGTCTCAGCCGCTGCAGGGGATGAACATCATGATAGTCAGTGAACAAGTTGAACTTCCCCGATACGATTAAATTTAGTAGCATCCACGTAAGTACTTTATGCTGACTAATTCGTCTAGAAAGGTTGATCTGACGAATTTCAATGAGCTACTGAACCATTCTAACCTGCACATTCATTTTTCTTTCGTAGGAGCGGCTGGGTTCACTTTGGCGAGAAGGAATTGGTCTCCCAATGGTTTTCGTAGGTAGCCTTCGGGCGAATAGCGCGTCTTGCGCTAAGCAATTACGCATAACTCACACCCGAGCATTGCACGCGACCGCTCCACGTCCTTCACAGAGCTTGGGCACTCAGATAGCTGCTAGGTTAGCCAGCCCAAGACACTTTTCGACATCCCTCGTTACCCCTGCTCGATCATCTCCTCTTCTATCTTCTCCACGCTGGTCAGGTAATAAACCCACCCCTCCAGCTCCGTCAGAACCTGAGAATGACGCCGCAGAATCGAGCAGCAAGTCTGTCAAACTTGATGCTGCAGATGACGAAAGTCCAGCAGGCACATCTTCCCAGTCATCACCCCCACCGTCTTCCTCCAGCGGAGATAGTGGTGACGGTTCCGATCCACCACCTCCACCACCTCCACAGCCAACCCCTACTCCTAGCTCAATAGCTAAACAATCCGTACCAGAAGTCTATCCCCAGGTCCTTGCTCTCCCTATCGCACGACGTCCCCTCTTTCCCGGTTTTTACAAGGCTGTTGTCGTTCGCAATCCAGCTGTCGTCGCCGCTATCAAGGAAATGATGAAGCGCGGTCAACCCTATCTCGGCGCTTTCTTGCTTAAGGACGAGCACACGGATAGCGATGTCATTACAGACATAAATTCGGTTCATCCGGTCGGAGTCTTTGCTCAGATCACTAGTGTGTTTGCTGCAAACAGTGGTACTGGCGACGACAAGGAAGAGGGTCTCACTGCTGTTTTGTATCCACACCGTAGAATCAAGATAACGGAACTACTCAAGGCTGGCGAACAAGCTAGTACTGCTAACGTGCAGGAAGAAACGCAAACGGTTACCCCACCTCCCACGCCCACTGAAGGTGATGTCGCGAAGATATCGCAGGGTACGTCTCTCGCAGCTCATTGCAACAAATAATTCACCTCCTTTCAGGTCCCGTCCAAACCTCGTTCCTACACAAGCATGCTATCTCCATCGTTCAGGTAGACAACCTCGTAACACAACCCTACAACAAAGACGACCAGTACATCCGCGCCTTTATGTCTGAAATTGTTTCCGTCTTCAAGGACATCGCCCAGCTTAACCCCCTCTTCCGCGACCAAATTACCAACTTCTCTATCAACCAGGTTGCATCCAATGTCTTTGATGAGCCCGACAAGCTCGCCGACTTTGCGGCCGCTGTATCCTCCGGTGAGGTTGGGGAACTTCAAGAAGTCCTCGAGAGTCTCGTCGTCGATGACCGTCTCCGCAAGGCCCTCCTCGTTCTCAAGAAAGAGCTCATTAATGCCCAACTCCAGAGTAAACTCTCACGCGACGTCGACAGCAAGATTGCGAAGCGCCAGCGCGAGTACTACCTGATGGAGCAGCTCAAGGGAATCAAAAAAGAGCTCGGTATGGAGTCGGATGGAAAGGACAAGCTCATTGAGAAATTCAAGGAGCGCGCCGCCTCGTTGAAGATGCCAGAGGGCGTCCGGAAGGTCTTCGATGAGGAACTCAACAAATTGATGGGACTAGAACCTGCTGCTTCAGAGGCGAATGTAACGCGTAATTACCTTGAATGGCTTACTCAGGTGCGCATTTTATCATGCTTTCCTGTTTCTTACTGACACCCCCGTTACAGATACCATGGGGCCAGCACACCCCCGAGAACTACTCCATCACACACGCTCAGACAGTCCTAGATGAAGACCATTATGGCCTCAAAGACGTTAAAGACCGTATACTGGAATTTCTTGCTGTGGGGAAGCTTCGAGGAACGGTTCAAGGCAAGATCATCTGCCTCGTTGGGCCTCCTGGCGTTGGCAAAACATCGATCGGCAAATCGATCGCCCGCGCGCTTAACAGGCAATTCTTCCGCTTTTCGGTTGGAGGTTTGACGGATGTGGCAGAGATCAAGGGCCATCGGAGGACGTATGTCGGTGCGCTTCCTGGAAAGATTATCCAAGCGCTGAAGAGGGTAGGAACGGAGAATCCGCTGGTCTTGATTGATGAGGTAGATAAGATTGGGAGAGGCATCAATGGCGATCCTGCTAGCGCGCTGCTTGAGATGTTGGACCCTGAACAAAACAACGGATTTTTGGATCACTAGTAAGTGTTCCCCTTCACTTGCGCATGTTGTATATTTATTCTTTTCAGCATGGATGTCCCCGTCGATCTGTCTCGCGTTCTGTTTGTCTGCACAGGTGAATCTTCCGGAGATTAGTCCTCGTTACTCATACTTACGCTTACACATCTTTCAGCCAACAACCTTGACACGATACCAGCACCTCTCCTTGATCGTATGGAGGTCCTTGAAGTCAGCGGTTATGTCTCCGAGGAGAAATGCGTCATTGCCGAAAAGTACCTCGGACCGCAGGCAAAGGAAGCATCAGGGCTGAAGGACGCTGACGTTCTTGTTGAGCCCTCCACTGTCGACGTGCTCATTAAGTATTACTGCCGAGAAAGCGGTGTACGGAACCTGAAGAAGCATATTGACAAGGTGGGACTTTCGCCAATGGTAGTGTTTGTATCGCTCATGGGGTGCTGTAGATATACCGGAAGGCTGCATTGAAGCTCATCCTCGATCTTGGCGAAAATGTCTTCCCTGAACCGGTCCCACTTGCGTCCACTAGTGCACCTGCCCCATCCAGTTCTTCAGATGCGCAACCCAAGACTGTCGAGTCTCAAGAACCACGTGCTAACGAGCCCAACGAAGCCATATCAGAGGAAAGTACGAGCAATGAATCTGGCGACCGCAAAACTGTGACGACACAAGAGCGCAAGCCACTCCAGATCCCTGATGATATTCATGTCCGCATCACGCCGGAGAACCTGAAAGACTATGTTGGTCCGCCTGTCTATCACAAAGACAGGATGTACGTGGCTCCTCCGCCTCCAGGTGTCAGCACTGGTCTAGGATACTTGGGCAATGGGTCTGGCGCTGTCATGCCCGTCGAGGCTACTGTTTGTTTGTTTGCTATGCTCGAATGAAAAATATGCTGATAATTATTTCTTGACAGAGCATGCCCGGCAAGGGTGGATTGCAACTGACCGGTAAACTTGGCGAGGTCATTCGTGAGAGTGCGCAGATTGGGCTTAGTTGGGTCAAGGCGCATGCATACGAACTTGGCATCACCAAGACGCCCGATGAACAATTCCTCACAGATCGTGATATCCACGTCCACATGCCTGAGGGTAGTATTGGAAAAGAAGGTCCTAGTGCTGGGACTGCCATTTTATCCGCCTTTGTGTCTCTCTTTACCAAGACGAAGATTCATCCAGACATCGGTGCGTTGCGTTGTATGATGTTATTTTATTCATATTGCTCACTTATTGTTCATCAGCTATGACTGGCGAGATATCGCTCGTCGGCCAAGTGCTTCCTGTCGGCGGTCTCAAGGAGAAGATCCTAGCTGCCCATCGCGCAGGAATAAAGACGATCCTAGCGCCCGCAGCAAACCGCGCCGATATTGAAGAGAACGTCCCAGAGAGCGTCAAGACAGGCATCCGCTTCGTATATGTCGAAGACGTACGAGAGGTCCTGCATGAGGTTTTCCGAGGTCAGGAGATCGTTGAGCGGTGGAAGGATACGTTATCGCTATAGTCTGGTGTGGTTATTTGCTGCATGATTACTTATTCTATTTCGTTCGATCGATCGAGGGGGGGGGGGGGGGCGATTGATTGATTTTCTATCTGACCGCGCACTTGCATAACTAGACTTACTCTTTTACTTAACCGCACGGTATCCTGCAATGGCTGTATTTTACACAATAAACCCAACTCATGATCTCATGGTTTACGGAACTCTGGAGGTCAACTCCACGTACGGTTATGCTGCTGTGTGTGCATGTTTTGACGTTGCACAGACCAACTTATGCCTCTGTAGTCTCCCGTAGTCTCCCCTAGTATAGCCAGACCATATAGAAAAAAGTCGTTCCTTCTATAAAAACCTTTCTGCAGAACAAGTTTTCATCCCACACTTCTGACAAGCCCAGCTGCAGTACCGTAGGCTGCCACTGATTGCAGCGCGTGAAGCACTCCTTATCTTCTGCTCGCTAATGTCCACTTTCTCATGGAACTCCGAAGGAACGTCCATTTGTCTTGTTCAAGTGATGTCATGTGCCGTCAATGGAAAAGTGCTGTGAATCGTGCGTCTCCATATCTTTGCTCCATAGTAGTTTTGGTTCCACCCATATACCATGCAGGGGCCATAGATTGTGCCAGAGCGACACAGATCTCATGTGCGACGTACATGAAAATTGCAAACAAGGGGACGCCGCGCGTTCTTAATAGGCTCAGATCACATTCTTCAGCGCACTCCCAGCGCTTGGCAGCCGCGAAAGGACTATCTCCTGCCGTTGATCGGTGGCGGTCTAAAGTTGTACCTATGCTTCTCTCGAATATAGCTCCTTATCGGTCCCGCACCCATATAATCCAAGTTCATCGCCGCCAAAAAAAATCGACTTGGAAGGTCTCACTGCTCCGCTTTGCACCATGCACGACATCGACGATTCCGTAGTGCCTGGATCAGTTTACCTCGTCGACGTCCAGGCGAAAACGACGGTTGTGCATGCGGAAAATGACAGTGCCATTGTGCTCAGTCCGACGCCTTCGAATGATATCAACGACCCCCTGAACTGGAGTAGAGGTCGGAAACTTCTGCAGATCGTCTGCGTTATGATATGTATGTCTTAACAACTGACAGATGATGTGTTAGACTCTTACTCAGTCTACAGACACAAGTGCCATCGGCATCGGGACGACTGTGCTGTACTCCATCCTGCAGCCTATTTCAAATGATACGGGGATACCTCTTGCAACACTCAATGCGGGCACCGGATACAGTGCGCTTGTCTCTACATTTCTTCTTATGCTTATATTTAACGTTGTTGGCATGAACAGTGTTTCTTTGTAGGTCATTATTATTGTCCTTGATGGCCGGGTTTAGATGACGTCGGAATACTAGTCTTGGGCTGGGGAGCGCTGATAAATCAACCGCTTGCTCTTACCTTCGGAAAGCGCGGTATATATCTGATTTCAGTCCTTGGTAACACTGTAAGAGCCCGTGACGATGAGTATCGAGGACTTGGAGGTTGATTAACATTTGGCAGGCCATGTGTCTATTGACACCGTACATCAAGACGGAAGGCCAGTGGTACGCAGCGCATTTCCCAGCTAACAGGTCATTCGATGTTCACCTACCACCAGGATCGCCAGCAAAATCGTGCAGGGTTATCTTTGTACTCCTGTCGAGAGTCTGTGCGAAGTCAGCATTGCAGATGTAGTAAGTATATCAAGATCTTTGTTACTGAAATAAGCTGATTTCGTCTGGTAGTTCTTTGCACATGAGCGTGGAACGTATATTGGAATATACACGCTCTTTCTCTTTGGGTAGGTATCGAGTGTATAAGTTTTGGCTCGTGTTGACCTTGCGAGCAGGTCGAACTACTTTGCACCACTCATTGCCGGCGTGCGTATCATGTTGTACATCGGTCTCCCAATTTTCGTCCTAATTTTTGACCAAGTTCATATATGACGGCCAAGGATGGCATTGGGTTATGTACTGGGCTGCGATCATAAATTTCGGTTCCCTCATAGTGTTGTTTTTCTTCATGGAGGAGGTGCGTCGTATATTATTAGTACTGATCATTGCTGATTCCTAAATGTAGACGAACTTCGTGCGCAATACAAGCGAAGCGACAGAAGCCGTGCACTTGAGCACCAAACCAGATGCTGAGAAGGACGACAAGGAATCAACTATTTCATCCCCTGTCTCTTCTGGGGATTTGACGGGCATTCCTAAAACATATGCACAACGGCTCGCTTTATTTGGTGGGCGCTATGCCTCAAACAAGCTGCTGTTCACAATGACGTACCGCCCTATCATTCTGTTGCGCTTCCCTGTCATCTTCTGGTAAGTCGCCCATTAGAAATGCAGAGAAAGCAAGTTCACCCTTTCAATAGGGCAGGGTTCCAGTATGGCACATGTCTCGTGTGGTATAACGTTCTGAATGCCACTTGTTCCTTGATTCTCAGCGAAGCACCCTATAACTTCAGAGCAAGCTTTGTTGGATTGACCTACCTCGGCCCTTTGATTGGCATGTTGCTTGGGTAAATCCGTTCTGAGTTTCCCTCATAATATCATCTGACATTAGTGCAGAACATTCTATAGCGGGTGGGTGGGTGATCGATTCGCTGTGAGATATGCTCGTCGAACGCACGGTATCCGAGAGCCAGAGCATCGCCTTTGGCTCATGGTCGTCTCGCTTCTTTTATGTCCAGCTTCCCTCATCCTTTGGGGAGTTGGTGCGTCCAAGGGCATTAACTGGGTTGGCCTCGTCTTTGGCATGGGCATCATTTCTTGCTCGACTGGCATTGGGTCTTCACTCTCTATAGGCTACGCCCTAGATTCATACAAAGATTTGGGTGGGGAGGTGATGATGGCTGTCATCCTTGTTCGCGTAAGTATCGCCAACTCGTCAGCGTTGTTGTACTCGTACTGAATTTGGGATTAGAATACACTTTCATTTGCTATCGTAAGTCGAGATGTTAACTTCGCATTACCATTTTGACGCATGCTCTCACAGGGATATGGGATCACTCCTTGGCTTCACATGGGCTACCAGAATACGTTCATATCCGCGGGCTTCGTCGGGCTTGCTATAACAATGACTTTCCTCATCGTTATCAAGTGGGGAAAGAGCTGGCGAATTGCGAGTCGCAAGAGATATTGGGGATACGTTGCTGATGGTACCCTTGGGCATTAGGCATACCAGCAAACTAATCCTCAAAATGTCTAACGTCTTCGTCACATCACGCTGAACAAAAAGAAAGTTACGAGAAGCCTCATACGTGTCGAAAGATAAAGACTCCTTCGGCGGGGAGATTGGTATCTCAAGGCTTTGCTTCTTGCGAAACTCCGGGAGTTGATGCGTTGATGGCTCGCCCCGAGATAAAGTTACACCTTCATTTCTACAAGCAGCAACGGTCCATCACTAAGTACATTATCTTGCGAAACTTTTCTCTCCTGCTTCGTTTTCAGAGAATTCGCAGTTTTCGCGCTAATTCGATCCGCAGTCCAAGCCCACAACGCATCTTACCGGCGTTCATTCATACCTTCCGCATATAGGGTATGCTGGATACTCGTGCTTAGTACACGCACACTCATTATCGCTCATCCTCAGTCTTCTATCCGAGACTGAGGCTTGAGGATTACCACGTTCATTTCTAGCTATACGACTCTGACTTACCATAGGAGTCACCTGCAGCTAGGTCTACCTATCACCCTATGAGTTCGCCGCATGGTTTCTCATCTGCTGGCAATTCTCCACACGGCTGCTCCAGGAGGACGCGACGTGGTCGGTTCCGACGAAGCTTGATATCTTATGCTTACGAACGGCATTTTGACCGCACCAATTGTCTTCTAACTGTGAGAATACGATTGCAAAATACCAAATATTACAAATTCTGTTCACCAATGTTATTTTTTACTTCAGAACAGCGACATCGCAAGTCCCATGAGCTTCTGCATCTCCCCTGGCTGCATGTTCACTTTACCCGTCGACTTGTACTCACCCATTAAGCGCATTGCTGTCGCCGCAGCCGTTTGCATAGCTGTAGTAACACGGCATCAGCACAAGTAGTACTACATCAGGCGGAAAACTCACCTTGTGTCTTTCCTTGGTTGTCCCCCGCACCCTTCTTGTCGAAAAGCTTTCCTGCCTGGGCCATCGCCAGGGCGATCTGCAGGATTTATAGGGTCAAAACAGAAATAGGTTTCAAACTTGTAAAAAAATATCTTTTGGTGGGCTGGTACATATCATGGAGGGTACTTCTGGGATGGATATGAGCCAACAATTAAGAAAAACGGCGGTTCGGTTGTGGAGATATGTCCAACATACTGATATTTGAGCCTACCTCCCATATCACATGAATGCCGAACTCCGGAAGGTCTGAGACCATTCCCAATCGATTCAGAGGCCTCAAATACCCTAGGAGAGATGTTTTCGGTATCGGTATTGAGGCGGAACACCGGGATAGTGACATATATGAGGTCAGGAGGAGGGGGAGGACCCTGTATATCTCAGGAACACGATTTTTCCGGGCAATTCTGGCTTCACCATCGTGTTCAGAGGGCTCAATAACCCCCAGGAAAAATGCTTTTGAAGGACAGGCTAGTCATATGAAGTCTAGAAAAATCGATCTTTGGGTGAGGGAGCATGGCCTTGGTGGCCAACTTTGGAAGATGATTTTTAGAGGGAAATCCGGCTCGACCAACGTCTTCAGATGGTCAAATAACCTCAAGAACGAGTCCTAGCTAAAGCCAAGCAAGCCATATGAAGGCTGAAAAAATCGATCTTTGGGTGGGGGGAGGATGTCAGGGGCAGCCAACTTTGGAAGATGATTTTTAGAGGGAAATCTGGCTCGACCAACGTGTTTGTATGGTCCAATAACCTATAGAACAAGTCCTACCTAAAGAAAAGCAAGCCATATGGAGGCTGAAAAAATCGATCTTTGGGTGGGGGAGCATGGCCTTGGTGGTCAACTTCGGAATTTGATTTTCTCATGCAAATCTGGCTCGACCATCCTTTTCAGAGTGTTCAATAACCTCGGAAACGAGTCCTACATCAACCCTTGCGAGTCATATGAAGGCTGTAAAAATCGATATGTGGGG